CTTTGGGAGTGCATTTTTTGCACAGTTGCGACCGACGCAGGGTTAAAAGTTAGTTTTTGCTACCGGCTGGTTTACTACATGGCAAACGGTTTAAACGGTAAAACACAAAATAGAAATTACGAAATACATTAATATTAAATATTTCAAATACCAATTATAAAATACATTTTTAGGCAGTATGTATTTCAATTACAAATATATCAAAAACTCTGACACTTTCAACTTTCAACTTTATTATTATTATATTGAAATATTGTAGTTATAGTGAGAAGAGGGAAAGTACGACGCGAAATTATAAAGCAACTACAAAGGCAAAATTCAGAGACTTTTGTTGAAAGCGTTTACAATTCTTTTACTGTTATTAAACATAATATTGGGGAGGAAACAAGGTCCAAATTTTCTTGTCGTATGTAATTGATTAGAGCTCCTTGTGAAAGAGCTTGTCTAGAATACCGTCCTTCTTTGTGTTAACTCACGCATTTGCATTTCGGTAACTTTCGAGTACGGGCACTTAAAGTTTTATTTTGTTGTCTCCTAAAAATATGTTAATTAAAAGCTGATTTTGCTTAACAATAAAACTGAAACTAAATAAGATATTAAAACACCGATTGGAGGGGGTTGTAGATGTTGTTTTGCTGATCTCAGATATGTTAATAACTCAATTTCCCTATAAATTACGATTACGTTAGTTATGATAAGGAGGGCAGAATAGTACTGCCACCTTTACCTATTTCTGCCGCCAAGCTACTATTCGGCACATTACTATGCGAGTACTGCATTCCGGTGAAATAACAGGCACATGTGACTTACCAATTGTATATCCCAAGGGTGACGGGCACAGTGCAAATGCCCCTCAGATCTTTGCGATTTTTGCTCACATTTGCACTCTCAACTCCTATGGGTATATATTGCTTACCACCAGACGCACGGCTTGTTCGTTTCATCACTTGATGTTATAAAAAAAATACAAAAATGTCAGATAAGGCAATTAAGAGTGAGAAGAGGGAAGATGGGACGCAAAATTAAAAGATATATTTGCGACTACAAAAGCAAATGTTTTTACATACTTTAATTATAATATTTCGACTCATCCGTAGAACAAAGATCTAGTAGTGTAAGACTACTTGTTCTCAGGACATAGTACATTTCGTTCGTTCTTCTTCGCTGTGGATGTAAGATCGACCGTTCGATTTTATATTTCCGAAACAAAAAAAGATTTATAAATTCTCAAAACACCTTTACATAGGCCTTAGTTTGAATAACGAAATTATTCTCGTAACGTACTTATTCTCTTTTCGCTACATAATCACATCGGACTCTGTTCTTCGGATAAGTCGATTTTGTCTTCTATAATCCAATTTTTGTTGACATGTGTAATCCACTTAAATCAAAATGTGTTTATCTACTCACATAGATGAAATTGGGCGCTCTGGACGCAACAGTGCACACGAGTATGGCATCTCGGTACCAAGTGCAGGGATACCCCACGATTAAGTTCTTCCCGGCTGGCAAGAAGAGCTCCGGCTCCGTCGAGGACTACAACGGCGGTCGCACTTCTACCGACATCGTCAACTGGGCTCTGGACAAGTTAACGGAGAACGTGCCGCCACCGGAGATTATCCAGGTCTGTGAATTTCAAATTAAATATTCTTCAATGCAAATTTTACGACCTCTGTCCAACGGTTTTGCACTAAACAAAGAGCAATCCCTAGAGTTTCTTGCTCATTCTTCTCAGGGGAATCTGCCTTACAAATGAGCAGTAGAGTTTAATCAACATGGCGATTTCAAGTGTAATTTGATTATCTATGAAATAAAGATTATTTTACTTTTGACTGTGGGCGCTGGACGAAAACGTCCCCAGTAGGACCAATTTGGGAAAAGAACTTTTCTAAATTGGTTCTAGTCTGGGTGTTCTGGGTAGCGCCCCGGAGTGAATTCCATTGCTCTGACACTCAGTACAGGAAATTTCTTAAGTTGTGCTCGGGTAATTAGTGTGGTAATCTCGGACACATTCTTATTACTTAATTTAAAACTTGCAATGACAATACAGAACACTCATTTAATTGTATTAGAATAAGGTAATGTTCTAGCTATCTATAAATGGTAGATTATTATATTATATATTTATGTATAAACTTTTATGTACTATTATTATTATTGTATTCGAACATAATAATAATGAAATACTAAATAATGCAGGAAATGAAACTATTTTTCGGTTTTAAATCGCGTACCTATATTTGTTTTTTCAAACAAACCAACACCTCCGGTTAGGCCCTTTACAGGTCTCATGGTCAAGGCCGACTGAGATGGTAATATCATTAACTGGTTATGACTAATAATAACGCAAACCACTCATAGTGTCGTTTAATAGTTCATCTCAATTTATATTACAACGCGAGAGGCGACCCCGCACTACACCGCCTAAAATCCAGACTCGGGTTAAAATACCTCGTATATTAGCGCCAATATAATAACGTAATAATAATATAATAACGCACACACTCAACATAGCCCCGCACTAGGAAAACCTTGTGTCGCGGGTGCCATGGACACACACATAGCAACCACAAATTCCACCCAAACTCACGCGACAAATAAATGTAGGCCATACAAATATTTATCCCGGCGCGGCAATCGAACTTAGGACCTCTGCGTGGCAGTCCGGTATGGTATCCCTTCGGCCACGGAGGCACTTTACAGTATATGTATGTCACTTGGAAAAGTTATCTTTCGTAAAAAAAGTCTTTACTTACATTTCATCGAGAATGAAGTGAAATATTAATGACACCTTCATAATGTGTGAAAGCTAAATCGTTATGTGTTCAAAACATCAAATTCATTATTATCAAACATAGAAATTGGTTTCATAACTCCGAACACCGTTTGTTTTTAAACTCGCGTAAAATTGAAATGGAGACTAGAATTGTATGCAAAACAAATTACGACCTAGTTGTAAATTTTTATCAAAACACATTTTACAGTTATGTTTGGTACATAAAGATTTATCACACTTGTTGCGTCGGTGACGGTCGAATTGCTTAAAGATATAAAAAGATGTCAAAAATGTATTGCAAAAATATTTCTGAAAAGAAAAGAAACTGTAGAAAGAGGAATTACTAATTTCCCTATTAATATCACCAAAATTCCAATTTCCAAAGTATAATAAAGTTTTTCAACACTACATGATTTTACGTCATTGAATCTTGTGAGGCGGAATACATAAAGGCAAGTGTACAGTAATATATATTCCAACTTAGTTAGGTAATCGATGCCCATAGATTGCTATTTTTTTCGCAATAACATTGTTAGTGAGTTGTAAACGGGCCTAAATGTAGACAGATCTCTAACACCACTACCGATGTACTCGGAAGTTATCTTCATATTTGCAACGTCTGAAGCTATAAGAGTCATTCGTTATCTACACGAGCTGCCGATTCATATTATTTGTCGCACAATAAATTTAAACTTTACATCTCTTAGTCCACGTCACGAAAGAATGACTTATAAAAAAAATCATGTTTATATAGATTTTAAGGCTTTCGTGGTTATTCACTAAATGATTATCACTAATTTCAGGCTTCTTACCACGGTATGACTTCTTTTTATTTTCCCCGATATTTCGGAACGGTTGCAACAACCAAAAAATTTGCAAGGTGAACAGAAGTCTGCAAAACGTCGTTATTCCCCCAATCACCATAAGTCAAGCGTGATGGACTATGGCCCCAATCCTCTCTTTAATTGAGATGGATGCCTGTTAACGAAATCACTAATCACAATTTGAATGGAACACACAGGTTGTAGATGAAGAAACGATGAAAGCGTGCGCAGAGAAGCCGCTTTGTGTGGTGTCCATCCTGCCGCACATCCTGGACTGCAACGCCGCATGCCGCAACGACTACCTCACAATGCTCACGAAACTTGGAGACAAGTACAAGAACAAGATGTGGGGGTATGTTCATAACACATTTTTTTTAATACGAAATCAACCGATTAGGTACTCACCACACTTAACGACACGGAATTATCGCATTAAGCCGGTAAGAAAAAAGCTTTTCGGACTACCGACGCGAAACGCACAATGCGAGTCATCCAAAGAACAGAGTCTGATGTGATTAAATAGCGAAAAGAGAATAAGTACGTTAAGAGAATAATTTCATTATTCAAACTAAGGCCTATGTAAAGGTGTTTTGAGACTTTATATATCTTATTTCGTTTCGGAAATATAAAATGGAACAACGGTCGACCTGACATCTAAAGCGAAGAAGACCGAAATGTACTATGTCCTGAGTACAAGTAGTCTTGCACATAGATCTTTGTTCTACGGATGAGTCGAATGTGTTTCTCGATCTAATTGCATGGATGCAATGCTTTTTCTGACTGACTCTGTTGATTTCGCGTTAACAAATGTAGTGACTCCTGTATACTGTACGGGATATCTTTCTTATCGAGCTGAATCAAATTTTTATTATTTTTAAAAAGGTGTTAGGTATTACCATAATATAATAAGACAAATAGGGTGACTCCATACAAACGTAAGTTTTTCATTCACATCGCATAATCTCGCGTTGCATAAACGGTTGTTACATTACTCGCCTTCAAGGGATCTTAACTCTAACAGCTAATAATGTATAATTACATTATTGTTATTAAAAGTAAGTTTACATTATTGTTATAAAAAAACGATGTTTTCGTCTAACCAACGCATAAAAGTGAAAAAAAAAATATTTTAAAATTAAAGGAAACATTATATTTTTGTGGTATATTCACTCTGTATTTTTTAAGATCTGTAGGGAAATTTCAAAAACAAAGGGCTTATAAATGTTCATCTTATTTTACAGTTGGATCTGGGCAGAGGCTGGAGCTCAAACGTCACTAGAAGAAGCTCTGGAGCTGGGCGGATTCGGCTACCCTGCCATGGCCGTAGTTAACGCCAAGAAACTCAAGTTCTCTACGCTGAGGGGTTCCTTCTCTGAAACTGGCATCAATGAGTTCCTTAGGTAAGAATTACGAGTTAATTATTATTTCGTTAATGGCGGCCACTAGGCTTGGGCCAATGTCAGTTTCGATGAATGTTGCGGTATCGGCTCACGGCAGCCGCCTTGTCGTTTGCACGACAGAATCGTTTGAAATCTCTTCCCATTGTCACGACAGTCTGTCGTCGTAACGTCAAAAGAGTCGTGAACGACAGTTAATCGTGTTTTACTATATGTGACCAAGATCATTTAAATATACAAGTCACGACACTAAACTGCACGACTATGTGCGAATGGGAACGTGCCCTAAACATTTATAGCTTACATTGGGTACGAGAAGTATGGTAGGTAAACTTGCGGAGTCTATTTAAATATAATGTCTATTGCTGTACCAGCTTCTGTAGATAACACAGCAAGGAAACCTGACCTGTGTCAAATTGTCTTACAAATCTGAATTCCACCAACTCACTGTCTTGTTGGCCACTACTCCACCAACAAAAGCCTTAAATAAGAAGCTTCCTTTCACTTAGCTAGCCTATACCTAGCTTAATATTGTTCGTTGTCTCGTATTTTATTACTTTTTAATGCAAATATACTGACAAACGATTGGGACTGTCATACATAAATAAGGCTCGATTACGATACAAAAAATTAATTACAGTTAATAGCGACATCTCTAACCAAGGCTGGTAGGTATAAAGATACCTTACTGAGGGTGTAATACTTTCATCGATTTCTCATAGATAGCGTTACGGCGAAAAAGTAGTTGAAAACCAAATACAAAGGTCCGACAACAAGCAGATAGTGAAATTGGTTGGCTGGTTCGTTCCGTGGCTTAGTTGGCATAGCGTCAGGCGCTGTTGTGTTGCTAGGAGACATCGGTTTCGAATCCGGCCGAATGGAAGGAATTTTTTCTAAGTGTTCGATCTTTGTATTAATAATTATAATATTATATATTTTTCCACTTTGAAACCAGTAGCATAAATTAAATCTCGCGTTTTCAAATTTTATTCTAAATAAAGTTTATTTTTCCTTTGTATAAAAAAAAGTTTACTTTTTCCTTTACTGATGGTATTGGTTTTAGCGTGTTATATCATTTGGTTCTCATTACTCATTAACTTCTCAGGGATCTATCATTCGGCCGAGGCCGGACGGCTCCAGTCAAAGGCGCACAAATGCCCAAGGTGTCTAAAACAGAGCCTTGGGACGGAAAAGACGGCGAATTGCCCCCCGAAGAGGACATTGACCTCTCGGACATTGACCTCGAAAAGGACGAGTTATAAGTGAGAATGGATTAATTCCAGAATTAGTGTGAACGAGGAGCGTGTAGAAATAAAGTTACCGAGGCGTTTTTTGTTTCTTAAGACGCACTCAGTGATTATAAGCCACTAGAGAGAATACATCAGAACTGTGATTGTTATTAACGCATTTTATTGTGTAAAATAACTTGCAAATCGACAGTAACATCCAATCAGAACTCATTATTGATACATACTTAAGTCACTGGGTCTCTGGTGACATTTTGGGCAACATAACATTACTTAATACGAATAATGACACCATGTACAACAAATATACATATTTACGTTCTCTCTGACTCGAAACTATATCTCTCAATTTTATTAGTGTAAGAAAATGAGTACAGTTTTGGAATTGAAATTTTGAGTAATAGTAGATATATTGTATATCTATATATAAAAATACCTCACTTTAAAAGACCTAAGTTTAAAAATTATAACATATCTTAAAATCGTCTATAATTTTTGTTTATACGAATGGATGTTTCAATATTGTTTACATTTACCAGCCACTAAGTAACCAAAAAAAATAATCAATATTTCCTCTCACTTGCCAGGAAATTGTGTCTGATATGTATTTTTGTATTTATTATTCTAGTGGAGTGATGTCTTTGAAAAATCACAATAAAATTTTACATGCATCATTATAAGCTTAATGCAATCTTTTGACTGAATAATTTGTAATAAATTTGTTTTACATCTTCATATTCCATTGCTAAAAATGTAGTTTTTCAAGCAAATGTAATAAATAATTTATTTTATTATAAAAATGTATAAGTAGTTCAATATGTCTATGGGCTGCATCTTCCAGTTAGTGTTTGATGTTCTTAGCTCTTTATAGAAGTCAGTCATTGGATGTAATTTTTACGAATTGTATTGTAAAAGTAATCCATAATAAATTTTTATAAGGCAACTTTTTGTTTTAGTAGCTATTGATCCCACCCACATTTCTTTCACATGTAATGTAGCAACAAACATAAAATTTAGTGTGTTTGGCTGAACACAAAACAATGGGCAACTTATTCTTAATTTAATGAGCTCTGTCAAGGCTATTCAAACATGTAACCATTCAAAATAAGGTTACCAGAAAGACAAAGTACTTGACTTCAAGGTTTTCCTACAAAAAACTAAATAAAAAACCACATACCAGTAAATACAATAGTATATTTTTGAGCATTTAATTCATATACACATGTAACCTAAACATAATCTTATAAATCTACAGTCTTTTAATTTCTGCTTTTGCGGTACAGCTGCTAATCTCAAATTAATACTGATTAAAAAATGATCCTCTACCTCATAGATAATTACACAATTTTACACTAAAATGTTTTTTTATGTTAACTTATCTTAAATTATTTTGACATCATTAACAAAACTTTGGACATTTTCAACCTTAGGTCCTGTATTTAAGAATTTTGATATAATAGTTGTAATACCCATATTTAAGATACCTTTATCAAGAAACAAACTGGTTGTATTAATTACATTTTTGTGTACTCATATCTATGTAATTAAGATAACTTTATGTCATTCAACTTAACATTTGATATGTATAAAGACAATAAGGCTCTAATTTCATACATATTTTGTGTGTTTGTTTGTCTGCAATTATCCTCCCAAAATTGGCCTGGTACTGATAATAAATGTATACCATACTTGGGCTTAATTATCCAATGCAATTTCACCTTATTGTTCTTATCACTGTGGCCTAATGTGTAGTTGTTCAATGTTGTTTTGTTATCTCATACTTAAAAGTCTCACATGACAAGAAAATATGTTAGTAACTTATACATATATGAATACTAAAACAGTAAACAATACCTCCAATTAACACTATGCCAATTTAATTCTCTGTTTTTAATGTAAAGTCTTATTTATTTACAAATATTATGTTCTCTGAATTTTGTTCTTTTGTTTCTTTATTTTTAGTCACGAGATTCGGGGAGCATAATATTAGTAAATAAAGTTGTTTACATTAAAAAGAAAATTAAGTTGGCATAGTGTTTATTGGAGGTATAGATTTACAGTATGAGAGGAAAATGTCAAAAGGTTTATGTAGTTGTTCTGACCTACTTGTTAAGAATAAAGTATGGCACCTGTTTGTTTGAGGTAGATAAAGTGTGTTCCATATAAACATGTGAAGACAAAATTATTACTGTAAAATTCTAAAGTTAGGTACCCTTAGTGCTTATTGAACACATGATTTTGGGCAAGCTTATTATACCTAAACACATTAGGTACCCACTTTTTTTATTTTACACATATTTGGGTACCTAAATACATTGGCATGTCAATCCTAATATTTTTTAATTTGTTTAACAATAATGAACCTAATTATATTCAGAATTGGTCCCGAACAGTCTTATCTTATTTTATATTTTTTAAATTCCTTAATGTAATAAATCACATGGTATTTTAAATTTGTGCCTGAAATCTGCAATCACACAACCCTAAAAATTCATTGGTCATCTTATTCATATGTATAGGTACATAACAATATTACCTTCAAGCCACACTAGGTAGTCCGATCATGTCATATTTCCGTGTTTTTTTACACATAATCGGATAACAGATAGAGAAATAGTAAAATCCCATACCTGCTAGAATTAAAGTAACAATTATTGTAACTAAACCCCATGCAGAGACGCCTAAACCTCTTCTTGTAGCATTCTGCGCCGGAAGCCCAGACGACGTACCGGCGAGAGTTTTCACTTGCCCGGGGGCACTATATCCCTTAACTTGTTTGCTATTTCCATACGATCTCCCGAAACCACCCAACGCGTCACAAGGCGAAAACAGTAGATTTATGACTGAAACAACCATTCATCATTTGGCATTGTACTCCTAGTACTAGAATATTTATGCCGAGGTCATTATTCACTTACCAAGTAGAGCAAGAGTTCCGCGAATAATTTTACTCATCATATTTTTCATTTCAATCTCCTGTGCTGACAATAGTCGATTGACAGAACGGAAACTTGTAGAATTATTGTGTAATGCACTTTGCTGCCAGTACGACAAGACAAACAAACGAGAAAAGAACATCGAAGTATTAATGTAATTTAAACTAGGCTAATCTCTCGTCGACAAACACACGAAAAGTTTCATATGACAGGGGCAGAGTTAAAGAATCGTTTGTATCGTTTATTTTTGCCCTTATCTTCGCTGTCACATCAAAGGCAGAATTTTTATTTTCTGTGTCCGTGTATGAATACATATTCGAAAGAAAAGTTAAGGTTAGTATCTATGATAATCATTTTAAAAGAATTCTTTGGCTTATTGGTCTTGTAACCTGACCATAAATTTTATTTAAAAAAAAATTCATCGTCTTTTTCTCTTTTTAGTGCAATACACGTGCGATTTTTCCATCCGATAGTCTGATCCAAGTACCGAAAGGCGCTCGTACCATATAATTGTATGAACACTTAATACACGTCCGATCCGATTATCGGATCGGACGTGAAATCACGTTCGAGTCGGAAATAGCATCTGAATTTATTACTGGTCCGATTGTCTGAAGGCGCGCGCGCGCTCTCTATACTTTTGCGGGGAGACGAAATACACGTCCGATTCTTCTCTCCGATTTGCAGCGTTGCCAATGCAAATTATTCAAAATGCTCAAAAATTAAGGTTATAAATTTGGGGAGAGCAAAGATCATATTATTTCCCACATGTAATTTATATATGTATTTATTATATTATTATTGTTACGCTTAAAACATATCAAATAATTATGAAAGTCAAAATATGCCCATCTATACATATACGTTATGCTATAATTAGAAATAAACTCAATAAGCTTGACGAGTAGCAAGTTGTGGTATTAAGGTTTATCCACACATACCCGGGACGTGGACGAGCCGTGCTCCATCAGGGGCTCAAAAAAATATCGTTGCGAATATTTTGTATGAACTCGTTTACACATGTCCATGTCCGGGCCGGCGCCGGGATGGGCCCGCAGTTCATACAAACTAGCATGCTCCGTCCACGGCTCGGGAACGGCCCTGATGTGGATAATCCTTTAAAATACCCACTGCTCGGCTTTGTTCGGCAACAGCTGTATTCTTTTTTCACACCGGAGACCGGTCATAACGCGAGGAGGGATCACGCGCTCAACACGCATCGACTGATCATTATCACCCTATTTAAGAGCCAGGCTTTTGTCGGTGACTGAAAATAGTAGTAATTTTACAATACAAGTTAAAGTGATTCTAATCCTACTGGATAATTTTATGCATATATGCGATTTGCTAATAATTCTATATAAACGTTGCTATATAAGCAGCGCATGTGCGATGTTGAAATGAATATCAATATCGTTCATAAACAAACAAATAAATAGTGAAAATATTCTAATAAAAATGTAATATCTTGTACCTATCCTACAATGATTATTTTCAAAATCGTCAAACTAAATAGTTGAATTTTAAGATGAGAAGATTTCATTGTAAGATGCCAGTAGCACCGTAAATGCAAAATTCAATTTTTTGATTAATATATCTACATAATGCTATTTAATTAATTTTGCTACAATAACAGTAACAGTTGAAAAGATAAATGGATTCATCGTGCTAGGTTGTATTCCCTTTTTAAATTAAAATTTTATCATTGATCATCAATGTAACAAAAATATGATAAAATTCTAGAATGCGATTTTTTTGAAATTTTCCATACATAGCGTAATCCAAACAAAATCCCCAAACGAGTTATTGAGTTGAAATTCCCTGCATTTTGGGGAATTCCCCATAAATTGGCAACAATGTAGTAAATTCAGAAAAAGTCTGACGAAAGAATCGGACGTGTATTGAGTGAATCCATCCGATAGTCGGATCCGACCGTCAGACACAAAAACGGACGTGTATTCCCGCACTTTTTAGTATGTAATTGAGTAAGCATTCAAAATCATACTCAAGTTCTTGCTATTAGGGTCGTATTTCCAGTGCTTGAAATCATACTCAAGTCTGCTCAAGTCCTGACTTGAGCATTGAGTAGAGTTCTGGAATACGAATGTATTGAAACTAGACATGGAAACAAGCATTGCCAACATAATAACACTAGTTTGATGTCGTGTACTTCCGCTGTCTGCGTTGTCAAATGTCAAAAAGGAAAATGGTACCGGCGATGGCGAACTTACGATTCTGTTTTGTATTCCTGTTCTGTGTTGTAATATGCACTCAAAATGCAAATGCTGAGACAACGACAATAACCAATGATATAAAACTGAAAAATGTTGACCGAACAATAGACATATCGACACAACTCGTGAAAATCACTTCGAAGGTAACCTTGGAGAACATTGGAAAATCGCCGGTAAAAAGTTTTCTGGTTGCAGTAGAGCCATCTGTTAAGGGTAATTTGGCATTCATTGGTGCTAAGGACAGCAGTACCAGAGATCTTCGGGTTGTGGACGCCATTGTAAAAGAACATGACAAAGTTAAGTTTTGGCGTGTCGAATTCAAAGATCCAGTGGTCGCCGGTTCTACAACTGTGGTAACAGTGGAAGAGGTTTTAACCAAAGCATTATCGCCGTTCCCGACAGCGATCACGCAGCAGGAAGATCAACTAGTAAAATACTACGGTAACTTGTATTTCTACACCCCATACAAAGTGATGTCACAGAAAACCACTGTTCTAGTGAACACGAAGAATGTAGAATCCTTCACTAAAGTAAAACCTTTTAGTCAGCAAGATGGGATTATTCAATATGGCCCATTTAATGAGATAATGAATCCGTTTAGTGAGAAGGAACTGAATGTTCACTATAAAAATAATTCTCCTTTCTTGACTGTCACTCGTATCGAAAGACTTATTGAGGTGTCGCACTGGGGCAATGTTGCTGTTGAAGAAAAAATTGAGGTGGAACACACCGGTGCTAAGTTAAAAGGGCCTTTCTCCCGGTATGACTACCAACAGGACCATCATAGTGGACCTGCAAGTGTACGCTCCTACAAGACACTACTTCCTGCCTCTGCATCAGATGTTTACTACAGAGATACAAATGGCAACATCTCTACTTCTAACATGAAGGTTAAAAAAGACTCTGTTGAACTGGATCTTAGGCCAAGGTACCCACTTTTTGGCGGTTGGAGAACTCACTATACTTTAGGATACAATGTACCAAGTTATGAGTACTTATATCAGTCTGGTAATGAATACCTGCTTAAGATGAGGTTGATTGACCACATCTTCGATGATATGCAAGTTGATGAGTTGGTTATTAAAATAATTTTGCCTGAGGGGTCAACGAATATCAAAGTAAATGTTCCCTATCCAGTGACCAGACTTCCGGACAGCTTACATTACACATATCTAGATACTAAGGGTCGTCCTGTAATTTCATTTACGAAGAAGAATCTTGTAGAGAATCATATTCAAGATTTCCAGCTTCGTTATACATTCCCTCGTTTGCTTATGTTGCAGGAACCACTTCTTGTTGTTGGCTTCTTGTATGCCTTATTCCTATGTGTAATAATTTATGTTAGATTAGATTTTTCTATACATAAGTCTGAGCATCACCACAAAGAGTAAATTAACACTATTAATTTAAAATTAAATTTCTATTATTGTTTGTAACAGGTCTAGTTACTCTGCATTTCAGTTTGGCGCAAATGATTGTGTGAGGAAATAAATGTTTTTTTTAATAACATTTTTGGTTTTACAAACCATTGTCTACTTTTTTCTTCTTTGTCCTACAATTAGCCTTATTCGCTATAAACAGATGGGTTGTATTATCATAAGGGAAAGGGTGGAGCCTAGTAGAGCCTCAGCCTAGCCCTTTGTAGTCAGGTATTTTGCTGTCTGTTGTGGTCAAACATGTCACACTTTTTTATCCATTATCTATCTAATTCAGCCCCCGTAGCATGGCTACGCATGATAGTCGCGACGCGCGATAAAATTTAAATAAGCGCGCGCTATTTCAGTTTTTCTTATAACATCAAGTGACGGGACGAGCAAGTCGTGCGCCTGATGGTAAGCAACACGCCTGTCCATAACAGTTACAGTGCCACTCAGAGCTTTAAATTGCAAAGTTCTGAGGGGCACTACCACTGCGTCCGTTACCCTGAGATATAAGTTGACATGTTCATGTGCCTGTAATTTCACTAGCACCCTTACCCTTCAAAACCGGAACACAGTAATGCTGACATTACTGCTTGACTGCAGAAGAAGGTAAGGTGGCAGTAGTACCCTGGAGGAACTCTTTCACAAGGCGTTCTACTGAATTAGATCTGATTGAGACTGCCAATAGCGCGCGCTTATTCCAATTTTATCGCGCGTGTCACGACTATCATGCGTAGCCATGCTATGGGGGTATATATATGATCACAAGTTTCACATTACTCAATAAAAAACGATTATCATTTATCAATTTATAAAAGGCAAATGTTATGTTATACATAGTTCAGTAAATATGTACATATATATATAAATGGCGGTATATATGTATACAATAATGGAGCTATGGTAGTATAGTAAATTTGAGCTTTTAACAGTAAAATAAAAGAAAAACTATTTACAGATAAAATTTACATTATGAACCAAGACAAAACAAAGCTCTTGCTTATAAACATCTCTATACATCGCATTCTTCGGTACAAATCAACAGAAACAATCACTTTGTTTAGAGTACTTGAACAAGAGTGAAGTGTTTGTTTAACATTATGTTTATTTATTGTATGACACAACCAGTCATTTGCAAAAACCATTGTTATGGCAAATCGTTCTACGGTATGACTAAATTAATTGAAATATTAGATTGATTCTCAATAAAAATAGTTCTATTTCATATTGAACTTTTTTGCTTGTTTTATACAATTCCTATAATATGTTGTTTATAGTTTGTCATCACATGCCATACTCTGTAAGTTTAGTTCTAAGAAGTACAGGCGCACTAGTGCAAGGCAGCATGGCTTTCTCTGTGACTACAGCAGTGATGAGATTTGGGGGTGTGACATCATAAGTTAGGTTTAGTGGTGTGAGATTAGGGTTTGTTCGCCAGTCCTTTAGAGGAGAATTTTCATCAGTTTTATCGATTAGTTCGTCTGGATCGCCTGTTGATAAAAATTTAGATTAGTGTTGGTTTCATATGCTGAAAATTTAATACAATTGAAGCAATGGGTGTAACAAGGGCGTATTACGTAAAATGAGATTCGACAAAATTGAAAATAAAGTTTTAATATCTTATATCTTTTTAATATTTATAATATGACTCTTATATACTTTATTATTATGAATGAAACTTACGTCACATATAAAAACAATTACCTATCCGTGATACTACTAGGCCTGTCGGTAGTTACACGGGTGATTATTATTGCCCGTGGAACTACTAGTAGTTCTGCTGGTAGTTCCACAGGCAACAGAGGATAATTTAGGGGATAGATCGAAATGAGTTTTTATCACAAAATACTAGATGGCGCTTTACATGTTTTGATGCAATAACATCATGACGGGCTTTGAGTGTCGAAAGCTCTCGTGCTCCCAATGCTTCAATTATATTATCAATAAATAATATTGTTTAATTTGGACTATTAAGTGACATTTCTATTACAGGTTAAGTTGTGGAATGTTTTAAAAGATCCAAAAATTATACCTTAAAATGATAAATGTTTGATCGATCACTAAATTACAACCTTGATGCTATGTGATTCGACTTGGTGAACATAACGGGGAGCGTAAGATACTCAGTTTAGGAACGTGGGGATCTATTTGTTCACAATTTTCAAACCACAATGAAATATGAATAGTTTTATTTAAAAGTTCACTGTCCGGCCAGCACATTACCCAGTTCGTTGTAGACGAAAGCATCAGTCTGTACTTGATCGCTGAACTTGTGTGCCTCACATGCGACGAGAACAGGCACGTTGTGCGCGCGCGCCACCAGCGCCGTCTGCGCCGTGCCCGCGCTACCGACGACGCCGCCGTGCGCCAGCAAGGACCCCGCGCCCAGCAGGACCAGCTTTATCTACGGAACATCATATGATTATAATACACATATTTAAAATATGCTATATATTCGCTCTTGGTCAGTTGTGGTCAAGACAAGGTCGACGATGGAGCAAACTTACCTAGGAGATCCTATTTATCCTGTCCATGAAGATGTCTGCATATTAAAAAGGACGAATAGTATCATCTCTGCTTGGACCTAATATTTGGTATATCAACCACTTATATAGAATTAAACACTGGATATACTCACAGTCTTCATAACGTAGCTGATAGCTGTGATGTCAACGTAGGTGCAGGGCAGTCCGCAGGCGGAAAGCCGTCGTAGCATCTCTCTGGCGGCTCCGTTGACGCGGTTGCCGGCGATCACCGCGCGAAACTTTATGCCAGCGGTCCACGCCTCGCGTAGTATGCGTTCGATTAGGGACGAGCTGAACAAACATCGTATAGCAATACAGTGCAGGCGTGATTCCAAACTCAAACGAGACTTTTCGTATTTGATACATTTGACAAACAATCACCATGTCGCACTGTTAATACAATAGTGTATTAACTCAAAAAGTGTATTTTCTTAGAATCGACGAAAAACGATTCAAAGTCTAAGATTATTTATTCCATAGGTAAAATAAATTTACACTTGAAAACGTCACATTTAAGCTACTGCTCGTTCACTACGCTAACCTCCCTGAGAAGAACAATCAAGAAACTCTAGGGATTGGGAATTACTCGCTTCCCGTGAAAGATCTGTGTAATTTTACGTATAAGTTAATTCCTACTTGTCAAATATACATATTTAAAAATAAAAGAGAAAAAATAGTTTCATATTTTTTAATAAGGACAATTTTGGCCAGAACCAGCTCACATAAAGCGTGTCTCATTTTGAACTAAGTAGTTAAGTAGGTATATATATTTTTGCTGTTTTTTACTATATTCTAACGACGATTTCATTGACGTGTAGAGAATCAAATTTTACGTTCAGCAATGGTATAATCTTGAATATCACATATTTTGAGTTACAACACTATTGTAATAGAAGTGCGATGTGTAGATAGCGTGAGTGACAAAGTATTTTCCATGTTTGCCTATTCGACAAATACAGCAAATACCTCGAGTAACCGCGCGCTAGTCGGTTTCTCGACGAACATTAAATGGAGCCAAATACGCAAGTACACCGTATATATTTGGCCCCATGTGTAGTCACCGTCGGTCATATTTGTCAGTGTTTGCATGTTTGTCTGTTTCTAAATACACCAAACACCCAATAGTGTAGCCATGTTAAGTGCCGCCATAAGACTTAGAAATTAACTTCGTTATTATCGAGTTCTTAGGTTTTCGCGATTGTTATACATAGGAAATGAAACTATTTTCCGGATTTAAATCGCGTATATTTGTTTTTTCAAACAAACCGACGTTTCGGGCCCTTTACAGGACCCATGGTCATGGTTGACTGGTTGTAACTTCGTTATTATTAATATAATTACTATGGTTTTCATAAGATAAACATCAATAATATTACAGTTATTTAAATATAACATTTGAGTAGTGCTCTCTAGTTGGAGACCTACTCCCGTTGTCCGTCCGATATCAACCCTAATAAATAAAATATTCACTGTCAAATAAGTAATACTCGACCAAATTAAAAAGCAATGTAAAGTATGAAGCTTCGTTCGAATCATGCGTGTTTTAATTTAGTTGAGTATTACTTACTTTAACAAGACCGCCAGTTAAAACCTCACCTAAGGCCGCGTTCCCACTATATCGTCACGTTTTTTTATCGTCTGACGACTGTCGTTCTAGCTGTTTCCACTGTGACGACAGTTTGTCGTTGTAACGATAAAAAATCGTGAACGACAGTTAATCGTGTCGTGCTATGTGTGAACAACTTCATTTAAATATACAAGCCACGACACTGTAAACTGTCATCACGACATAGTGGGAACGCGCCCTAACCCTTTGTACCGAGGATAAATAGAAACTAAACAAAGACAAAATTTAGAAATTTAGACCACTGCCCAGGTTAAGACTAATATCTAAATGAAATTTGAAAAAGATTAACTTTGTATTCCTAATTATAACATACTAGTGGAGTAATTTCACAAAAAACAATTGAACATCAAGGTGGTAAAACATCCTGACATTCAATAAAACACTTAATTACAGTGAAAAGCGACATCTCTAGCCAGGGCTGGTAGCTGTAAAGGTGCCTAACTGGGTGACAAAATACTTTCATAGATTTCTTATAGACTGCGCTACGGCTAAAAAGTCGTTAAAACCCAGATACATAGATCCGACAACAAGCACATGGAAAAATTCGTGAGGTCCACTAGTTCGTTCCGTGGCATAGTTGGCATGGTGTCTGCCACGGTTTGCAAGAAGACGTCGATTCGAATCCGGCCGGATAGAAGGAATTTTTTGTAAGTGTTCAATCTTTGTATTAGTAATTATAATAATAAACTAGTGGAGTAATTTTACAAAAAATAATTGAATATCAATAGTACCAGAATTAATTCTATGTAAATAATATTCTGCTTTAAAAACTCACCACCCATAAGTGAGAATATTATCGCCATTGGTTATCTTCTGCTGCACCGTCGTGCTTATGGCCTGGCCCGCTTTGTCTATCTGGTCCTCTATGTATTTATCTATCTCCTCTTGGAGAATTTTCTTTGCCTGTTGGAATATAAATATTTTAAAGAGGCATAAAAGGTGAAGGCTCAAGTGACTACCACGGGCCGAAATTAAAAAAATATATATTAAAATTAGCGTACGTCGTCCCATGGTCAGTGATAAATTCTCGCGAAAAATTAGTATAATTACTGCATAAAATAATTTTTTCATAAAAACATCCAACCTCAAAAATTTCTCCTCTAATTCCTCCTTCTCCTCCTTAGAGGTGGAATATTTTCTTCGAATCTAAATTGGACCACTATCAGGGTACGCCCTTTCCAACACAAAAAAAAGAGTTATCGAAATTCTCACTTACTAACTTAAAACTACCCAGTCACTTGTTGTTTTAGTCTTAAGTATTAGATTTTAAGTAGGAGCACGGAGCAAACAGCAACAAATAGGGAGAAATGGAAATCTCTGGAAGAGGCCTATGTCTTAGGACAAGCTGAAGGTACGAATCAACACATTTGAGTAATAATAAATAAGTAATATATAATAAGTACTCATGTCATACAATGTTTCTGTGTTAAATAATTTAGTATGTAAGTTATCAGCAATAAAGGCTATAAATAAATAAAGTAGTTTCAAGTGATTCAATTTAAAAATAAACGTTTTTTCTTTCTTTCTTTCAAATGTCCAAGTAATCGAGTAACATACACAAAAAAATATAAAATAAGGTAATAAAGTGCAACTACAAATATAAAAAACTCACATCAAACTCATCAATATTATTCGGCAGTTGATTGAGATGGTGTCTGAAATACTTGACGGCGTTCGTCTGCGAGGCAGACGGCTGTCGCATTGACCACAGAAAGTTCAAGCTTGCGGCCAGGTGTGACTCTAGGCCGCGTGCGAATTCTGTCTTAGCTGGTAATGTGTAGTCTCTTAACATCTAAAAATTAACATAATTTATTTCCAAAACTTAATCTATTGTTATACAGGTTATCCACCCAATGATACAGACCAGCAAAATGAGTAAATGTTACATAAGATATAAAGCGCTATCTTTGGGAACTCACTCAGAGAACAATGGAACAGATCAATCCTATTTGTTATGTCATTCACGGTGTGCGCAATATAATAAATTGTTGATTTTAATAAAATTTAAACAATATGCTATTTACGTATTTTTTTATTGAATATAAGCAACTCTAAGCTTTCTTTTGAATTCATTTGTCTAGCAGACGTTATTAATACTTGTTCACAATTTGGATGCGAATATACGAGTCATGGACTTTCATTACCTATTTGATTAAGCTAAAAACCACAAAACAAATAATATTGTCGTTAATAAATTACCTTTTTGATAGCATCAAGCAGAGCAATACATCTGGCATTAGACCCTGACACAACTCGTGTTGCTAATTGTACACCTAGCTTCACAATTGCAGGATGTAGGCTAAAAGACACAAGAAAATATATAATCTAAATTCTGCACACAAAAATAATAGATTATGTAACAATATGAAGTATCTTGAAAGAAACCTAGAGCTCAAAATATTACAATATTGAAAATCAATATTAATTTATGTTAATAAAAGTCGAAACTTACCTTGAATTTAAAGCAATTTTCTTTAAAGATTCCTTCTGGTCATGTTCTGGATGCAAATGTTGAAACCAATTTACTCTGTTGGCACTTGTGGATTTTGGCTTACCCTTGTCTACTGACTTTGGTTTAGGGGATTTTTCCTGAAAACACAATGTCTATAATTTCAACTCTCTTTTCTCAAACTCGTTTCTTAAAGCACAAAGTAACTGAAATGCAAAATTGCATTCTATGTACAAATTCTGCAGGCTGATGTCACATCACATTTCCTTTATATTCACACACTGACTTTTACCTACTCTTAAAGTAATGCATCCAAACTAACACTCTTGGTAAGAAATTTAAAATAAATAGAAAGTTTCTTTATAAGATACCTGTTTGAGAAAGTAAGCCATCAATATGTCATATTTGGAGGTGTAATTCTAAAATATGATGAAATATGAACAAACTATTGCATAACATTTATATGTATGTTTTTTATTGTGACATTTCATTAGCTTGTGTTGTTTGTTAGATTTGTTTTACAGGACAACCATTTTGAGAAATAACTTTTCTAAGCTGGTCCTAGTCTGTATGTTCTAGGTATTCCTGAGTGTGTTCTGTTCATCTGGTACATGTAGTAGAGGGAATTTCCTAGTTTGAGGGTAGGTAATTATCATATTTGCCAAGTGTCTACCAGAACACAAGAATTTATTTAAAATTTTTATAACACTTACCTTAATCACATCATCACCAACAGGTTTATCTGTCTTAACCATAGCTGCCTCGAGTTTCGGCTTTGCAGCCGGCTTTTGGTTGGTTGCTGCAGCTTTAGCAGCCCTCTGTGCCTCTTGCTTTGCGCGCCTTTCTGCTCTTAACTCCGCCTTACTTTTACCTTCTTCTGTTTTCTTTTCGCCCAATTCTTGGTTGTCGTTTACTCCTTCTATATTTGTTTTAGTAGAATCTTCATTTCCTTTGTTTGATTCTTTAGGCTTACCTTTATTAGACTGCTAAAAGAAATGATATTAACATTATTAACAATATTACATATTGGAAACAAAGACAACACAAGCTAGTCAACACATTGAAATAAACACATGGTCACAAAAGCATTACACTATTGCTTTAACTTTCACAGGGCTTGTCTTTCAAACCCCTTGACCAAGCAAAAAGCCCAAATTAATAAGAAGTACCTTATTAGCTTCAAAATTAAGAGCACTAACTTTGGCAGTAAGGTCTTGCATATCCTTGGCAACATTTTTGATGTCCTTTAAAGTTTCTGCAACATCTCTGACTGTCATGTCTCGGTTTGCAGTGACATTGTCGCCTGTTTTCTTAGACTGTTTAGCAGTTTTCTTAGCTGCTCTTTCAGCTTTAATTTGATCTCTGGATTTCTGGCTGTCTCTAACTCCCTCTACATCTACAGCTGCTCGGTCCACAACATCTTGAGATTTAGGTGATTCTTGTTTAACTTCTTTACTTTCTGTTTTTTTAGGTGTCACTACGTTGGAGTCCTTTAGTGGTGGTACTTCTAGTTCTTTTTTTAGTTTTTCTGCTCCTTCTTTCTGTGAACCATTTCCTTTGTGTTTAGCTTTCTGCTTCGCCAATTTTTTAGCTTCTCTTGCAGCTAAAACATCATCTCTAGTCTCTTTCGTAGACATGTTTATTTCTTGTAAGTAAGTTTTATATCTGTTTCAACTTTCTGCTTTCCTAAACTTGTAATACAAACTTGCTTTTTTAGTTTCTTAGCAGTATTTTTCAACAATGTAGTATTATTTAACAAATTACTGTTTAGAACAGCATTTATCGGATCAGCAGTGGCTCTGGCTGCTTGCAATCTTTTTCTTCTCGTTCTCCGTTTTTGAGCTGATGTTAGATGTAATAAATTTACATCATTCTCTGCTTCACCCTGCAATAAAGTAGGCTATTATTATCATTAGGATGGCTTCATTAGGGGCCTATGCAGCCGCTCATCACTGCAACCATCAACTGATCTATTGTGATCACCACTAATGACAGTTTGGAACCAATGCCAACAGCATTAAAGAACTGAAGGACTTTCCTGGCTCTGACAGTATTTATGTCCTCTGGTTGTGGTCCATGCCGTCCCAGTATGGAACTTTGTACACCCATCAGGGGGCAGCACTGGGTGAGGGGATGCACAGGAGATTCATTCGCCTCATGGTAGAAGCAGGCTAATTCAATAAAATGGTAGAATGAAGTAGCCTAATATAGATAATAAACTTAAATTAAAAAAATTTAAATTGACTTCACAATTTTAGAGTATTGTCTATGGATTATTGAAATTGATAACACAGTCAACTCTAGAAAGATAGAATGTCAGAATTGTGTTTAACCACAAACGTGGCATACAAAAAGGTCAACTCAATCGAAGTGCAAGTAAATAGGGACACATAACCTCCAAACAAAAACAATTGACACATCACAGAAACCTGTGAAATATTTCCAATACATTCGACAACACCATAGCTGCTATTCCTTAGTAAGCTATAAAACAGGTCATACAGAAAGTAATTCAGTCACAATATCAAAGTTATGCTAAAACCATCTGATTACATACCGTAAATTTTCACGTGAAATCGCTATCATGGCAATGTTATTTTAAAACAATTTGGTTAAATTGTAAAGTGCTGTCTTAAGATGTTTTAATGTTATAACATTGAACTGATTTGAACATAGCAAAGAAATTGCAAAAAATCAGCAAGTCAAAGTCAATCCGTCATTGAATTTAAGCATTTTAGAAGGTTGTTTGGTTTTTTTTTTGACAGCGGCCTCTGACAGTTACGTTATTTGATAACTATCTTCGTAAACGTGTCTTACTAAAATTATACAGCTGATGCAAAATACCAATTCTATATGTTGGACACCTAAAGACTTAAAATCATACAAATATTAGATGACCGCTTAGGTAGATAATAGCGGTATTTTTTTATTAAAGCAACTTGCACTGTACGGGAACATTGCTCATGATTCATTGAAGATGTTCACTATGGGATTTTACTATAAACGTTAATTCGCATTAAAGTCGAATTGTGCAAAAATCTTGATATTATTACTAAAAAGGATTTAAACTCAATCCTTAATGTGCAATAATTTAATGGTATATTTCAATTTATGTCGTTTTATATACCTATTCATTATTATTCATTTGTTATACAGGTCACTAAAAAAAAGAAAACGATATAATACAGTAGATTTATATTTAATTTACAAATTATGATTTATATATTATCCGTAAATGTATAAACATAATATAACTAACAAATGATTAATGATAAAGTGTAAATTAACTACGTGTATAGATATGGGGTACAAATGGATCTATAGGTGTGTTACACATATGCATTACTATTATATTATAACTATACTAAAAATATAGAACTAAATAAAACATTTAAATTATAATTAAACTGGCACCAAGAACTTTCCATTTCAATTGCTTATTCACTTGAATATGACAGCGCCATGGTTAGGCGACGTAGCGAATACATAGTGTTTAGCTTTATCTTTATCGACATTGCATTGCTTTGAATAAAATTCTTCTTTTAACATTTGGATATAATCTTCCGTTTTATCTTTTGGACAGAGTGCTACAATGCACCCTGCCCAGCCTGCACCGGTCAGCCGCGAATGTATGCCCATTTTCTTAGACAAATCCACAAGGTAATCCAAATTTGGATGAGAACATTCGTAAAGATTTTTCAAACTTTCATGACTTGCTGACATTAATTTACCAAGAATTTCAAGAGTTTTGTGTTTATTACCATTGCCGTTTTCATAAGTTTTATCAGAACCATTCGTTCCGTTGGATTTACGGATTTTCTCGTCACGTAAAACTTCTAAACAAACTTTTCTGAAACTTTCGACTCTTATAGCCTCTTCGTAAACGTGGAGAGCTCTTTGTTTTAACTTAAACTCTTTGAAATGCTTGGTATTTGGAGACAAATACAAAGAATCCAATTCTTTTTCGCTAACCTCCAGCAGGGTACATATTTCGTCTTTCGTATAAATATCCTTTGGTAGCTGTTTATGTACAAGATTCACCATATCCTCAAGAGTAGTGCGCAATGTTTCTTGTACTTCACGTAAAGTGGTTATTTTGTGATTTTTATCACCATTAGAAACCTTCAACAATATTTTAGCTGCGAGTCTACATTCCATAACTCGTTGGTTAAAATCATCAGTGGCAGCTTTATTAGCTTCTGCCAAGCAATGAGCAACAACAAATGTGGCATCTTCAGGTAAAGCCACAGGTGTAGCTTTTAAGGGCTGCCAGGTTATATATTGTGCACTATACCTTTCTGCAAGAAACGCTATGGCCTGATCCATTCCACCTCCGTGAGTGCCTATATATCGTTCACTTTTAGCACATAACGAAGCTATTTCAGTCTTATTTAAGTGCGCTTTTTGCGCGTAGAGGAAAGACAAACAGGCTGCGCTGACTAGTGCTGAAGAGCTTGATAAACCCGATGCTGGTGGAATATTTCCGTCAAATAAAAGTTGTACTCCACTTGATTTCTTGTTATTTAGGTGCTCCAGGGCACCTTTGATTCCACAAAGAACATATTTGTACCAATTCGGTTTCTCGTTTTGATCATTTTCTATTTGCAATTCCTCAAAAGTATTTATTTTCACATCAAAACTTTCATACTTCTTATTTACATTTCTTATACAAAGCTTCGGTTCATCCAATAATCCTGCAGCTACGAGAATATCTTGTTCTATCGCCATTGGCAACACTGGATATCCGCAATAATCTATGTGTTCTCCAATGATGTTTACGCGTCCCGGCACTCGGGCGAAAAACGAAGGATTACAGCCGAATTCTACCATAAAGATATCTTTCAGTGTACGCATCCTCTCACTATTTGGTATACTTTGTACTGGCACTTCATTACTTTTACAATGGATATTCATTTTGATTGACTTGATTGGTTAACAGAATAAACCACCGCGCAGCGTTGCTGCTAACTTAAAACTGAAATTCTGTTTATCAGCAACGAGCGCGCTATATTGTTATTGCCTTGAATAAGCTTTGTGCCATGCGCAGAAACCAATTACACGCTTATTTAAATTTACTTAGAAAAATAAACTAGAGTATATGTGTACATTAAAAGAATCTATAGAAATACTAAATTACACATAATGTTTAAGGAGTAAAATGACAACTCCATTTTAAGAACTTTGCTAATTGTTACACCCGTCACAGTCACTGCAAAAACAAAAAGGTTTTAGAATACCTATATTAAAATATTTTTCAAATTTATCAATATAACCTCAACGAATACTATTTATCCAGTCACTTTTTTGTGTAACTAATGATGTGTGTAGGAACATCTTAAAGTATGCCAATGTACAGTTAGATTTCTATAACTGGTTTTTTAGAAGTAAGTTTTAACATTTCCAGTAAGTGTCTAGTAATTTTTAATGCAATACAATACGTATTATGATAAGTAAATATAATTATTTTACTTCGTTACTTAGCAGATTGTACATACTTTATTAATTTTATCTTTATTGATTAAGGTGTTCAAGTTGTTTATATTACGCGTTATAATATAAGGTACTTGAGATCTTAAGAGAAATGTTTTTACGTCCTATTATTTACAAGATAACGCTATCTTATCAGTAACACGGTCTACAAAAAAGGTCGTAAAACGAAAAAAAATGTATAATTTTATTGTAGGTAGGTACTTATACAATGGACATGTGGAGGTTTACAGCTGATTACGCGACAAAAATAACAGTGTATTAACCAAAATATTATAATTATTTAATAAAATAATTAATATTAAATTACATTTCTGACAAGTAAAAAAGTATTCATTTAATATTTTAATGTTAAAAGTTGTGAGTATCACAAGTCTTTATTCGTCAGAGGATGGCATAACAAAACAAGATACGGACTGCATACGCATACGTCTAAAATCAATTGTTTAATTTCCTCGTATCGCTCTATTGTGGCGTTTCATAACGTGAGTAGGCGTAGGTATGTAGGAATACTGTGATATGTTTCGTGATTAAATAAAAAATAACAATAGTATGTGCTAAGTACACACAAAATCTTAAAAAGTCAAGGAAATTTTCATTAAGACTAACGTGAATTTATTGCACATTAATGGGTTTGTTATCTAATCGATGAGTGAAATAAAAGAACTTACTAATCGATTTTTAATAACTTACGTTTCCTTCGATTTTGTCACTTTGTTTTTATAATTAATTCACATACCTATAATACAAATCCATTGATTGCTTATAAATTAGTATGCTTATGTAAAAGATTGAAATAATTATTTTTTTAAATAATTTATAGAGTAAGTGAGGCAAGCTAGCTCATGTTCAGCAGTCGACATCTTTTAACTGATGCTGATTGATGAATAATATATATATTTTTAGGCTGGTGAAACAAAAGAAAATAAAAACTATTCAAGTCACACCATCTTGTAGTTTTATTTTGGTCAACTGGTTCGTAAAAGTACGGAAAATGTTTTGACTGGACTGAAGTCGAGTCACTTAAAGTTACATAATTATGTCTTTTTCTTTCTTTTAATTATAGTTTATTTAATATTTAATGTGATTAGTGTGTAGTCTTCGTAATTGGAGCAGTCTTTTCTTTATAATTTATTTATTTATTTATTTATTTACTTTGCATTTTACATGTATGGTACAGATTACACTTATACATTTATTTGGTACATACATGTAATACCCTGTAAGGGTGTGGCAAGTATAAGGCTACAATTTACATATTATTGTAACCTTGAACGTAGTTCATTTATACAGCTTATTATATTACATCTATTTTTAATTATTACTAAATACTACTTAATATTGACTTTATTATTTTGATTATAATTGCAATACATTTTTATTTTAAAATAAATTATAATTTACGTATTAATTAATTAATTGTGGACAATAATTTACATCTAAAAATTATTATAATTATAATTATAATAATGGAGGAAGATACACTATTTTATTTATAAATTTGCACCTATATCTATAACGCTGTATTTAATTTACATAATATTATCTTTTATTCACGACTTTAACACGCCTCTCAACAGACACATCTACATACCTACTTTTATGTAGCATACTTATCAGATTGGTTGTTACTCCGATTTATAACTTCTTTGTAACTACATTGTTTCCTTCTTTTGTCAGTAAAATACGAAGTTTTACTGTTCTCCGAAAGTTATACGATAAGATATACGATCTTGTCAATAATAATTAAATTATAAATACTTATAATTCGAATTTCATGAAACAGAGACTTCCAACCCCGGCATTCCATTTTAGATTTTAATGATGGCAGAAAATAATGGTGATGATCTAAATATGTCAGCGACGTTTCTTATTGGCGTTGATGCACCTGTAAGTAGGTAATATTGGGTACGTCATCAATAACAGTATTTCAAAAAATTGCCCCCGGCAACTATAATTTTAGGTTTATATTTGAGACAATTGAAATCTAGAATAAGAATTACTGTTATTCTTCTAGACTCTATGATTGCCCTTCAGACGCTGTCCCAGATGTCCTTTTGAACTGCAAAGAGAGGAAACATTTGAATTTAGAATTTGTTATTGTGTTGCTCGTTGAAGGATTCATCTGTAATTTTCTCCTGGACGCTGGATCGTTCTGGAATTCGTGAAAACAATTCTGCTACTCCTTGAGCAACGCTGTTGTTCTCGACAACATGGCGCCCTTTAAAAATTACAATCATTATTATGTTACTCTTCATAAAAGTTTCCTTAGACGCGTAGTTTTAAAGATTTGTTTTAAAATTAATTTTATATTAAATTTTTATGGCTTTGAAACTATAGTTTTCGTCAATAAAATTAAATCTTTTTCTAGACGCATACATCAATTTTAACTCGTATGTGGTTGGGGTTTGATTGATCACACACATGTGACGCACACTATGCGAGGTTAAGTAATAGTTAAAAGCGATTTATGTGAATGTGGCCAAGTTAGACATTTAGATCATAATTATGTTTTCAAATTGCTGTAATATGACCAATCTTTACTTTTAAAAAACCTTACACAAGCACATACTTCTACCCACTTTAATCCACATCCTATTATCATCTAATGAGCCAAATATTTAATGCTTTCTACTTAATTTGATTGGAGATAATACAATAAAAATGTAAACAGTCCCCTTATCATTAATATCTCATTCATTACTTATTATCAAATTGTATTTTTACCATAGTTTTAAGTTATAAATAAGCTTACTATCTACTAATATCATATTCTTTAAAATTTCATTTAGATAACGAGGATACTTTGTTTTAAATTTACAAACTATCTTGTCGGTAGCTCCAACGTTGACCCAAAAATCCCAAAACCTAATGGAAAAAATGAACTAATAAGAGGTAGGTGTCATTAACATATAGGTGTACATACAGGCATACATATGACATCGCTTGAAAAAAGTGCGAAGTAAACTTATTCAAAATATTTATTCGTATATATTATTTTATGCTTTGATGAGTTTCTTTTGAAACAATTTTAATTTTATTTTATTCGACAAGCAGTAGTTATACTACTTTATTTTATATTCATTATTATTATTATAATTTTATTACTGACGATCATAGTTATCCCTTGACATTGTATTTCCAATTGCAATATTGTGACATTGATAACATGAAATAAACGATTCTATTAGTCTTTAATAATCTCAGTATAGACTAAAAAACCGACCTCAAAACTCATTTATCCCCAAGTTTGCCACCCTTGGAGTTGGAATATTTTTTTCAAATTTAAATGGGACCATTTCTGAGGTACCCTCTTTCAAAAGAAAAAAGAATAATCAAAATCGGCTCACAAATCGCGAGTTATCACGTAACATGTAGGTATACAAAAAAAAACATCGTCTAACTAATAAATAATTGACTAATTGGAGTAATTCGACATTATAGTTTCCTATGTTGAAATTGTAGATAAATATAATTTTCACAATTTGAATTTCGTAGATGTGCAAAAGAATAATTGTTATTTTTAACCGATTTAAAAAAGGGAGGAGGTTCTCGATTCGACGATGTTTTTTTTGTATATTTACATGTTACGTGATAACTCGCGATTTGTGAACCGATTTTGATTATTATTTTTTTTTGGAAAGAGGGTACCTCAGAAGTGGTCCCATTTAAATTTGAAGAAAAAATTCCACCTCTAGAGGTGGCAAACTAGGGAATAAATCTTAGACTATGGAAACTAATAAATGACATTTGGGGTCGGTTTTTTAGTCTATACTAAGATTATTAAAGACTAATAAAATAATGTGAAGTAAACAACGAAACTTATTGCTTACTTCATAGATAAGTGTGACCAATTTTTTTCTAAATTTATTTATTTCAAAATAAACAAAATGACAGTGGCCACGGGACATATAATCAGCATATAACCCCTCACGGGACCTGTACACCAGTCCAGGCCCAAAACGTTAATTTGTTTGACAAACAAAATGTACGCGATTTAGATCGGAAAAAAATGTTATATTTCCAATGCGTAATAATCGCGGAAATCTTAGAGTTTATTATTATTATTAACTACAAAAGCATCAAATATAATAATTATATATTGGCACTCATAACATTGTTATAATTGTTTTGGGTTCAAATACGAAACAGATAGCATAAGGCTATAGTAGAAAATTTTTCGTCTTTTGAGACAAACTGAAGCTACTAATTAGCCATACGCCAGATCTTAGAGTTTATTTTTTTTTCAATCATTTAATATTCTGTCAATTTTTCACGAGAAATCACTTGTTACGTAACTTTATTTTATTTATACATTGACTTACAATTATATGGACGTCGGGTCCGCGCTAAAAAGTGTCCGAACTTATAGGGCGTTAAAATCGTATACAGAGCGTCATTCACGCTTTAGTCTTCGATTGTTCGACTGACAGCGAAGCAAGCAAAATTAGACAGTACTGCGATGACATTGCAATTTAAATTCAACGTTTTAGCTTTTTCATATTCCTTTACATGTCACTACGTTTAAATAGGTTGACTTGGGACATTTTTTTCGTGGTTATTGTATTAGACCCGTCGTCCATTTATTTGTAAGTCAATGTATTTATTTATCTTAGATTGTTTATCTTAGACCTTGTGTTTAAATTTTTGTGTTGTTTAAATTGGTGTTTACGGCTTTGTGTATACCTTGAGGGGACGAACAAGTCGTGCGCCTGATGGTAAGTTACACGCTTGTCTATAACAGTTGCAGTGCCACTCAGAGCTTTAAATCGCAAAGATGTGAGGGACACTGTCACTGCGCCCGTCAACTTGAGACACTAGTTAACAAGCCCCATGTGCCTGTAATTTCACCAGCACCTTTACCTTTCAAAGCCGGAACGCAGTAATGTACGTACCTACAGTTTTATTGAAATGGCATATTTTGGACGGATTTTAATGATATTTACTGGCAATACTCCAAAAGATATGTCAAAAATATTGCATTGTTTTGTGTTTTTACAAAAAGGTCTTTGTTTACTTTCTTTTCTTGTTAAACTTTAATATCACAGGACTTTGATTCGTTTTCAATAAGTTGCATTCACAAGCTATGTCTAACAACTTAGATTTCACAAAAATATGTCGAGCCTGCTTGACAGATGTTGGCCCTATGAGGGATTTCTTCACCGTTTGTACTTCAGAAGTATTTAAATCCTGCACGTCTATTGAGGTAACGGACATTGCATTTTATTTCTTGCGCTAATTGTAAAGTTTAAAAAATTTGTAGAAAATAATTTTTATTTCTAACCTTTCATGTCATGAGATTATCTGGCTAGTGTGTTACTTTGTAGTCTTTGGTATGTATTTAAAAAGCTACCGGCCTCAAGCGTCCCGTAATTAAAAATGTAATTTATGCTGTTGGTCTATAACATCTTTTTATTGTTATTAACAGATTTATCTGGCTGGAACTGTTTAAAATACTTTTTTCACCTATATTTATACTAATTGTTTATTTATATCTCATATTTCCCTTTTTTCCTCTCTCACTTCCTAATCTTGTGTCAGTGGGTGAAACGCTAACTGTGGAGAGCTAAGAACAATTAAAAGTATTATAAAAATTGCGTTATAAGGATTTGTTGATACTTTTCCAGGTTTCTGAATCAGATTCACTACCAAAACAAGTATGCGAGACGTGTCTGGATATGCTGAATAAATTCTATTACTTCAGGCAAGTTGCATTAAGGTCCAATCTTGTGCTGCAACAACAATGTCACATGCAGGCACAGGTAAGCTCATAAGAACTACTTGAAAACTTCAAAGTTGAAAAACATTGTAAAATATAGATTTAAGCAGACCATACACACTATGCTGCCGTCCTCAAACTAAAACGTGGCTATGTGACAAAATCATATTTTGAGATATCATAAAAGAACCATAACCCAGTCTTAAAATATTGAAATTTTTAAATGATATTTTAGCTTTGCGTCATTAGGGTAAGTTCTGATATGTCAGACATTTTAACTTTAACTTTTTTAAATAGAGAATTCAGAGATCTATCTTTATCTGAAATGGGTATTTGACAATTTGTCACTAAGCCACGTTTTAGTTAGTGGATGGCAGTATAGTCTACCTGACGAAGGTAGTTGTACAGGCAAAGCTTACTTGAATGAGTTCAATTAAAAACTATTGAATATAAATTAATACAAATATTAGACAATATCACATATGTTGCTTTGATCCCAAATTAAGTAACTAAAGCACTTGTGTTATGTGTTATTAATCTGAAACAATGATGGTACTGCAAACACCCAGACCCAAGACAATATAGAAAAGTTAGTTTACATTAACCCCGCTGGGGATCGAACTTGGGACCTCAGTGGCAACAACAAGAAAATTGCTGGATCATGTAGGTTAAATGATTGCTGATAAGATCCTTAGAACAGTGAAGTAAATGTGCATAATTCTCAATTTATTTTCATATGAACTGCATCCTGGTTTTTTTCATAACTACATTACTTTATACATTTTCATTCCAAATGTTTGTTCAATAAATTAACCAGTATCTGTTGAGTTTGTATTTTCAATAGAATGGTGTACAGTGTTTTCATTTGAAAATTTATAAAGTAATTTATATTTATAAAGTATGTAGAAGGGAGGAAGCAGTCCACCAAATTAGACTTAGACGCTTAGCTGTAAAGAATTTTAATTTTAAAAAAAAGGAGTTTAAATCCCTCCTTTTTTTTAAATTAAAAAATAAGTGTGCAAATGACTTCCATCTCACTTGATGGAAAGTGATTATGAAGTCGACAATGGAGCATGCACACTTGAATAATGTTTGTTTTTCAATTTTCACCTATTAGAATATAATACTTACCTTTTTTTTAGTGTTGACGATGTAAAATTTGTTTTAGACACTGACTTTGAATAATATATAATATACAGACAACCACAAATTACATCCAAACTCACGAGATAAATAAATGTAGGCCATACAAACATTTCTCCCGGCCCGAGAATCGAACCTGGGACCTCTGCGTGGCAGTCCGGCATGGTAATTGTTCGGCCACGGAGGCAGTTAATATGGCAACAATGATAATTTTTTTCTTAGAACTTGTCTATAATATAAGCAATAGTCCAAAATTACCTTTTTAATTGATATTAGTTTTTAGAACATACTAAATGTTACATTTGATGTTCTTTTAGATAAAAGAAGAGAAGCACCTTCAGGAGCCAGCTAAGATTGAGGAAATCACTCTGTTGGAACATAGTGAAGTGACAGTAGATGATCTGGGCTTAGACGCCTTTGATCAAGTTATAACTGAGGAGGTTGCAGAGCAGAAACCTAGGTTTGTATATTGCAAAGATACTAATCCTAATAATAACAATATAGTATAGACATTGTTTACCTTACAATTTATTGAATTCAATTATTACATTTTCATATTCCAATTTTAATATTTCATGCCACAAAATCAAGAATAAACATGTTGGCATGGTGGTGGTGCGTGATATAGGAGGATCCCAATCAAGTGTTAATTTTCTATGTGTTCTTTAGTTGAGTACGGACGCCAGCTTTTATGTGTGATACAAACCTAATATTTAGTAAATAAATAAAATATTTATAACCTAAGATAAAATTAATAGATTCGATCTATATTAGACAAGTAAACTTTTATTACTCTACTCTTCTTTGAAGTAAACACATGTTACTCTTCTTTGAAGTAAACACATGTTTACTATTATATTGCTGGGTTTTGTGACAATACGTGGATAAAGGTACCTTCTGTTCGTTTATAATTATATAGACACATTAATTTAGTGCATGCAGCTCATTTCACATTGCCGCGGAATGTAATGGAAGCAATTTTTTGTAAAAAAACTGCACATAGCATAACGCACGTTATGTCAATTCTGTAATGTACAACACGGTCGGTGCACTAATTTCCGAGGTGGCGCGAGAATTCTCCGGAAGACGCGCGACTTATTTTTTTAGCTCGTATCTAGTTTGAACGTCCGTTCAGCGCCAATGTAGATTATACCTTTTTCTTACCTACGCTGTTTCAGGAGACAATAAAATAATTTTATAATAGAGCTCGCGAAAGACGCGCGGCCTATTTTTGTTTTGTAATGTCTTATAAAGTACTTTACCTGTGGATCGATACAAATAAGTTCTAGTTCTAACAAATTCGTATGCCGTTGTGTAATAAGGCCACATCTGCTAAATGACAACTTTTCGGAGAGGTTTAAAGATTGTAGGTATGATATTAATCGATAATTGTTTGTACTTAAATAGGAGAGTTATAAAATTTCATTAAACATAATTTGTTTCATGTAGTTCGTATTATGTTTATCACTTCTGTGTGATTAAAGCACTTTTGAGGTTTGATCACGTGGCTTTATTATAATACCACAGTAATTATACCAATGGGATACGTGTTAGTTCTACAAATTATGGTCGAAATGTTAACACAAATGTTCACTCGTGTAAAAGATTCATCCAAGGAACGTGAGGTTTTTTTTAACATACGTAATATTAAAGTGTGAATCTCGTAAGTTGGTAAATGTTACAGGAAACGAAGGAAATACATACGAGGTGGCAGAGAGAAACCACCGCCGAAGAGGCCGCGCATGAAATGCGTTAAATGCGAAAAGAGTTTCCAGAAATATGAGAATCTTGAAGCGCACATGAGAAGTCACTTTGGGAAAAAGGTACTCAATATATTTATTGTCTTCATATGGTGCATAAGGTCTTTAAATTAATGTTACACATATCGATGGCTTTCTGAAATAGTGATCTATCTCAAAAGCATCTAAATCATTAGGTAAGATGGTTTTAAAAAACTGAGAAGCGTCTGCCGGCCAAAGTTAACGAATCGAAAATTTTGCATTTTCTGAATAAATCTTAATAATAAATCAACAAAGAACCAATTTTGTATTGCGCTACTATTTTCGAAAAGCGGCGAACACTTTTTTTCTTTTGTTCACTTCTTTTCTTTTTCGAACACGAGTTTCTGAATTTCTGTTTCCCTTCATCTTAAGCACGCTGGACTCTGGATTAAAGTCGAATAATCTGTCAGTTTCTTTATGACATCATCTGACGGGACGAGCCTACAACAGCAGCAGTGCCACTCAGAGCTTTAAATTAATAATGTGCCAGACAAACACACCAGTTACATGGTCACAAACTTGGAAATTTCCTGAACTATGAGTACCAGAGAAACGGAATTCGCTCTGGGGCTTCCCAGAACATCCAGGCTACAAGCAATTTAGAAAAGTTCACTTCCCAAATTGGTTTTGTCAGGAATTGAATCCGGGACATTCTCAAATCCTAAATCGCAAGGACTAGAGGGGCACTCACCCTGTAACATAAAGTTGACAACAACAGACACGTGGGATTTTTTTATCAAGTGACGGGACGAATCAGTCGTGTGCTTGGTGGTAAGCTACACGCCTGTCCATAACAGTTGCAGTGCCACTCAGAGCTTTAAATCTCAAAGATCTGAGGGGCACTGACAGTGCGTCTGTCACCCTGAGACATAAGTTGATAAGTCCCATGTGCCTGTAATTTTACCAGCACCCTTACCCTTATAAACCGGACCGGATTGGCGGCATAAATAGGTAAGGTGGCAGTACTTCCCTACCTGGACGAACTCTTCACAAGGAGAACTACTGTTATTCCATTTCCGTGGCCACCCAAACTATCGAAACAGCTGTCCGTTGACAGTTTCAATAGTTTCTTAATATTTGTTTCAGCCGGATATAAAATGCGAGCACTGTGATAAAACGTTCCTAACATTCCGAAGTCTGAATGCGCACGTACGCACCCACACCGGCGTGCGCAAGTACCAATGTCAGACCTGCGGAAAACACTTCGCCTATCTCAACGTGTTAAAGAATCACGAGCTGATCCATGCTGGTATAAAGAAACATGCCTGTCATATGTGTGATATGAAGTTTGTGCAGGCTTATAATTTGAAGGTGAGAAATTAGTTTTAAAAGTTGTGAAGTGTCTTGCGTCCATCACAACTAAAAGAAATCCTAATTAAAAATATTCACAATGTTAAAGTGAATAAAAATATTTTGACTTTTACTATGAACTTAGGAAGTAGAATAAATAATAAATGCAAAACTGTTTTGCCCCTATTTGTACATTTTTTTATGTCATCCTGCCGAATCGCTGTCAAATCAATCTGGACAATGGGGGAAAAAATCCCATAGACCAGACCAGTCCAACCATCAATCAACCAACGGGAAACACTAAAAATTATCTTTAGATCACAGTTTACAAACCTTATTATCAGCCCATTGCTATCTATTAATTGATTTATGTATACAGCTCATCCAGTTGGGACACGGACTGCCCTATCCCAAACAGATGGACTGATTTCAAAACTCGGATTCTAAGCTCGTTTCTCAGTTAGTGTAGGGGATCTCAAACATAAAATTAATATTTATTTTACTTTCACTGGTCCAGTTCGAATAGAAATTTGAATGGAAATCCGATATCATTACAACCTTGCCCTTGCTCTGATGATGTAACCAAGACAGTCAGCCGACTACTCAACTGCTTAGTTAGCACGCATTAACTGCATGCAGCCGTTAACAACTTTCTACAGTCGAGTTCTCGGATAACGACTTCACGCATTAATTGCAAGCAGTCGAAACCGACTTTATGCAGCCGAGATCGACTGCATGCAATTAATCTGTTCGCATCCACAGCAGAATTATCGTGTGGCTTCATTGAATTGGTCTCGAGGAGTTGGCTTACAGATAGTGACCTTCTTGACTTTTTGGAGTATGCTGTTCTGTATCGGGGGTTTTTAAAATTTTAATATAATTATGTTCAAACATAACCTTTTTTTTTTCAGATGCATTTAGAAACCCATAGCGCCCAAAAGAACTATGGTTGTATACAATGTGGGAAAAAATTCGCTCAGCCGGGCAACTTGAAAATACATCTCATTCGACACACGGGCATCAAAAATATCGCCTGCACAGTTTGTGATATGAAATTTTATGTCAAGGTATGTATTAATTCGAGGATAATCTGTGGATTAAAAATATGATGCTATAAATGGATTAATTTGATTAAAATCTATGTCAAGGTATGTTTTGGTCAGTTAACTGAGAGAAAAAATTTAGGCCGCCCAAAACACTATGGAATTACCTTACTATGCAGAGTCGAATGTCAGTTCCTAAAAAAAATACCCCTAGATAACGGTACATTGTGTCACAAGGGCAGTAAGTAGGAGATGGCCTGAATATTTGTAATTGTAGTTCCGCCCGTGTGGCATACTATGTATTACATCACCCTTCCTACAAAAAAAAGAAAATAAAGGATAATTGGTTTTAAACACTTAGTTTATTCTAAATTATTAACAAAATTTTAAGTATCTCCGAAAAAAATTTATGTATGAGCATGGTATCTATGAGTATGTGTCTCATAAAAATTATAAATGAATAAAGCCCAAATTAGTCAACTGCTTTTTGAGGTCGCGGCACGAGGCGACGGCGATGGTCGGCGATAGTGGTAGCGTAAAAATAAAAACAGCTAAAGAACTATCCATAACAGTTTTAATGCCACTTAGAGCTCTAAATCGCAAAGATCTGTGTGGAACTGTCACTACTCTCGTCACCATGAGACTTAAATTGACAAATCCTATATGCCTGTAGTTTCACCAGACCTCAAAGGCTCAATTTATATTGCGACGGAATGGAATGGAAGAGAATATATGTAACGATATTGTACACAGCGTAATGAACTTTATGGTCAATTGTTTAATGTACAAACTAAATACAAGCCAAAAATCACGTCGCGCGTCTTCCACGTAATTCTGTCTGCTGCTGCCGTCGGCGACGCCTGACGAATCCGCAGGAAGTGTGACGTCAAACGTCGACGAAATACATTTAGAGCATTCTCACGCAGCGAGACGAAATTGACGCTTCCGTTCCATTCCGGTCCGCCGTAATGTAAAAAGAGGCTTACGCGCCGCGCAAACGTGTGTCTTGTATTGGATACAAGCAAACAATTACCAGAAGCGTATATTCTATTTTTATACAACTGATATGAAATCGACACAGTAGCCGGTTGCGGCAATCGGACACTGTCGCCGGTTGCCGCAACCGCAATTTGTATGTAAATAGTATATTCGCTTCTAGTTGCCGGTTGCTTGTATTCAACACGACACACGTTTGCGCGGCGTTACCGTTCAAAACCGAAACACGGTAAGGCTCACATTATTGCTTGTCGGGAGAAATGAGTATATATTGGAAGTACTACCCTGGTCGAACTCTTTCACAAGCTCAACTATTACAAAATTATTTTATTATCTCCACAAACAGCGTAGAGCTAAAAAAACAGGTTGCGCGTCTTCCGGAGAATTCTCACGCAAGCTCGGGAATTCCTGCAGCTACCGTATCGTATGTAGATTTACGTTACACAAATGACATAAAGTGCGTTATGCTATGTACAATTCTGTCACAAAGACTCACTTCCATTCCATTCCGCGGCAATGTAAATAGAGTCTAAGGCCGTATAATATAAATACCGCCTTGTTTTTCTGTACGTTATACTACTTACTGCCTACGAGTAAGTGTGATGAAAATCACGGTATTAACGCGTTATTAATGAATTATTTCCAGAGCGATCTATACAAGCATATGCGATCTCATTCTGAAAGCAAGCCCTTCGGATGCACCATGTGCGACAAGACCTTCAAGAGCAAGAGCTTTCAGACAGTGCATATGAGGACTCACACAGGTATTATCTCCCTTACCCTTCACCACGAAACGAGATAGGGAAGTTTAGCATTTTTTTCTGAGACAAACAATAAAAATATAAAAAGTAAAAATATAGTAAGAGATAGCAGTTTGACATATAAAAACATTTGTGATAGCCAGCGTTATAATCTAAAACTACCCATAAAGTGGGCATCATCGCAATGTCACACCAAGGTGGTTGGTAAACAGCTCATGTTTGGTATAGCCTGTGTGGCTTTTTGTGTTTTGCCTATAATAACGCAGCAAAGAACAATATTGTAAAATAATATTTTTTTATTACCCAATACATAACACAGTTCAGGAAACAAGTGCAAGAGACAGCAGTCTGACATATAAAAACATATTTGATGGCCAGCATTATGTTCTACTGTTTTTTTGCCATGGACAAACGCATAACACAACACAACAAACCACAAATAACACCCAAACTCAAGAGAGAAATAAATGTAGGCTATACAAATATTTCTCCCGGCCCGGGAATCGAACCCGGGACCTCTCGGTGGCAATCCGGTATGGTAACTGTTCGGCCACGGAGGCATTTATTTAATTGTAACAGGCTTATGTTCCTATTTTTTTTTAGGTGAGCGTCCATATGAATGTGATCTATGTCCAAAGCGATTCATGGCGCGCAAAGACCTTCGCAATCACCGAATGATCCACACTGGCGAGAAGCCTCATAAATGTCAATTATGCAACCAAGCGTTCATACAAAAATGCGCTCTAAACCGTCACATGAAGGGCCATGGGAAGGCTCAAGTGGGTCACGTGCCCCATGTACCGCATATGCCCGAAGCACCTTTGGCGTTGTCGTATGCGACTTGGCCGACGGATGCTTGATGTTTGTAGACAACTCAACTGCCAGCAAGCTGTGCGATGAGTTATTTGAAAGACTTTAGGATTGTGTAGTGTTTTGTGGGAACATTGAAAAGTGAATGAATCCTTTTAACATTGTGCAGCAATTTTACCAGAATGTAATGAATATGGAAAAGTTCTGGAGGAACATTTACTTTGAATGTACCAGATAGAGGACGCCTAGTCTTTTGTGCACTGTAATGTCAGTGCTTCACGAGTTTTTGGTTTTTAAAGATTATATAAAATCCGCCACTTTACGAAAGTTCAAACTTAACTTGTTGGCCTCTACATACTTTGTGCAGGTAATATTTATAGAATGATGAAGTAAGTGAGCTATGCGTTAACAAGCAATAGGGTAATTTTCAAATTAGTTTTCTCGCCTAATTTCGGTGGCAATTTTTATTATTTAAGTATTCGAGTAAATTATCGTGAAATATTAAATAACTAGATCAGGATATTACAAATATTATGATGATATTCTACACTAATAAAATGTTAAACAATAAAAATTGCCACCAAAATTAGGTAGAGAAAATTAACCTGAAAATTACCCAATAACATTTGTGTCTTTGCAGAAAAAAACCAGGTGATTAGATTTAAATAAAACATAAGAAACTAAGTTAAGAATCACCATTCCGTCAAGGTTGTTTGTATTTGAAATAAGTTTACATACTGTTGATAAATCATTTATTTTTACATACAACGCATTTTGTGATTAAAGTAAGAAGTTACAAATAAATAAATCTATCATACGCATTGTACATAATTGTTTATAAGTTGTTCAAGAAAATAAATTACCGTCCTTTGCGGAAGAAGATTTTGAATATTTTAATACTACTGACATTACTTATTCCTTACTTTAACCACAGGGTTTCTTAACCTGTCCATGTACCCCGAAGGGGTCGAGCTTACTAACATGTTGCATTTATATAAAAATTGGTATACATGATAAGTCAATGGGTATATGTATATTATGCTGTGTGTAAATAGGTGCAGTACACGTGACCTTTTTGAATTTTCGTGCCCTTTGACAGCTATCCATTATAGGCGCGAACGAGACGCGCGTCAATGCAACCCGCGAGCCTTTCTTTATTTTATTTATTATTAACAATTTTATAAAAAGAATATTTATTAATCTAAATCTGGCGACACAACAGAAACCTGTGTAGCTTTATCCGTGCATCGCAAGTAGTTCTTCATCTTATTGGAAAGGGTCCGTAGACTCTTTGAAATTTTGAGAGGGGTTCATGACTAGAAAAAGGTTAAGAAACCCTGCTCTAACAGAAATTAGATTGCAGGCTTACTGCACAATAGGCTGTACCTTATCATGGATCTTCATATGTCTCTGCAACGTCCCTCTCTGTGTAAACCGCTGTTCACAAACACTGCACTTATGTGGCTTTTCTCCTGTATGTATTCTATGATGATCGGTTAGCCGTCTCTTTGAAAGGAAACTTTTAGGACAATAATTGCAACAAAATGGTCGTTCACCGGAGTGTATTCGCTTATGTTCGACTAATGATCCATTTGTAGCATATGCTTTGTGACAAATGTCACACGTATAAGGCTTTTTGCCGTCGTGTATGAGTATGTGCTTCGCCAGATTGTACTTGTCTGTGAACGGATACCGGCAATAGTCGCAAATGTAGCGCCGACCTGTATGTTGGCGTGCTATATGCGATAGTAGCATTGTGTTGGTGAAGAATTTCTTTCCGCAGTGTTCGCAGGTGTGACGACGCTCTCTGTCTGCTTTGTGGGTTTCTAGATGAGTCTGTAATAAAATTAGTAAAGTCAAAAGGACTTATGCACATCGCACTGTTAATACAATAGTGTATTAACCCAAAAAGGTATTTTTTTTTATCTATAAAAAACGAATTAGGTACTCACATCCGTGAAAGATTATTAAAATTTATGTAAGGTTAAAGTTTATTACAAACATCTACACCATTTTCTAATTGCCAAATATATTTTTTTAAAAAAGGGATAAAATAATTTCATATTTCTGAGTAAGGACTGTTTTGTCCAGAACTAGCTCACAAAAAGTATGTCTAAGTTCGAGTTAAGTTGATACCTTTGGATTGTTTCTTACAATATTGTAACGACGACGGTTTTGTTGACGTGTAGATAATTTTTTGCGTTCAGCAATAGCATAACCTTGAATTTAACCTATTTTGAGTTACAACACTTGTAAAGCAGTGCGATATAATTACCACATTGAAAAAATATTATATAAACATTGTTAATAGCTGTAGGGGAATAATTCCCTCGTACACTGCGACATATTCTTTCGGTGTATTATGACATCTTCAATGTCACAGAAAACTTTATTTTACATGTTTAGTTCTTAGGTTGTCACTTTCGTTTTTTTATTTTACATGTTTACGTTATAATTACTTCGATAAAAAGGGAATGTGTTGAAATACATAATCTTTTACACTTACTCGAGAGCTTAAGTCTATTTTGGCTGAATTAACTGAATATAACGAAATGCATCCACGGGTAATTTCCATGATCTGGAAATGATGGTCAAAACCGATATGAGGAGGTAGGGTTGAGTATTTCTAATTGAATTTATTACTACATCAGGGTCCAGAAATTGATAGTTCAAAAGTTATTACATTTTTTGTGTGTCCCTGAAAAAAATCACAAATTAATATACACAATGATAATTTGATTTGAAGTGTTTTTTGCATTATGTTTCTGAGGTATGTAACTTTTCAACATAACTCTTTTCATAAAATTTTGCTATATAGCATAATGTCAATTGCAAATAGCACTTTAGTCAACAATTTTCTTTTCACAAAAAACTAAACTGTGCTATTTGCAATTGACATAATATGCTAGCACATTTTATGAAAAGGGTTCTATTGAGAAGACCTTCAGAAACATAATGCAAAAAAAAAACACTAAAAGTTCTTGAGGCTATTCGTGATTTTTTTTAGGGATGCACTTAGCACTTATTTTTTCAAAAACAAAAAAATTTAATAACCTTTTGAACCGTCAGTTTCCAGAGCCGAATGTAGCAGTCAAATCGATTGGAAAACCACCTCATTTCGATGCTATATCCAAAGAAAACGTAACTATTACGTTATTAGATATGTAGAAAAAAATGAGAAAAATGAACTACTAGTCTATCGGGCACCTTATTCAAGAGTGTTGTATACATACCCTCAAAATAACAGCTGTAGAAACTCGTTTCCCACAAACATGACATACACAGGCCGCTCTAGCCTCGTGCATGCGTTGATGCGACCGCAGTGAGTGTCGCGATGCGCACACGCGGCCGCACGTGTGACACGACACGCTCGATAGTGGCACGGACGCGTGTGCGCTTTCGCGGTGGCGTGAGAGGCCACCCCACGTCATAAAGGTTTTGTTGCATGGTGCACAGTGGAGGGATACCTATAATTTAAAAGAGTTACAATTCAAAAACTGGAGAACTATGCCATGTCGAATTATTGCTAAAGATACTTTAATTTATTTACTACATTTAAGAAACGTTTCCATTTAATAGTACTCCAATCGATATTACAATTTGTTTTAAATCTAGGATATAAACTTAACATACAGCACGATTATTCCGCTTGTAAATGTATATATTAAAAAGTGAGCATACAGCTTCTTCTATATGTGTATATGGATAAAAAGAATTACAAAAGTTTAATAAGTACTGGGAATAAATATGTAAATAATGACTAATGAGACGACGAGGCGAAGTGATTGAATATTATTACGATATCTATAGATATTATCGTCGAAAAACACCAATTAGACCTCCAGTACTGTTACTAATTCATTTAAGGTTTAGCACAAATGTCAAGAGCAACAACAAAAAACTATTCACTAAGCTACAAAAACTTTTCATAACAACACCTGGACAACCTTACAGTTTGTAGACAGGCTAGGGAAGCACTCCCCATACTCAAAACCAGTCTATCTCGTAAATTTCTTAAGGTAAAAGCTGGGCGTGCTAACTGCCACTGTAAGGGGTCATGGTCCATATAATAAACACCTTTTCAATCGAGATATCAAGGTTAGCCCTCTATGCAGAGCGTGCATGGAGAGGAAGTAACGGCCGTCAACATTTGGGTGAAGTACCTTGGGGTGCTGAGGTCGCTCTCTAAAATTTCAGCAAACCCGGGAGAGTGCAGATTCTTGGAGGACCTTGAGTGGCACCCACTACATGCAAAATAGGCACCTGAACTTTGAGTTGCGGATACTTTATATATATTTATAAACATGAATACTTTACATATTATTTCATACTTCCAGACACAATTCTAGCCACCTTGCATTTTTTTTGTATTATTATTTTATTTGCAATCGGCTGCCATGCCATAAGCGAATCTTTTGAACGAGAGACGACGTTTTTGGTGGTGCGGCCAGTGCCTTACCTCCCGGCTATAGAACATGGCCTCGCTTAAACCGTTTGACCGTAGTTGATGGATCTAAAAGTTCCGCGTAAGTGGGTGGAATGGTAGGATACTCGTTCTTTGCGCTTAGTTTTATGTCGGTCGATCTCAGCAGCTACCAATATCAGGTTTAGATGATCATGAGAATGAACCAAAGGGCATTGACTATTGCCCTCAGGATACAATTCTGCACTCGTTGGAGACAAAGTATGTTACTCTTGCTAGCCACACCCCACAGCTGAATTCTCCACAGCCAGAATACAAAAGTAGTGTTATCGTTTAAGAAAAGCTTTCTCCTGGTTTTGCAAATCCAAATTTCCAAAAAGGATTTATGGGAAAGACTAGTTTAGTATACTAGTTTCAAAATTGGTTAATAGTTTTTGATCAATCAAACATTGTTCAGGTTTTGGGGCACTTAATACTGAAAATGCGAGATGCCTCGAATTATGTGTCCGGGAGTGTATAATAATAATAATAATAATAATAACGCACACACTCAACATAGCCCCGCACTAGGGAAACCCTGTGTCGCGGGTGCCATGGACACACACATAGACAACCACAAATTACACCCAAACTCTCGAGAGAAATAAGTGTAGGTCATACAAATATTTCCCCCGGCCCGGGAATCGAACCTGGGACCTCTGCGTGGCAGTCCGGCATGGTAACCGTTCGGTCACTGAGGCAGTTAAGTATATACCATACTTTGAGAGAGGTTGTCTATTTATGCAAAACACACACAATATTTAGCCTCCTATGGGTTGTGGTTTTTTAGACTAATACTTATTTATACTTACTCTCTTTCCTTCATGCTCAAGTTGGTGTGCCTCAAACCTCTCAGGATGTCTGAATTTCTTGTTACATACTTCACAAGTGAAAAGAAATGGTTTACTCGTTTTTCCGGCTTTCAGTTTACTTATTGGTTTACGTTTCTTTTTACTGCAAAAATTAAAAAGTATAGACAATTTACAATGTATATGCAAATTTGATTAATGTGATTATAACATGCAGAAATTTAGTTGAGACCTTAAACATTGAATTTAAATACAATTGCCTAATGTCATGCTATTACTCAACAACCCATTAAACGGTCACTTGCTATACAAGCCATAGCCTACTTTAGTTTTAGGTATATTCCCAGAACTGCACCTAAAGAAGGCATCAAGTTAACTTCTGCAGGCCATAGTTACTTATTCACATGTTTTACCATTTCTTATTTTTCCTAGCCTTGTTTTTCAATAATTTTGTTTCTTGGTCTGCCGGAAATAATTCTGAAAACGATAAAACAAACCATATTATGTACCTACTAGATCAATTTATTATCTATCAGACATTTACAAAGACATATTTTTTATAATTATTAATACAAAGATCGAACACTCAGAAAAAATTCCTTCGATCCGGTCGGATTCGAACCGACATCTTCTTGCATACCGTGCCAGACGCTATACCAACTAAGCCACGGAACGAACCAACGGACCTCACGAATTTTTCTATGTGCTTTAGTCAGGCATCTGAGGTTTAGTCAGGACTGCCCTTGTCATTGTCTATTGTTCAAAAGTCAATCTAATTTTGAATTCCTGGCAGTCTAGTGAGTCTGTTTTTGTGGCCAGTCAGTCAGCTGGTCATCCAAGGAGGCTGGACTCGACAGATACTAACAAAAGTTGTTACTATGAAGTAAACAGTGGGTAATGTTAAAAGTGGTATTTAAAATGGGTACATGATTCATCTACGGAGTCATACCTTCACCAAAATGATCTGACAATTCTTTTTTCACTGTCAAATCTAGATTTAATTTTGTTTCTTCATAATCAACTTCATTCTCATCTAAGAGTCCAGGACTATCACAATCCGACACGGCTGTCGGCGTCGGTAGGTTTTCGAACTTTACATTCTTACAACTTATCAAAGTATTCTGTGATTGAATGCAAGTTTTCTTAAATTCGCAGTATTTAATGAGGAGGTTGTAGCATTCGTCACACACTGTTTTTGGGAGTTCATCGTTGTCGGCCACCTAGATAAAGCATTTGAGTTAACTTCTGACTACTATTCTATTTATTTGAATAAACAAAATTAATAGTTTCCTCACCTGAATAGAAGTGCAAAACCAATATGTTTCGACAGAGATATTTTCGATTAAATAATATGAAAAGGACTCTTTTGTGGTAAGACAAGAACGGCACAGTTTCCAAACATTCATTTCTATTTAAACAAATCTGTGATAGACATGGAATATTTAATAAAAATCGAAAGTTATGAAGAAGCTGAGAAATATAAACAATAATTGACAATGGATTGACAACAAAGGTATTTTTTTATGGTTTTTACGACTGTGGATACTTTGGCTTTTGAGCCAATTGTCCAATGACAACAAAAGTATTCGTTCCATCATACAATTCGTAAATAATAAAATATGTTGTTAAACTGTTGTTGGGTAATTTCCGAAAAATTTAAAATATGTAGTCGTACACTACCTACTTAGTGTTGAGTCATGGAAAACTTTCCATTTAAAAAAATCTTAATATTCAGAAACAAAAGAATATTTATCCGGACACTTGTACGTTACTGCATAGAATATTTTTCCTTTAATTTTCCACATTTGACGTTGGCCCCTGTTAAAAGTTGAAGTTACGGAACAAAAACTGAGCCCACATCTTTGAGGATAGAAAAAAATAAAATGGAGCCATTAAAAAGATTTTCGCTGTTGTGAAATCTTTTAAACCTCATTTTTCTGTGAGTGGCTTACTATACAAGTTTATTTTATTATTCACGCTAAACAAAACTTGAAACATTGACCTATGACTTCAAAAGATATTTATATAAGGGCCTTTTTTTTGCAATTATATTTTTCTAATTTTTCGGTAATCATTTCCACTTTTGAACTTTTTCGGAAAATTACCCAACAGTATCCTTATGTATGTAGTGGACATTTTTCCGGAAAAAATTCAGAAAAACTGAAAATGGAAATAATTTGGAACAATGTAATTCACAGTTTACAAATATCTTTTGATGTTTTATTTAGCGTGAATTAGAACATCTAAGAGCTTATTATTATGTTCGGATTATAATTTTGAAAATTTTCGGAAAATTACCTAACAGTAATATCTGTTCGATATTAGAGAACGTAATCATAAAACCGAGCATCAAGCCGAGAGTCGTGGATTCGAATTCGGGCTCGCACCTCTGAGTTTCTCGGAATTTATGTGCGATATTTATTGAGCTTTTCGGTGAAGGAAGACATCACGAAACCTACACGTCGAAGAAGGTTCATAACCCTCGGAAAACGTGTGAAGCCCCAAACCGCATTGGGCCAGCGTGGCAGGCTATGGCCTAAACTAAACCCTCGTCTGAAAGGAGACCCGTGCCCAGCAGTGGGACGTATAAAAGCGTTGATGATGATGATGATTGTGGTGAACATTATTAAATTTTCAATACAGGCGTATTGAAAATTTAATTGTAAAAATATTCAAGTACCATGTATTTAGAAAAAGTTTAAGGCAGCGTGAATGTAATAATATAGACTCTTTGTAACTTGAGAGAATTAGGTTTAACTTACACTGGCGTAGAGTCGAAGCGTCGCGTCGCGTTTTTCAACTACAACGCCTGGTTACGCGCGTCGACGCTTGAGTCCATATTTGCATAACATAAATTTGTACCTTAATAGTGGGAAAATAGAGATGAATATGCTATAGGCGAAAAACATGACGCGTCGCGACGCTTCGACTCTGCGGCGCCAGTGTGAGTTGAGCGTTAAGGCCCATTTAGATGGAGAGAGTTTCTCGCACGCTTCGTGACGAAAACTCGTAGGCGATTATCGTAAACAATAATCGCCATAAGATTATCGTATCATAATGTTTACGTTCAGGCAAGAACTAAAATGTCGCCTACGATTATGTCATACGAGATTCGCAAGCAACTTAATCGCCTCCTCGACTGTTTACACAGAGAAATATGTAGTAAGGAGATTCTTGCTTACGCGTTTACGACTTGTCTAAACACGATCTCGTATGACATTTTTTCAAGTTCATACGATTATCGTACAAATCGGTTCTAATCGTTTTGAGTGCGAGAATCGCCATTCGAGTTCAGTGATTACTTTGGTATTGACTATGGACATATCGAAATGACGCAAAAATCATTCAAATTTGGAACTGCTGATAATATTAAGTTCATTGCATTGTTGAGAAATATACATTTTTTTTCAAATTTTATAACATTTCTTAATCCAATTTTTTTTATTATTCTCGTTTCATTAATTCTTGTCTTAGAAAAGCAGTGATAATCAAAACACACTCGCGCATGCACTCGTGGTAGAAACGGCTGGCACAGAAACTCGAAGTACGATTTTTGCTTTCGAGTTCTGTTTACACGGAGACGTTCAATATTGAAAGGCGAGGCGATTATCGCTCACGTGGACGGTCGATAATCGTAAATGTTTAGACGAAGAAAGTTTTTTATATTCTTTCGATAATCGTATCTTCGAGACGGTAAATTCTCTCCATCTAAATGGGCCTTTAGGGTCGTACTCCAGAACTCTACTCAATGCTCAAGTCAGGACTTGAGTATGGTTTAAAGCACTAGAAATCATACTCAAGTCCTTGCCATTAGGGTCGTATTTCCAGTGCTTGAAATCATACTGACTTGAGCGTTGAGTATAGTAAATGTGTCTCACGTAGAAACGACATAATGAGGATTTTTCTGAGTGTAAACAGATCTAAGCTAGTGGTAATGGTTCTCGATTTTGAAGAATGGTGGCGTTGGAATATGCTTATTCCAGCGTGGACACAAAAAACACCATGTAACATTAAAACGGCAAACCCACTAACTCAATGATTTAAAAAAATTGTGACCAAAAGACACTAAATGACGATTGTTTATTTAATTGTTTGGTTGACTGACAGCGATTTTCTTGGAAGGGAAGTCGATTATACGAGTGATGTGCCTTTACATTTTGGACCGTTCTTTCCAATTTTTTATTATTATATAAAGTGACAGAACGAACAAGTCGTGCGCCCGAGTATAAGCTACACGCCTGTCCATAATAATTGCAGTGCCACTCAAAGCTTTAAATTCGCCAAGATCTGAGGGGCACTGCCACTGCGCCCGTCACCGAGAGACAAGTTGACAAGTCCCATGTGCCCGTAATTTCATCAGCACTCATAGGGTCGTATTCTAGAACTCTATTCAATGCTCAAGTCAGGATTGCACTGGCAACACAAGCACTGTAAATACGACCCTAATGGCAGGGACTTGCGTATGATTTCGAGTGCTTTAAACCATACTCAAATCCTGACTTGAGCATTGAGTAGAGTTCTAGAATACGACCCTTAGGGTCGTATTCCAGAACTACTCAATGCTCAAGTCAGGATTTGAGCAGACTTGAGTATGATTTCAAGCACTAGAAATACGACCCTAATGGCAAGGACTTGAGTATGATTTTCATAGCGTCGTATTCTAGACTGACTTGAGCATTGAGTAGAGTTCTAGAATACGACTCTAAGGATCGTATTCTAGAACTCTATTCAATGCTCAAGTCAGGATTGCACTGGCAACACACGCACTGGAAATACTACCCTAATGGCAAGGACTTGAGTATGATTTTCAGTGCTCACTGCAATACTCAAGTCCTGACTTGAGTATTGAGTAGAGTTCTGGAATACGACCCGGGGCCGTATTCCAGAACTCTACTCAATGCTCAAGTCAGGATCTGAGTATGATTTCAAGCACTGGAAATACGACTCTAATGGCAGGGACTTGAGTATGATTTCGAGTGCTGTAAACCATACTCAAATCCTGACTTGAGCATTGAGTACAGTTCTAGAATACGACTCTTACTCTTCAAAACCGGAACGCAATAATGCCGACATTACTGCTTGGCGGCAGAAATAGGTAAGGTGGCATTACTATCCTGGACGAACTCTTTCACAAGGAGCTCTACTGCTACAAAATTGGCTTAGTTAGTTGGTAGGAATAGTTGTTTTTTCTTCTTCAAATATTTGAATTTAGTTTTCAAATATAAAGTCCATTACATACGGTCCATGTATTCAAAACACAAAATAACGAAAATATAAAAAATTTATTTTGTAATCATTTGTACATAAATCTCTAACATGAATCTCTACTTTGTAGAATCTATAACTTAATCTTTAATACATAATTTGTTTGATACATTTTAAAACTATTTATAATTAAAAGCATTCAGTCCCATTTTTACTTACTCATAATTACTACCACCGTTTCCATTTATTTATACGTTCCTTCACGTGTCTCCCAATAGGGTAGACAGAAACTATGAACCTCCACCCGCTACGTTTATAATATAAAAAAAAATCTGTTAATAATAATAAAAAACTAATCTGTTCGTAATTTCGTTTAGTTGATATCACATTTAATTAATATATAAATATAATACAAGTAGGCAAAAACTTGTACATATTACGTGATCGTGTACATATTGCATTATTGCACGTAACTAGAAATGCTGTTTGGTTCAAACTGCCACACGTTTTTGTACTCTATTCTGATTGTGATGAAATTTAATTTAGAAGTAAAATGAAAACGAATACAGTTTTGAAGCACGGCCCCGTGTTCGTTTAATATATAGTATGTTGAAACCTATTGGTTTTACTTTTTAGTTTAGTTGCGGTATTCCGTTATTAAACTAAAAATTCTACTTTCAAGTTACTGAAGTTACGTTTTAAGTTGAAAAACTAAAATTTTCGACGGAACCTATTAGAGTGCGGTTAATGTTGAGTGGTTTGAATCCGTTTTGTCTGAGCCAACAACGAACGCCGCGAAGATTTTGTATACATGTTTAGTTAGGCAGGATTTTGATTCATCGACTGTGAACTGGCAATCGGTACTATCTTAATTTTGACAACTTTACAGGATGAAGAAAAGAATTGTTTGCGTCATTATATAGCATCTGGTTTATTAAATAAAAATACGTAGTTTTTAGATATTTTTATTGTACACTACGTGTTTTTATTTAATAAATCAGATGCTATATAAATGATAACTTCTTCATATGTGAAGTTGTCAAAATTGAGATAGTACCGGTTACCAGTTCACAGTCGTTATCTGTTTGAATTTTTTTCTGATGGTTTTCTCTACTAAGACTGTAATATTCAAGAACCCATTCTTTTATTCATATGAACAAGAGTTTAATAGTTCTATTAGTGGCCGTAACAAAATTCGGTTTCACATAACTTATTTATTTATTGAATAGAGTCCCATGTGGTCGTTTGTACCAATAGCTTTTTTTTATAACATCAAGTGACGGGACGAACAAGTCGTGCGCCTGATGGTAAGCTGCACGCCTGTCCATAACAGTTACAGTGCCACTCAGAGCTTTAAATTGCAAAGATCTGAGGGGCACTACCACTGCGCCCGTCACTCAGAGACATAAGTTAACGATCCTACCACCTCGTATAATAATGGATCATTGCTATTGTTCCTGTTTGTTGTTCTATAGCTTCCCCTGCATGAAGGGCTTGAGATACTTGCGGAATGAGTCGTTGACGGGTTGTGCGTTTAGAGGGCTCTTCAACGCCTCTTCCATCAGACGCTCGTACACACGCCCGTCCCAAGCTCCTAGTGTCGAATGCAAGATCTAAAACAGAGTATGATATTTAATATTTTTGCAAGTTATATCTTGCACTATACCTATAGTCCGTTTTTTTTGTGAATACTGAGTAAAATTACATTTGTAGTGTTGCCAACTTTCATAAAATTTTAAATAGTTATGTAGTTGTTATCGATTTTTAAAATATTCATATACATTTTAAAAAGAATAGTCGGATTCGATTATCTGTATTGAATTTAAATGAAAAACTTTAAAAAATGTCTCCTCTTTGTTTTTTCATAAACAGTGCTAAATACAGTGTATATATGTATGAACTTACGAAAATTTAAATGAACTTGTGCTCAGTAATTGGATGTGGTCGAGGATGATTGAAATTAAACAAGTTCGGCTATTTATTCCATAAGCGTGACCAATATTCAGTCGATAGTCGATAGAATATTTATCGACTGCAATCACCAACACTTTTGCGCAATGAACTGTCATTTTACTCCGTCTTCAAACAAGACAGACCAGACTAGAATAGACTAGACACATCAAAAATGTCTAGGGATCAAGCACCTTTTGCCAATTATTGAGAAATCAGGTTTTTTAATTAATTTTTTTTAACACATATGGTTTTGTATATCAATGCTTAATTAAAAAATTGTATTAATAAATTTAGAAAGATATTTTTATTTAATTTTAATTGGGTAATCAAATATTTTTTTAAATACTGAAAATAATAATAATTCAAAATATCCTTCCTTCCTAATTCCTATGTATAAATATATACTGTCAATCCATCTTCTGGAACGATTCTTTACTATTGTATTTTACTACTAGTAACCAGAGCTAATACCGCAACTTCTATCCATATTTCTATATCGTCGGCGATAGTGCAAATCCGAGTATGTGGCATTGGTAAAAGGTGTGTATCTGCACTAAACCAAACTTTACAGGAGAGGGATTTAACATTATTTAGTTTGTAATTTAAATGGCCACGACTTCATTTTTGCACAGTCAGCATCTACCGACTGATAACAATAGATTTCCTTAAATAACACTAATTTGGATGCCACGGCATTTACACGGATTTGAATCGGCCACTTAATTACCAAAATGGTAACTCGTAACCGTATGCCATTTTTTTTTGTTAAGCGTAATTGCACTATCCCCGATGATACGCTTATTATTCTTTCAGGTTACCAAATGGTTATACTGTACTTATGACAAACCTTAAAAAGGCACTTACTTCATCTCGAATATCGAAGGCGTCCACCAAACCAACGGCGTTGGGCCGAAGTTTTGTGAGCAGGTCTTCGTACCAGTTTTGCAGTTGTTCGATGTCGCGCTCAGATATTGATGTGAACTGGAGAAATATAGATTAACTTTAACTATTTAAATTTTTATTAAATTGATATACAATTATTTTTTATGTGAAATTACTCCACTAGTTTGTTATAATTATTAATACAAAGGTCGAAGACTCAGAAAAAATTTCTTCGATCCGGCCGGATTCGAACCGACGTCTTAAAGCATACCGTGCCAGACGCTATACCTACTAAGCCACGGAACGAACCAGTGCACCTCACGAGTTTTTCTATGTGTTTGTTGTCGTGTCTTTATATTTGGTTTTTTCAACGATTTTTTAGCCGTAGCGCCATCTATGAGAAATCTTAAGTATTTCCTCACCCAGTTAGATACCTTTACAGCTACCAGCCCTGAGTAGAGATGTCGCTATTCATTGCATTTAAATGTTTATTGAATTGATATTCAATTATTTTTATGTGAGATTACTCCACTATATTGTTATAATTATTAATACAAAGATCGAACATTCAAAAAAAAAATTCCTTCGATCCGGTCGGATTCGAACCGACGTCTTCTGGTTTACCATGCCAGACTATAGTACAGACGTTTAACTATTTATTTATGTAATATAACGTGCTATGTATAAAGTGTATTTACTTATTTGACAGTAACTGTTTCGGACGGATGTCGGACAAAGAACGGGAGTAGACTTCCAGGTTGTAAAGCAATAGATATTTTGATATTGAATTCTTGCTATATTTGTCTAGCAAATTATACTAAGTATATATTGAGTGTGATATACGAATTTTCAAAAATAAACATATGGATTTTAGCGGACGAACCCGTAGCAAATCGCCGACGCGTTGTAGCGCCCAGTACACAACGTACAAGTCGACCAATTGCAGCAACACAGTACGTAATGCAGGAGACACATTCTTCATGAGTTTCTCGTTTTCCTCGTAATAACACGACAGGACCATCGCGCGGCAGTGGGACTGGAAACACATTACACATCAGTTAGTAACAGCTCCTAAGTTAAGAGATCGTCCAGAGCCGTACTGCCACCTTACCTATTTCTGCCGCCAAGCAGTAATGTTAGATTACAGTGTTCCGGTTTTGAAGGGTAAGGGTGCTGGTGAAATTACAGGCACATGGAACTTATCAAGTTATGTCTCAGTGACGAGCGCAGTGGCAGTGCCCCTCTCGTTTTTGCGATTTAAAGCTGAGTGGCACTGCAACTGTTATGGACAGGCGTGTCGCTTACCACCAGAAATTCCGTCCCATCATTTGGTATCATAAAAAAATTGTACTCTGAATTAAAGGGTGACTTCAATAAGTCGATGGCATACACATAATGCTTGACATCGTGGTGAGGATTAACCAATCGGCGTCAGGTGCTTCGCCGCTTGTTGCCCAGATATCTCATATCAGGTTACTCATTAAACTGTTATATTGTAACTTAATTTTTATATAAATTAAATTTCAATAATATTTCTTCAGGAGTTGATACTACACTCGAATTTAATTTTTTTCCCGTACTGTATCGGTTCTATTGCGCGGGTCGAGTGGCAGTGACGTTAGCTTTATTTCAGAATTATTTTTTTTACAAACGTATTTAAAGCAATTTAATATAATAATACACGTTCTATTTAGTTCAGTTGATAGAAAAAAAAAATCATTGGTGTATAAAGTACCTATTGAATACAGTGGGTTTTCTTGTAAAATTTCGAGGTAAGCTGGTTTTTTTTTATCGTGAAAATTTTTAGGTATCGTGTTTTCACACAGTATCTACTATCTACTAATCAGTGTATATCTTCAATTTTACTATATATTTTCTCCAAAGTGATTCATTCAACACTTTCACTGTTACGCGGAATCAACCAACGTGCAGCACCCGGACAAACCAATGTAGGTTTAAGGGTGTGATGTATATATATTTTTGTAATATTCTTAGTGTTTAAAATAAAAAAAAAAATAAAATAAAAAATAAAAAAAAAAATACCAAAAGCCATTTGAGGTTGTATCAACTCTTAATTTTGCAAATGTGTACAGGCACAAGTTACCACTTTTTATCAGGTGGACAGTCTGATTTTTTACTTCATTACTTTTTTTTTGTTGTTTAAGGGAAATAAATGGTTTAATACATAGTTCTTAAAGTGCTCCCTATCGCCAAGCACCAAAGTGGGCTTCGAAAAGTCCTAGGTAGGGGTCTCGGAAGCAATTGGCGGATGTTGGTGGTCTCAAAAAAAAAAAAAACCACCTGATTTATCTATATAACTACACTACACATATCGCTAATACAATAGTGTATTAACTGAAAAAGTGAATTTATTCAGAATAGCTGAAAAACGAATTACTCAGTTCCCGTGAAAGATTGTTAAAATTTATGTATAGGTTAAAGTTTATTAGACATCTAAACAACACCTCCAACTTGCCAATTAGAAATATATTTACAAATAAAAGTAAAAAAATAATTTCATATTTTTGAGTAAGGACTGTTTTGTCCAGAAGTAGCTCACAAAACATTTGTCTCATTCTGGGTTATGTAGATATATTTTAATGGTTTCTTACAATATTCTAACGACAATTTTATTGACGTATAGATAACCAATTTTTACGTTCAGAAATGGTATAATCTTGGATTTCACATATTTCGAGTTACAACACTTGTAATAGCAGTGCGATAGTTTTTTCCTTGTCATTTTTTTGTGTTGGTGGGCGTTGAAATTTTTTTATCTTGCCTAAGTGGGCGGTGAGCCAAACAGTTAACCTATCGGTCTAACATCATGAAAATTTACCTCCGAGGCAGAGGCCAGTTGCACAGAAGTCATGTTCCACGCGTCCTCGTACTGCATACCAGCCGCTTGACGCTTCTCGATGTTGGCCACGCACAAACCGATTTTTCTGGATTAAAAAGAAATAAAATTTTATAATAAATATCGCACCTACGGTGAAACACAAACTTAACTGCAAAAATAATCTCAGTACAGAGAAAACCTCAAAAGTTTGTGGAATTACATCTATTGGCCACGTTTTATTGAAATCGTTTACGGGAAAGAGCACGAAACCGGATTCATCCCCTAGTTTGCCACCCTTAGAGCTGGAATATTTTCTTCAATTTTAAATGGGACCACTACTGAGATACCCTTTCTAACAAAAAAAAGAATCAACAAAAGTAAAGATTTTTGACTCGTCTGTACATTTTTGGAAATGTAAGCTAAGGCACTGTTTTAACGGAGGTGCGACATGTTATAATCAAGTTTTGTTCCTAAATGAAACAGTGTTTTCTTTAAATAATGTACCAGTATTAATTATATTGATATAGAAACAATAATTTTCGTTTCTCTATAAAATAAATATATTGTATTGGAAGTAGACTGGTCACATAGTATAATAAGTAAACTGGCAAAGGGCTACTTCCGTCTATAAGGCGCATAAAAGCCTACACTTCGCTGGGAGCGTAGGGTTGTCACATTCGTATTTTCGTTGTAACCTCAGTTAGTAAACATAATTTAAAAAGTTTTCATCATAGTATTCTAGTGCTATACTGAAATTGCCTTTGTTAAATGCCGTACTTTAAATATTCATATTTTATACGAGGATCGCGGATTAGCATCTCGATGATAGGGAATATGACTACGAAATAAAAATGAAATGCTGAAAAACTTTGAATTTGAGGCACTCTTGTTCAAACAATAATAAACACGTTTGCAATTTTGTCATTTTTTAAACACCGAGAGAACGCTTTAATTCTATAACGAATATTGCGTGACACAACTCGCGCTATGCCATGCGAGTGCACTATGGCCAGTTGTAAACTATCTCCTAGATGGAGATTTATAACGACCATGATAACAACTTTGGTCCAACGGTTTGTACTGTGGCACTGGATGAAGAGGTCCCGGGTTCGATTCCTGTATGACCAATTTTAGGAAATGAGCTTTTTAAATTGGTTCTGGTCTGGGTGTTCTGGGTAGTATTCTGGAGTGAATTCCGTTGCTTTGATGCTCAGGAATTCCTTAGTTTGAGACTAGGTAATTGGTATGGTTGTCTGCAGTAGAACGTATACAGTACAGTGGGAAACACCTGGTTTAAAGGTATAATTCCGAAAGTGGTCCCCATGGCCCCCTAGTGGGCGCTGAAGAGTTCTAAGGAGCTTTGGAAGCAATTGAGGGACGTTGGTGCTGTCCATGGGGTGGTAATCCCATTAGAGAAAGAAACCTGAATTATCTATACAAAATACTCTACAATATACAATTTTCGTTCCTTGTGATTTTTATTTAAAGTGAATACAAAAAATACGTGTTCTTCATTATTTACTGTGGCAAGCCAAAAAGTCATGGAACCTATGGTACAAATGAAGTTACCCAGCAGCAACACGCTGGAATCCATGTATGATGCCCTCAATAGTATTCTCCCAAGGAGGCGAGCGTCGGCCAGTGCTTAGGCGGCCGATGTAAGCTACTGTAGGGGTTAAGGCATTGCCGCCTACCGCTTGTTGCCACGCCTTTACCAGGTACCTGGTGGATGAAGAGTTGGAAATTATTAATTCACTTTTTAAAGATACATTGTATAAAATAGATGGTGGTAGATCTGGTCACATGTTATTGGACAGAATCTGCAAAACCAAGCCAACTCGTTCTGCACATACTTCTTATTTGTTAGTCAAGTTTTAAATATTGAGTAATATTTCTATTTATTTATATACAACAAATGTGTTGATCATATAATGAAATTACTTGTACGGAAGTAGTGTGCAACTTGGTATTTTACTCCCAGAAAAATGTAACCAGCCTCAAATTTTTGCTAGATATAAGCATGAAAGAAAGAGCATTGCAAAATAATAAAAGAAAAAATATTGTGACGTACATTTTTTATTTATTTATTTAAAACAAAAGTGTGGTAGATATGTTAAATTAATTATCAGCAACACTGCGATATTAAAAAAAGTCCAAAAAGCAGCAACACTTAAACGCTAAAATATACAAAATCTCAATTCTAATCGGCTAATTAAATTGCAACAAGAATGACATTGACATCTGATCTGTCAATATTTTTTATGGCATTGGCATCTATGGCCGACAAGTGTATGTAAGTATTTATTGTTCTTACCTAGCAGTCTGTAGTAGCAGTACAGTGTTCTCTCCCTCATAAGTGCAGGCTGCGGTAACTAAGCCATACATGATGGGCAGATTCGACGACTGCATGTAGCCGTGTCCACCGCATGCCAGACGACAGCGTTCAACGCAGTCAGCGGCGTCTGCTGTCGTTACTGCTTTTAGGCAACATGAGAGGGCATGCAGCTGAAACATTACGATATTACTGTTTTAGTGATTGTTGGTTCTTTATAGTTTTTAGGCAACTTATGAGGGTATGCAGCTGCATTTTTTAGAGATTTTCGTTAATGACTGCTTTCAGGAAACATGACAAGGTTTGCAGCTGAAATGTATTTGGAATGTTTGCAATTTATTAAAATGTAATAATAAAAAAATCAACTGACGGTTCAAATAGTTGAAGCTGTTCATATTGATGGAAAGAATGATTCTTTAACAATCTCATAAGCTACTGTGAGTCATCGTTCGCTTGATAACAGTCAAGTTTAGTAAAAATAAAATTTTTACATCTTATATATAACGTACGTAGCATATTATTAGCTATAGTTATGTTTTATCGAGAATACAACTACCATTTATTTGCATTGTTCTCCCTTTCCTTTTATTTTATTTTTATTTGTATGTTGATATACCCACATCCGTGCGATATCGACCAAGGTTGCCAACTGAAAATCAGCGCGGGGTATACTTTGCCCTGCAAATGCTGAGGTGGTGACCTATTCGACGGGGCATGCATAGTAGCATACAACGTTTATTGTTTTTTGTCAATCCTGATTTTTACTCTGTTTCTTTTTTATATTTTTATTATTTTTTTTTTGTTTCATGTTTTTTTAACTGTTTACTTTTTTATGTATTTGCCTTCGTCGAATAAATGATTTTCTATTCTATTCTATTCTATTCATTGCAAATTAGTGCGCTATACAAATGGTGTAAGATATAATTTTCAACAAAGAATTTTAACAGATTGTATTAGATAAATAAATAAATATTAGATATCACATAAGTTGATCTGACCCCAAAGTAAGTAACTAAGGCATTTGTTATGGAAATCTGAAACAACGACGGTACCACGAACATCCAGGACGGAGACAAAGTAAAAAAGTAAGTTTTTCTACATTTACCCGGTCGGGGATCAAACCCTGGACCTCAAAAATGGTGACACCGTGGAAACTAGTGTGCAAGCCACTCGGCAACGACGACCGTAAAAATCATATTATATTAGCTCAGTGTATGAAGCAGGTGTACATTATGCCAAAGCTAGAGTTTTACAGCCATCGAGTATATAACCAGAAAAAGACGACGAAATAAGGGCCATAATATTCCTGGTAACACATTCGCGATAAAGCTCTTATAAATATCAATTCTCGTTTGCACTCAAATATAGACAGGCCAACTACTGACCTGTGTGTACGTCTCCGTATATTCCAAAAAATATTCTGTATTTATCTAATAATGCCGTGTTGTTCCATACGGTGGTGTGGGAAAAATAGCAAAACATCTAATTACAAAACAAACGGAATCAAATTTCATCGATAATTAAATATTAAATATGTAATTTAGCAATTCTCGTCCATTATAGCAAAGCTCAAGTTAACTGGTCGATTTGAAGTGAAACAGTTGACGACACCCATTGACGACACCCGTCAACTGAATCGAACTCGGGCTATCCAATCGGAGCGCAGTTGTCACAGTAACGATATGGCAGAATAGTTTTCAAACAAATTAAATGACATTTCGCCTCTATTTCTGGTTATATACTCGATGTTTACACCACATAAATACCTCAGGCAGCCTTTCCATGTCTCCAGTCTCCAGCTCAGCGGTGACATTGTTGTACATAGTCCAGATCCAATCGGCGCTGAGCCGGAAGGCGTGCACAGACGCGATTCCAATTAGCAGTTTGTGCTGTTGCGTCACGTAGTCCAGAATCTGGGGCTCTGGTTCACTGTAAGAAATAGGTTTTACTGTAGTCATCTGTCGTCCGCTAAGTAAAATGTGGCTAACTGACAAAGTATGTTTTTAGATATCATAAAAAGCCATAACCCAGTTTTAGAATATTGAAATTGTTTAATGACATTTCAGCTATGCAACGTTAGGGTAAGTTTTTTTATCTGTAATTTTAACTGTTTTTACTCCGGGTTTCGATTCACGTACCGAGAGAAATATTTGTACGGCCTACATTTATTTCTCTCGTGAATCGTGTAATTTGTGGTTGTCTATGTGTGTGTCCATGGTACCCGCGATACAGGGTTTCCCTAGTGCGGGGTTATGAGTGTGTGCGCGTTATTGTTGTTTAATCATGCGCCAGCCAATCACACCAATAACTTGGTCTCAAAGTAAAGAATTCCGTGTACTATGAGCACCGGAGGAACGGAATTCAGTTTGGGGCACTTCCCAGAACACCCAGACCGGAACCAATTTAGAAAAATTCATTTTCCAAAAATGGAGTACAATGCAAACTGTTGGGCCATCGAGGTCGTCAAAATATTTAGGAAGTATTATAGGGACATTCCTCCAGGATTTTTTTCCTATATAAAGTTTTTTTTAAATACTAGATTACTAAAACGTCATAAACAACAATTTTTTTTTCCGCAATTTTTGACAAAATACGATAAATTTACCAAAAATAAAGTTTTTTTTTTACTACTTGACACCTTTCAGATCTGTATTTGTTACGAAGGTAGTAAATTCCAACGCGCAACGTCCTCTCCGACGACTGTGTCGCGGGTGCCATGGACACACACACATAGACAACCACAAATTACACCCAACTCACGAGATAAATAATTGTAGGCCATACAAATATTTCTCCCGGCCCGGGAATCGAACCTGGGACCTCTGCGTGGCAGTCCGGCGTGGTAAACGTTCGGCCACGGAGGCAGTTTATGTTGTTTATGATGTTAGTAATATAGTCCTGCGGGGTTGTTAGTATTTTACAAATAACCTTGTATATTTCTGATCCAGATGGAGACGAAGCGACATTTTGTAATATTTATTGCATTGAATTGATGTTTTTACTACCATATTATTCATACATTTTTCACCTCTCTAGCTCGGAAAGGTTACCTTTCTCATTAGAAATCTGCGCGCAAAAGCGTTTTTTCCACGCTAGCGTGGAACACGGCTTTTGAAATTGGAACTTGACCATGGACTGTGGTGCACCTAATTTTTTCTTTCGATGAAAAAACAAAGATGACACATTCAACTAAGCGATTTGTCGTACATTATTTATGGAAGATAAATACGTTGGCATATTCTATTCTTATTATTATTGACATTTAATTGACAACGGTAACTAATTTTCGATTAATGAATGAATAAACCTAATTTGTTATAGTTCAACTGTTTTTCTTTCATGTACGATTTTCCTCGCTATAGTGAGGTGGAAGTTCGTTTGGAAGTGTGTTTCGTTCGGCAGCAAAGTTGTTTCGCGTCTCGTGGCTTGAAACCCTCGCTGCGCTCCGGATTCTATTTTTTTTAATTACTCGTTAGACTCTTTCGCTTGTTCAGGTTTCAATACAAACACTCGCGTCAAACAATAACCTTGCAGCCTTGCATAACAAAGAACTATTATGTGAAAGTTCTCCACCTATTTTGGTGTTATACAATCATCACATAAACAACACCTGTTCATGATCTACATAATGAAGAACAAGTCATACTACTACTAATGTATATTTCACAGTCATATAATATATACTTTTTTACAAGTTTTAGAGTACATATAAACATGTCAAAATTTATTATTAACGGAAGTTTGTAAGTTTGAAAAATGTTTGTGGTATCCTGTAATTGGCGTAGTTGTTTGGGATTGTTTATCTTTCAAATTGTTAATATATTGTAAGCTGTTGGATGCACGAAATGAAATAAATAAATAGATCTCGTTTGTCGAAAAACTATGTGATTATTATTAATGTCAAGGTAACTTAGCCAAAAAAAAAACAGAATTGTTATTATTGATATAAAGATCGATATCGGGTACCTGCTGGATTCAGACGGATCAAAGAAACTTTTCTCTGTATTTGTTCGATATTCGTATTAACAATGACATTGTGTAAATTGCTTCCGTCTTAAAGGTATTTCGTATTTGTAAGCAAGTAAGCCAGCTGATATGATGACGAAGCCAGCAAGTAATATACACTAGACTGGTAAGTATAGGCTGTAGTTGTGTGTGGGAATTTGTACTTACTTAGGTTTAGGTTGCGATTGCCTTCTAACAGCAGAGTAGCGCGTGGCTACGGTGACGGCTTTGGCCATATAGTTGCACATGTCGTTCACGATTACCACTCGCACGAACATCATGGTGCCGTATGTCAATTTTGAGCTGGGCGCGTTCTGGTATGTGCCGTCCTAAATGAAATGAAAATAGATAGGATTTACTACAATTAGTCAGGTTGGCATTTTAGTACTCTTAAAAACACTACGTTTGTTATATAATGCTATGTAACAAATCCGTAAAAAACCTGCAAATCAGAAAAAAAAAAATGTTTTAGACCGGAATGAAACTTATTATTTAGAAGTTTAAAATCCATTTTTATTTTTTACTGTACGTTATGTTTTAACAATATCTCTGTAGATGAGCAGTAAAGGACCTTAAATGCTTTTTTTTGGAATTCCTTTAATGGCTAATTATTTAAAGTAATCGATAGGATAATTTGATAATAATGAAATCGACCCCTCCTACGTAAAGTATCGTATGTCCAAATTGCCAAGTTTACAGGGGAGCGTTTGAAAGTTTTAAATTCACTGAAATGAGCGTAACACGTGACTTTAGCATTTCTAGTTTTATTCGGCAAAACTCGTTACTCACATAGAATGATCATCTAAGAAATCGTCGTAGATCATATAAGATATCTAGGATTTTATAATGCTCTGTCTAAGTATGAGCTTTGGCGAATAAAACTGAGAAATGCTAGTCAAATGTTACGCTCATTTCAGAGAATTCAGAACTTTAAAACGCTCCCCTGTAAACTTGGCAATATCGACATACGATACTTTACGTAGGAGTCGAAATCTCTCCAATGAAGATTGGGATCTTGCAATTAAAGACGTATATGCAGTGTTACAGATAACAAGCGCATTGACAATACCAGGTGCATCTTCGATCCTCTACCCAAATCGAACAGCAACTTACCTCTAAAATCTTAGAGTTCTTCATCAACATATGCTCTCTTGGTATCCTAACTTTCTCGAAACCAAGAAACCCGTTGTTGGTTCCGTTCATTCCCAATTTGGCTCCGATCTCGCCGACTTTAATGCCCGGTAGGGGCATGTGGGTTTCTTCGTCGCGAAGTTGAACGATGAACGCGTGGATGCCGTGACATTTGCCTCTTGAGTACAGTTGGGCCATTACTATGCAGTAGTTTGCCGTGTGTGCCACTGAAATAGAAACAAATGGGTAAATTTCACAGATTTCTTATAGGTGGCGCCATGGCTAAAAAGTCGTTAAAAACCATATACTAAGATACGACAACAAGCACATAGAAAAATTCGTGAGGTCCGCTGGTTCGTTCCGTGGCTTAGTTCCCGGCTCGAAGGTATTTTTCTAAGTCTTCGATCTTTGTATTAATAATTATCACATACCAGTGGAGTAGTTCCACAAAAACAAGGGCAAACATTCTGACATTCAACAAAAATTTCAACCTTTAAACCTGCAACAGGCCATAGAGCAATTCCATGATCTGCTGCCTCCATTTGTAGCTCAGTTGTTAAGAGAAAAGTGCGGCCGCAGCTGGTTCGAATCTACACTGATCGAAGCCTTTTAGTCTACATTTTTCTTTGTTTTGTCGATCTTTGTATTAATGATAATAACGCACTAGTGGCGTATTGTCACAAGAAATACACGAATCGGTCATTCTTGGACTAGTGTTTACTACTTAATTTCCGTGGTAAATTTTACTATGTAAGTATTCGGTTTTATTACCGTGCAATAAATATTATTTAACATTCGGGTATTGTATTATAAAAAGAAACCAGCTGGGATAGATGACATCCTTAAATCAGATAAGGTTCCACAGTGTCTGAAGACCCGCTTGTTTAATCAGTGTGTTCTGCCATGGACGAGATGAGACATGGACGCTTGCGCAGGAGACTGTATACAGGTTGAGAGTTGCACAGAGCGCCATGAAGCGCGACATAATTGGCATCAGCCTTGTAGTCCGAGTTCCGAACGTTGAGATCCGACGACGGACGAAAGTACAGGATGCTGGAACTCGGATCATGCGCTCAAATGGGACTGGGCGGGACACCTAGCAAGGCAAGATGACAGGTGAAGCAGAACACCCGACTGATTAGTGGCCGAAAATAGGCAAAAGAAGTGTTGGGCGCCCTGTTGCAAGGTGGGTTGACGACATAGTACGCGTCGCGGGGTGTCAATGGATGCAGCTAGCAGTTGACCGTGGTGGATGGCACAAACTTCGGGAGGCCTATACCCAGCAGTGGGTGAAATCAGGCTGAGGATGATGATGATTGTATCGTGAAATATTATTCAATAATTACACGATAATATACTTCTATATCTAAATAATAAAAATTGTCACGGATGGTAGTTAAAACATCATGAGATTGAATCAAATAAATATTACAATGGCAGTTTTTTTACAAAATATAGATATCAAGGATAATACAAATTGCTAAGCTTTTATTTAAAATTTTGTTAATACAATAAAACCATCATAATTAAGAGATAAATTTTAGTTTTGATAAAAAAATTTGATTCATAGGACGATTTTATCATTATATCAAAAGACATTGTCATTTGGAATAATCGATTATTATAATCTATACAGTTTTAATGTGTACTCTGTGTACTTTCGATGGATACCAAATGCATAAAAATTGAAGAACCAGTTTGCATAACATACGTCACCGAGTCGAAATCAAGGAGTATTGTCATTTTTTAAACCGACTTCAAAAAAGGAGGAGGTTCTTAATTCGACTGTATTTATCTTTGTACGTATGTTACGCGGTTACTCCGGCATTTGTGAGCTGATTTTGATGATTCTTTTTTTGTTGGAAAGATGGCACCTCAGTATTGGTCCCATTGAATTTTAAGAAAATATAGGATGAATTCAGTTTCGCGCATTTTCCGGTAACGGATTTCAATCCAACTTGGCAAAAAGATGTAATTCCACTTATGAGGTCGGTTTCTTCTTATAAAACAAGTTATTAAAATGTACATTTGCACGAAACTCTATGTAAACGAAGTAAGGTACGTACACCTCAAGCTGGATGGGCGCCTATACATATATGTCTGTGAAAAATAATTTTGAACAAAACAGATTGCAACTTGTATCCAAAATCGAGATTTCTTTGGAGTAGGTCTCAGAATGGGGTCAACAGAATCTTGTCAAATTTAACCCCGCAAAGACAGGCGTTCACCGCTAAAAAATACCCACTTATAATAGCGCCTAAGTTCCAGAACATCTTTACCCTTTTCTCCTTACCATCTCTAAGAGTATTGGGATACTTGGATTCGACATCACGAACGAAGTCCAGTTCCAGGGTCATTTGGAGAGCAAAGCCACACTGGCTTCCAAAAAGCTCGGAGTGCTCAATAGAGCGAAGCAGTATTTCTCACCAGGTCACAAACTTTTGTTGCATAAAACAAAAGTACATACATGTCTGTGAAAAATAATTTATCATTTTCTCTTTGAATGAGTTTTTCCATAACGTAATACGATTCAGGAAGTAACCATGTATTTTAACTATTTATTAACCACACACAACAATAGAAAACAGAACATATAACAATATCAACAGAGCAGTAACAGTGGGTGTAGTGCTTGTAGATTATTGTATAATAGTAGTTTTGTAGAATAATCTACACCAACTAGAACTTGTCCTACGTCTCATCTGGGTACAGGATGATATAGGCTTTACTACGGTACGCTGTCTAAGTATAGATAGGTACTTGGGTAAGATGTTACAGCTGGATTATTATAATATTTTTCTGACGTGTAGTGTTATGAATATGGTGAGATAATTATTGTGTTACAATGGTGCTGGCATGTCTTGCGTCGCATCAGAAGCACCCAGTACTATATTGCGACGCGTCAAAGCCTTGGACAATCTAAAATATTTATGAAATTTTTCAGTATCACTCAAAAGCTTTTTAAAGAGACATTTCAGTCTCTTTTTTTCTGTTCACTGAATGAACCCAATCTTCTGCTTCTTTCTTGATTTTTTAAGAAGAGTTCCCAAAACCATAAATTGAATATTTGCTTTATAATCTGAATTAGAATTAGTTGTTACATGGGAATGCGTTTGGAACGTATGAACTCCCTGAGAGCCACCACGGTATTGATTCACAATGTTGTAAGAAAGCAACATAGAATGATATACAGATGTGAAAGCCCGCCATTACAACACGATTCATCAGACAAATATAAATCTAGCTTAATTCTGATTTTCCCCTGTTTCTTTTTATGTCATCATCATTCTATTTAAGAGCCAGGATCTTGTCGGTGCAGCCTCCTCCACTCCACATGGTTTATAACCTCATTGACCTCTTTATGACTAATCGGTTTACTATACGTCATTCTTAGTCTTCCTGTCTTTCTTCTCCTTTCTATCTTCCCCTTAATTATCATTTTCACACTCTTTGTCATAAAAGACTCACTGTATAACACATGACGCAGTTTTAAAGTTTGACCGAAGCGCAGCTCCCCACGGCGTTGTTAAGATCCTCCCAAACATGTACACACAAACATACCACCTTTTATACCTCGCCTGGGGAGATACAACTCCTGAGCATAAAGAAAAAATGGTGGTGTATACTCACGTCCGCCAGGCCACCATTTGTAGGAGGTGAGCGTGGGACTGTGCAGGACGAACTCCTTGGTGGAAGGGTCGTAGGTAGCCGTCGTCTCCAGCCCACGGATGAATGTACCGTGACCCAACTCCGTCTATGAATCGCGAATTTTTATTTGAAATTAACAAAGTTTTCAAGTATTCAAACATTGCGACTCATCTGAAGAACAAAGTCCGTTGTGATTATGTAGCGAGAAGAGAATAGGTACATTATGAGAATCATTTCGTTATTCAAACAAAGGCCCACGTAAAGGTGTTTAAAAATGTGATTGGATTTTTAAATCTATTTAATCTAATAGTCTTTACGAAGCCCCCCCCCTGGGGCTATCGGATACCTTAAGAGTTGATACTACCTCAGCTCGAATTCAAATTTTTCCCGTACTAATACTGTTCATGTTGCCTGGGTCGAGCGGCAGGGACCCTGGGTTTATTTCATAATTTATTTTTCTACAAAGAAATCAAAGCCCATTGTAAAAATATATATCGTGTAGTATACGCGTTGTATTTAGTTCAGTTGATTTAAAAAAAATCATTGGTCACATACCAATGATTTTTTTAAAGGATCTATTGAATACAGCTGTTTTCTTCGAAAATTTCCTGAGGTTGTATCGACTCTCAATCACATGGTAAAACTGAATAGACTATTTATTATACATTGAATTCTCACCATATTTACAGAGGTCATTCTATATCCAAAACTAAACCCAAATAACTGAAAAAATAAATCGAAAAAAAAAAAATTTATTAAATTCTTATTTTTTATTTAATTGCGGTAACCACGCTTGACTTGCACTGCACGTGCTACAGGTACCGGCAACCATTTGAACAATGACCTATGCGCAGAATATAAGCATTTTAGATTTATGTGGTGGTAGGGTACGGTAGGGACGGGGGGAAGTATCGTATCGAGCGCGTGATTGGTAGATCATCAGTCGACCTTCCGTATTGCGTCTACGTTCCGCTGACATCGCGCATACGGTCTAGTTTCTCACAAAATGCCATGTGGTTTGGTATGTAAACAAGAGTTATGTAGTGGAAAAAAAACCGCTTCCAGTTCACCAGACCCTGCATTACCATCAAGTTCATTCTTATGGCATGATGTGAAATATTTAGTTTATGCAGATTACGAGTGTCGAAGAATTGCGTTGCAAAAATCGTCTTTGGTTTCTTTCTGCTTTTTCTGTTGTGAAGAATGTGCTATGCTGAAATGAAACTCTGTACGTGTGGATGGCTCCGGTACGGAGCCTGCCACCAGCTGTGGAGCTAGGTACTTCTAACACTACTTTCATGTAACCTAAAGTTGGTAAGTAATAAATCTAAGTTACAAAAAATCTTTTTCCAGTCAATTTTTCTAACTAATGTAAATAATTAGTCAATTATAACAATACTAGTACATAAACATAATTTTAAAAATAGGTAAATAAGCGACCGAGAAAGATTGCGTATCGCTCGGTGAAGCGAGTGATACGTAAAGGCGGGGTCACTGTCCTCCGCGGTGAATACACTTGGGGACAATTTTACAAAACTTTACTAGATACAATTAGCCAGAATATTGAACAGAATATATTTTTAGGTGATTTAGCATTATTTCTATTATTAATTTCTTAAACATGGCGAGAATGCAAATCAACACACTGTATAATGACAAAGTTCTATAAAAAAAAAATAGAGCATCCAATCGAAATCACACATAGATACATGATTTTGAATAATGGCTTTAATATGACAACTTGCTTTAGTAAAGAACAAAAGAAAATTTAAGCCGGGTCGTGCTCATGGGCAAGGAACCCAGGAGGCTGATAACATTTCCCCTTTGGATAGCTATGGTTATTCTCTGAAGGAAGTAGCTGTCGACATGCTTTTTTTTAATACCTAGTGACGGGACGAACGAATCGTACGCCTGATGGTAAGCTACACGCCTGTCCATAACAGTTGCAGATCTTCAAATCGCAAAGATCTGAGGGACACTAACACTGCGCCCGTCACCCCGAGACATAAGTTGACAAGACCCACGTGCCAGTAATTTGCCAGTAATGCTAACATTACTACTTGGGAAATAGGCACGGTGGCAGTACTTCCTTGGACGAACTCAAAACTAGCTGGCGACCTTCTGATCACCGGGGTTTTCATCGAAGCGAACTGAGACCTCCTTACAGAGGAATTACATCTGATGTATTAATATTTCGGGAAAGAAGGGCGTAAATTAAACTAGAAAATTTATTGCAGTGTGACTGTTTCAGTCCGTATCTTAATATGTCTTTATTAACTACGTTTACATAATGAGGTTATTCCTTGGGCAAATAACGAATGTGTGGACAAAATACCCAACTGCATCAATAACCCATTTCCAATTTAAAAAAATAGTTTTTACGCCATTTTTTTCAGTAGTACCGATACATATATAAAAAATATGATAATATAAATGTGTAAAAAAGTCGCACTCAAACAATCTGTAGTGGCGAGGATGCATGCAGATAACCCTTTGGCCTAAATAAACTTAACAATGTTTTTTCAGATAATTATTATTTTGTTATCAATTATCATATAACATTGTTTTCAGTCTTAACTCAATGAGTTAGTCGAGTTTCGATTCGTTTAAATTTCCTTCATCTCAATCAAATTTTTATTTAACTTTATACAAACCTGAGCATAAGTCCCAATAATATCCAAATTAAAAGCTCTGCCTATCCAGTAAGCTTGCTGTTCTACCGTCGCCTGGCCCATCAGGGTTGGTATGAACATCACATAGTGTAGTGTAAGTGGAGAACCGTCTTGGAGTATGGCCGAGCCGAGGGTGCCACCAAGCACTGCCCTGTAGATATAAATTAACATTTATATTGAGATGATGAAAACCCTAAGGGCGCGTTTATTTGACACGAATTTCATGGCGCTCACGTCGCCGCGCAGCGACCGTGTGCATCTAACTGTAATGGCAAAATACACTCTATTTATTTTAGCTTTTACTTTTTAACTTAAATGAGCGTCCCGGATGCGCAGGCGAACCTAGCTCGTCTTTGGTCTACGCTGCGGCCGAGCGGCGTCCTCGCGGCTTTCGCGACGTTTGTATTGTTCCGAGGTATTTAAATATTGTTGCCTAGTAAATAGAATTCAGATTCGCCAGTAATGTGCGTGAAAGCGTGGTAACTGGGCGGTCACTATAACACGGACACATATAATATTTTTCACTTCTCATGCTCTTAAAGTTCGTATTTATGCTGGGTGTAGGCTGCATAAAAATAGGATTTTATGCTCTAGTGCATAAAACAAGGAAAAACCAACACATTAAATATGTCTAATTGTTGTAACTTTACATTCAATTTTAATAAAAAATCGATTATTTCTAATATTGCTGTTTAATTTCCTCGCAATCGAAGTGAAAAGCAGAGTGTATAACTCGTTCATAAAACTCATTTTACCCTCGATATACTCGTCTCGGGTACATTGTCGCGTTCTATGCACTTGTTGTACAATCTACTATATAACAATGTACATACGTAAATAAATTATAACAACAGAAGCAAGAAAAGACAGATAGGAGCAGAGATGGCCAAGCCCTCGGGTTTAACCTGGCGGTTTGGTTACGCCGGGTTCAAATCGGGTTAAAACCCATTAACGCCCAAAAACGAGGCCAAAAACTAATATTTGTTAAATTGAATAATAATAAGAATAGCTGGGTAAATAATAATAAAGGCAATAACGCAATTAGTAATCAACGCCGTAACATTTACAATTTAGTCATTTTTGTCAAAATTTTATCTTCTTTCACAATATATCGATAAAACTATCGACAGCAACTACAACACTATTTAAAATTTTATGAAAACTGGCAACCCTAGAAATGTCATTTTGCTCCGTCTTCAAAAAAGACCGACTACGTTACACAAAAGATACAAAGTTCATTATGATGTACGTACATTTCGTTACACAAAATAGCTTCCCTTCCATGGCAATGTAAATTGAACCTAAGGTGGGACTGACAGCAGCACTGTGATTCGCAAAGCATTGTATATGCAGAGGAAATGAAAAATATATATATAATCGAGGAAATAAATCTTACATATAATTTTCCATCCCCGCACTATCCTCTTCTTGCAATCGACGAATCAATTTAAATAGTCCACAAGACTTCTTGATGGCCCTCTCATACTTTTCTTTGTGGCTTAAGTATTCATTAGGGACGTCATCAATGTGCAAGCCTTCTTTGAGTACCATCTCCTCTGAAAATGTTAGGATATTACAAAGCGGGAACAGAATTAATTTAGGAGCAATGCGAGAATTTTAAAGAATCAAATTGATGATAACTTTTGTCAACATTTCTATTGCAAACATATTGTAAATTATTTTTTCGACTTATCCGAAGAACAGAGTCCGATGTGTTTATACAACGAAAAGAGGATAAATACATAATCTCGTTGTTCAAAATAAGACCTAGCTCTAGGTGTTTTAAGAATTTAATGTATTACTTCGTTTTGGAAATATAAAATCGAGCAACGGCCGATCTGATATCCACAGTTAAGAACAGCGCGCGAAATGTACAATGTTCTGAGAATAAGCAATTTAAAAATTAAAATTTTTGAAGTCGGTTAAAAACTCGGACAGCTTGTCCAGCTGTATATCATTGCAGTTTTGTTGGGTAATGTGTTCCGTTATTAATTGTTTGAGATCACTTTACAGAAAAAAGGTATGATGAGTTTAGACATACAGTGTCAGTTATTATGTTAAATAAATATTTAAAATTTCGTTTCTTCATGATTATCTGTCGTACTTAATAAAATAGTTATTGTTATGTTATATTGCTCCATGATGTTTTATTAAAACATGTATTCACAAAATTATTACAGAATGCGTTCATGTTATGTGAGACTGTTTAATGTTCATGCCATAACAGACATCTGCAGACTGTAAATATTCTAAATGTAGTTTATGAATTGAATTAATATGTATACATATGTAAATGAATTTTTTATTTTTTTAACCGACTTCAAAAAAAGGAGAAGATTCTCGATTCGTCTGTATGTTTTTTTTGTATGTATGTTACGCGAAAACTCCGCCATTTGTGTACAAATTTTGATGATTCTTTTTTTTGTTGGAAAAAAGGTACCCCAGATATGGTCCCATTTCAATTTCAAGAAAATATCCCTCCTCTAAGGGTGGCAAACTAGGGAATGAATAACTTTTGAGGTCGGTTTTTTAACCGGAGGTTAGGTTATGGATATACAAAACAGTTTACATTCAGTGGAACATGTTTGAGAGACTATTTAAGGACTCAATGTAGAATGTACTGGCATATACTATATTGTATAAAAGTTCCTAAATAAACAGATTATAAAAAAATAGAATGTAGACTTAATGAACCTAATGAAATGTAAACATTACATTTGCATAAAGATTTTGAAAAAAGACGATTTAGTGAGTTTACAGAATTAAAACTAATGCGAATAAAGATTAACGCAGATATTAATTTGACAGTATTAATGAGAAGACGAGTCAATTGAGAACATTGGTACGAATTCTACAAAGATTGTTGTTGAAAACATCAATGTGAACTCCAAGTACTGATATTAATAAATCATTGTAGCTTCGGCACATTCTGGTCAAATATAAAAAGACATGTTATTTTTATAATCATTCAACACGAAGGTTTTTAATTTAACTAATTACATATTAATAACACATTTAGTAAATAATCAAAAATTTTGGGCCAGTGAAGAAAATTAATTTGCTACTCCGCGAACCCAGTGAAGGTTAAATCGTGCAAAATAGCTCTAGTGCTATAAGTGTTGAATATTTTTTCAGGAAAATAAACTGCATTAATGATTGTCAAGTATTTTGTTGACATACTTTTCAACATAACTGCAATAGCAACGGATAAGATAGTATCTTTTTTCAACTGCCTCTGTGGCCGAACGGTTACCATGCCGGACTGCCACGCAGATCCCCCGTTCGATTCCCGGGCCGGGAGAAATATTTGTATGGCCTACATTTATTTCTCTCGTGAGTTTGGGTGTAATTTGTGGTTGTCTATGTGTGTCCATGGCACCCGCGACACAGGGTTTCCCTAGTGCGGGGCTATGTTGAGTGTGTGCGTTATTATTATTATTATTTTTTAGCAAAAAATTGGTTCCTTTCATTAGTCATAGTTTTATTTAAATTATAAAATAAATTACCTTATTTGACATGATTGCATGTCATTGTATTGACAATAGAAAAAATGCAAATAAATAATAAAACAAACATTTCAAATAGGTCATAGGTACATAGCCCTTGCAGTTAAGCTGTAATGATCACGATCACATTAAACTTAAAAAAAGTACCTAAACCACATATTATTTATATGTATTGTCATTGACTGTATTGTATAATTACATAAGTGGTATTGTAGTGGTGTCATGATGACAAATTATATATTATTATTCATGAAATAAAAAAATAAGTTCCTTGTTGGCCAAACAGTTCGCACTACAGGCACTGGATGAGGAAGTCCCAGGTTCGATTCACAGTAGGACCAATTTGGGAAACTTTACTAAATCAGTTTTAGTCTAGGGGTACTGATTAGTGCCCCAGATCGAATTACATTAAATTTAGTACAGGGCACTCTTTAGTTTGCGATAGAGTAATTGGGTGTAGTTGTCTAGCACAACATTTGCTTTATTAACAATAAAAATATTGTCTATGCATACATTCATCATCATAGACAAAGTCAAATCATATTTATTGCATATGTAATTTAAAAAAATTACAGTTAAAATCATCATGTTGATTAAACTCTACTAGGTCTCTTTCATAAGGCAGATACCTCAACCCTAGGGGTTGCTCGTTGTAAATGTACATTTGAATACATTTATCATTTGCAATGTCGATTTCAAACATCTTACATCGAAAACATGTGCAAGAGCCAAACGGGTCACTACCACAGATTTTTGTCATCCAATTATGCAGAAGCTGTATCTTCCGAAAAAAGTTCTTGTTTCACTATAGTTTTAAACCTTATAAATGGCAAATTTTGAATATAATCTGACAGTAAGTGGTAGATACTCAAACAATTATAGCATGCAAACAATAACTTAGAAGTGTACGTACTTTATGCCAATATGAAGATAATGCCTATTGAACTATGATCCTTGTGCTTATTACTCACTTTAGTGTTGTAGGTAGTACACACATAGATACAACATGTACACACAGATAAACAATACAGGAAAAGGAGAAATCTAGTCTTTTTTTGTAAAAAATGTATGATCTAGGTCTTGTACAGAGAATGTTTCGAACACACTCAGAAAGAAATGCGAGAGGACAGCGCTATGTAGTGCTATGCAACTCTACGTAACGTTTTAAACATGTTCTACACATCTATGAAGCAATGGGTTTTGTGGTTTATATGTGATGACCAGTGGTCGGAAAAAGGTGTTCCATATGTGAACTGGCAACCAATACTATCTCAATTTTTTAAAGATTTAACTTGTCAAAACCATTTTATACTATTTCATTCTCTGCAGCGTTACAATAAATTCCATTAATTTTAATAACATGTGTAATAAAAATATTTAAAAAGTACGTATTTTTATTTAATCGTAATTAAAAAACGGAGAGTGATCATCCTCATTACTTTTTATTCTCTGCTTTCAAGTAAGAGGTTGGTGATCTACTGCATTTTTTTTACATAGCACCTTTAGAATTACTTTAAAATCCAACTCAACTTCCTAGGTATCCTACAATGTATTATAAATGTATTAAAACCATTTCCGGAACTCGAAAATAGTAATTAATCAATATATGGCAGTTTTAACAACTCTATGTCGCTCCTTGTAGGCGTATCTGTACATGTATCTATACATGTGCAACACCTTTTTCCGACTATTGGTTATGACAGCTTAAAAAAGTCAAGGACTCTAGAAATATAAATCAGTAGAATTAGTCGAGTAATGACTAAAGAAAAGCATCACATGACTTGTTATTCCAAAGTACATTAAAACTATAAGTAGACTCTATTATTGAAAATTTACACTAAATAAATATGTACCCAGAAACACTTGTAATAATAATAACACAATTGTTGTGTTGGATAAAAACTTTTTTTCATTGCCTAATTTAAAAGATTTTAAAATGTGACATTATAGTAAATCTAAATTAGGTTGAAGCACAGAGAATATTATTTTAGTCAACAGCAAGCATATGTCTGTACTTAAAGGTACTGTGAAAGGTTTTTTTGTAGAAAAAATATTATTACTATATTGTAATGGTAATTATATATCTTACCTCTGCTTTTCCTTTCTGCGGTTTTGTCTTCACCTCCATCTATTAAATTTATTAGTTCAGTTACATTAAATGTGCACTTGTCTCGCTCCCTTTGTAAATCTGGGTTCACTTTTGTACTCATCTTTTTTGTTATGTACAGCGTACGACACGTTTACTTTAGAGAAAGGCGCTTGAGCAACTGCAAAAATTACAATGAACTCAGACGACTGAAATGATGTCTTACTGTTAAGTGATAATTATTGCGCGCTTCTGGTTGGTCAGATATCTTGAATAACAGGTTTATAGTAGAGGCAGTTTCCAATTTCCAAGTGACGTAGACAAACACAATGCAAAATATATCTGAATGTCTTCGGCCTAATATTCGTTTGTCAACATTTATTTACAGTGTAATTGTATTTGCTCCTGTTAATATTTATTTAAAAGTAATCATCCAACTTTCCGATCCCTCTTTGCGAATCATGCTTTATCGAAACTTTTAAAAATTTTTCAACTTTAATTAACTATATTGAAAAAATGGTTCAGTTGTAGGTAGGTATACTTACAATAATATCTCGCTGGAATGTATCTTTTTGGAATAAAACATAGAAAGACTACCTATTACCTATTCAAAAGGAAAATGTAAAAACTCGCAAAAACTTAAAAATTATAAAGTGTACATACTCTGCCTGCCGAGACGTGCGCAAAACAGTACCTCGAAAAGTAATGTCATATCACATCACATTTCTGTAAAAGTAATATTACTCTGTGATATCACTATTACTATTACCCACAACATCATACAATAATGTACAGATGTAGTGAATAATCCTTTCCTTTCGTATTTTCTCGGAAATGTTCGTTTTTGTCTTACTACTTCACTCGCACTCAGTACCCCTCGAGACAACGTAGGGAAAGGTCGCATTGCAAGAGGAAGTATCTATATAGAGTAGTTAATACCACAGAAATATATTTATGTTAGATTTTGTGATAAACTTCATGGACTCGTGTATTAATGCAGGCCACCTATATTTTGATAGACCTTTTACATGTCACTCTTGTCTGTCATTTTTGTAAATAATAAACATTGATTTTATTCGATCCACATTAACAATTTATAACAGACATGCCGAAAGCACTAAGAAAAGGGAAACGTTTAGATCGGCAAGCCTGCGAAGTTATTTTCAATATTTATTTATATTTCTTAACTGAAAATGATAAATTCAAACATACCAACTATACTGCTTACTTTTGTAAAGTCCAAAAACGAGTTTCGGAGGCCAGTGGAATTTCTCAACGAACAGTAAATAAAATATTGCAAAAAGAATACATAAATCAATCTACCTCCAATAGTCCGAAGTCGGCAAAGTTGGGTAGACCAAATAAATTATTTTGTCTAGGTCTTGACGATTTTGACTACAACGTTATACGCCGATTAGTGTATAATTTCCATTTGATATACAAACAAGTACCTACAATTAAAGCCCTGAAGTCCAAGTTATCCGAAGCCATAAATTTTAAGGGATGTGACTTGACGCTAAGAAAAATTCTTAGAAAAATGGGATTTCGGTACAAAAAAGTTGAAAACAACAGAAAATTACTTATCGAGAAAGATGATGTTCGTTTAAAAAGAGTAAAGTTTTTAGCCGCGATAAAAAAGTACAGATTGCAAGGGAGAGAGATTGTTTATATGGATGAAACATACATCCATACCTCACATTTGGCAGGTAAAAGCTGGGCTGACTCGTCAGAAAACGGAGTGAAACAGTTAATTTCTAAAGGACAACGTCTTATAATAGTGCACGCTGGTAGTAGAAAGGGGTTTATACCTATGGCATTGTTAATGTATCAGTCTACTGATAAAACAGGTGACTATCACAACGCGATGAACAATGAAAACTATGAAAAATGGCTTCGTAATCAACTCATTCCAAACTTAGCTCCACATTCGGTACTAGTAGTAGATAATGCTGCATATCATAATAAGTACGTAGAAAAACCTCCTAATTCAAATACCCGTAAGCAAGACATGATTGATTGGCTATCCAAACTTAACGTTCCGATTGATCCGTCATTAACAAAAATTGAAATATATGAAATTATTTGCAAGTACAAACAAGACTTTGTAGAATACTCTATAGATAAACTTATGAACGAATATGTACACAGCGTACTAAGATTGCCACCATATCATCCTGATTTCAATCCGATTGAAAACATATGGTCTCAAATAAAGGGATACGTATCCAAAAGAAACATCAGTATGAATATGACTACTGTGAAACAATTGGTACAGGAAAAGGTTAATATGATTGGTTCCGATGTTTGGGCCAAAGTATGTGACCACGCCATCAAATGCGAAAACGAGTACCGAAAACACGAACCTGAGTTGGAAAATTATATGGCTAGTTTTGTAATCAACGTTCATGAAAACTCTGACGATGATACACCAGAAAATAGTTCTGAATCTGACTGTGATATGGAAGTTGGAAGTATTGTTTCGCATCACACTGTCCACCCCGCTCCTCCTCCTCTTATCCCGCTGTCATAATCGAAGTCGTTCATCCAATCAGAAAATCATATTTATTTATATTAATTTCTCTGCTGGTTTGTTTTGTTTTATGTTGAGGTGTCTTTTTTGTTATGTCATAGTATTTTTAATTAATTAAAAAAATTAATTGTTATAAAACAGGTCTGCAAAATCCAACTGTAGTTTTGACTTATAGTTAGACTTTTGGGGTTCCAATCCTTATAGAATCATTAGATCATCCCAACCGGAATTTGGTTTTTATCAGTGCGTTTTATTGAAATAAAACGTCCTCGGTAACTAGTTATATTTTTGTTTACCTAACGAATTCTTTATATGATAGAATCGTGGTGGTTTTAACATCTCAGTGTAATATACGTCAAACGGGCAGTTTGACATTTGACATTGATAAATAAAGTATGCGATTTATTTGATACCTACACGTAATTTAATAATACAGTAATTCATAGACACATCGGCACCATTCGGGTGTTATCGTTGTTCCGAGTTTTGCCGATAGGAAAGGATTATTCACTACATCTATAACACACACAACCTAAAAAAAAAAAAAAACACCGACTAATTGACAACCTCCTCCTTTTTTTTGAAGTCGGTTAAAAAAGCGATGCGTTTTAAAACAACCTATAAAACGCGTTTCTAGAACATAAACTTGCATTATAAACAAGATCTACTTACATATTACTAGAGAGGATCAAACAAAAATTACGAAATATTACGAACCGTCTGGCAACCCACACTCACCCTGGTTAAATTTTACATTATAAATTGCCACGTAATCAAGCAATGATTAACAAGTTATGCAATTTCATTTTAAATGTCTACTGTTTAATTCGTTTACACCATCTAGTAAGTTGTAAAATAACAAATGCACTCCAAAAATCAGACGTTAATTATAAGTTGTTACATAACCTCACTTTTACTAAATCTCTTATAGCTCTGCTTTCAGTTCAATTCGCAGAATTTTCAGTGATGGTACATCAATACCTACGCAATTAACTGATACCACCTTCATGTTTTTACATCTTGGATTGATTGTATGAAAGCGTATCCATCTCCTTCTAGATTACCAAGAAAGATCGAAATATATTTAACCAAGCACAAGCACTGATTAACAAATTATGCAATTTCATTTTAAATTGTCTACGGTTCCATCCTTTTACACCATTTAGTAAATTATGAAATAATTGGGGTATTAATACAAACATCGTTCTACTGCAATATTCCAAATTAGATGCATTTACATTGCATTTCGCATAATAGTATTAAACAAACATCACTCCGTGATGTTCTAAGCATCACGCGTAATATAAGCATCACGTGTACTGTTTCAGGTAATATCACGCGGGTAATGTTTCGGGTAATGCATCACGCGCGTACTGTTTCCGAGCGATGCATCACGCGAGTAATGTGTAATGCTAACATTACGCGTGATGCTAACATTACGCGTGATGCTAACATTACGCATGATGCTAACATTACGCGTGATGTTAGCATTACATTGCATCATTGCATCACAGCATTGCATCACGCCGCGTACTGTTTCGCGTAATGGGTGTTAGTAGCGACACCTGGCAGCAGCGCTACGTAACACTACGGCACGGATAGCAATGTCCCATCAAGTAGTAAGTCGAAAATTTGCTAGGTGGCGCTATTAATATCGATATATACCCAAGTTCACCTCGTATGTGTAATAAAAAAACGATACATTACGAAATAATTCCTATACGCATCATAATAATTGTTAATTTAACTTGAATGATGGCGAGTGCGTGTGAGACTGAGATACTGTTATATATCTCGGATAATTTTCCGAGAGGTAATGGAGACGGGGCAGTCGGGGCCAAAATTTAATAAGTTGAGGTATGGTTTTAAAAAAAGGGTTGTATATCTAAAAGCCACCTATAAGAAAAATGAGATTTAAGATGATCTCACACAGTGACAAATCCTCCACCAACCACACCATCACCAACTCTTGTTGGCTCCATCGTTTTCGTTCAGTAACTTCAACATACGCACTGTCTTCTCCTTAGTCTGCGCTTCAACTTTTGAGTTTTGTTTTGACATTTGGCGGAAATCAAAGTCAACGTCAAATGTGGGAAAATTAGAGGAAAAATATTGCAAACATTTCCGGAAATCATTTATTTTTCTGAAAAATACATATGATTTTTTTAATGGAAATTTTTCCATGACCCAACACTGAGCGAGATTAACTGAGAACCCCGGAAAGATTTACAATTTACATTCATACTTTATTGTAACAAGAAAACACGTGATTTTTTTTGGTTAGCATGGCTGTTGGCTGAGATCGCCAAATTTCGTAGAAGTTCCAGTGATGATATAACAATACATAAGCTATTTATTATTATCACCTTCAACTTTTACATCTTGACCCAAGATTGTATAAAAGCGTATCGATCTCCTTCTAGAAATATTGTAATATTATATTTAATCAAGTATTGATTAACAAATTATGAAATTTCAGTTTAAATTGTCTGTCTACGGTTTATTTCAATTACACCATCCACCAACCCACACCAACCACCATAGTAAGTTATTAAATAATTTGGGTGCTAATACAAACATCGTTCTACTACAACATTCCAAATTAGATGCATTAACATTGCATTACGCATAATATTACTATTACACGAGATGTCTCATAAACAAACATCATTCCGTGATGTTACCGTTACAACGTCACTCGCATTACTTAGACTATAAACATCACTCCGTAATACCACCATCACGCGTACTGTTTCAGGTAATACATTACGCGAGTACTGTTTCCGAGCGATGCATCACGCGGGTAATGTGTGATGCTAACATCACGTGTAATGCTAACATCACGCGTAATGCTAACATCACGCGTAATGAGAACATCACGCGTGATGTTAGCATTACATTGCATCATTGCATCACAGTATTGCATCACGCCGAGTACTGTTTCGCGTAATGGGTGTTAGTAGCGACACCTGGCAGCAGCGCTACGTAACCCTACGGCACGGTTAGCAATGTCCGATCAAGTAGTACGTCGAAAATTTGCTGGGTGGCGCTATTAATATAGATATTTACTATAATTAGTTCATATTGGGAAACTCCCAGAGCGCCCCAACATGGTCTATGTAATGGGTAATGTTATGAGTAATGCATATTTTTCCAAAGTGATGCGTGATATCACAGTACCCTGTCGCGTGATATCACCTTTGTAATATGACTCACATTACTTACACATGTCTACTGCCGACATGAGCCATCAATAATAGTTGTCTTGTCTATGAGCGACCATTCATTATTGTACCGCATTTACATATTTGCGCGATTAATATTCGCCGAATATGCGAATGGGACGCTCATCAATTTCCTTGCGTCGAATACAGGACATTATTATCATTCTATCGTTGCAAGTTGACGCAGAAGTGTACGCGAATGTCTTAGAGGATGGAAAAATAGTATAGGGCGAATATGCAAACTGACGTACGGTATTTATTATTTTCAATCACAATTCACAACGGAACTTACGCCGAGAGTCGAGAGAGGCGAGCGGTGAACGTCATTGTGTAAACGCAGTACGCCAATAAAATGAATGGATGGATGGGGTAGGGTCCATAAAAAATACAATTTTGTCTATGTTTTTTTTTCAGTAATAACCAATGAGCTCTGCTCTGGATCTTTTGGAGGGAAAAGTGTCGTTTTTATTTTGACTTTCAATTATTTTGTGAAATCTAGTTTAAAGTGGAATAGGATAGTGCTATTGTGCCTTAATCGAAGATTAAAACGCGAAATTATATGAATTTCTTAATTAGAATATCCGTATCGGCCCGTTTTAAGGAATCCCGAGCCAATCCAAACACGCCGCCTCAAATTGCCTATCCTCTTTGTGGCGGCCGCGGCCATATTTACAGAAACAAAGTTCATGTTTAGGCTGATGGCTTTGCCAAAGCCTTAATAAATTAAAAAAATAAATAATAATAACCAATGATGTTAGTAATAACTATATTACTATCTATAAAATTAACTAACAATAATTATACGACACATAAATAACTAAAATGTGCTGCAAGTCATCTGATATTGTACTTTACATAGAGGTTCTTCAAATTTATTCATAAGTTCATTGCTAGATTTTCAAAATAAATGGTAACACTGTTGTAAAAAAGAAATTACATTTGATACATTTTTGGTTATTTTTTTACATAATATTGTTGGTAACACTGCGCGCTTCGGCCATATTTCTTTCTTGTGTGCGTTGGATCTCACCGTGTAAGGATGAGGTTAGTTTTTAGATACAAATTGAAATAAAACTCATAAATTTTACATAATCACATTCTATTTAGGTTTCCCTAATATCAAGCCTGATGTGCAGTGTGTTTTTGTGCTATAAACAAGAATGTCATCCCTGCTGTGGACACTGATGTTGTCGGCATGTCATGCAGCCATGTGGTCACTTGCAATTATTCTTTATTTTCAGTTCCCTAAAGCTACAGAAGAGGCTTGCAGCCTCTGTAATGCGATGTGGTAAAAAGAAGGTGTGGTTGGATCCAAATGAGATCAATGAAATCGCCAACACCAACTCCAGTAAGTATAGACTTTTCCTGTCTGGTTACTTCCCGAAATCATAAGAGCATTGGATGCTTTAAAAAACTTCATATTTCAACTTTTTATGTTCGAACGTTCATACATGAGAAATACGAAAGTAAATAACTACCTAGGAAATAGGTAGTACTTAGTAGATAAGTATTGCAAAATGTTACTCAGATTGATCCATGAAATTAGCTTCCTTTTCAACTATTAGTTATACTTACTACCTATTATATAAGTAGTAATTTCTCGTTGCTCATATCCTTGGACATAATTTTGATGAAGAATAGTATATTATCATTTTATTACCGAACATTATTATTATTTTGTACCGAAACGTCAGTTTGTTTGAAAAAACAAATATACGCGATTTAAATTCGGAAAATTAGTTTCATTTCCTATATTATTTTATTATTAATTTATTGAGTATTGACTATAGAGCCATCACCTTAAAAATATAACAAATAATGAAGAAACTCAAATTATAATGCTATTAACAGCACATCATGCTATTATACACTTATGTTTGGATATTGCCTCCAGTCCAACTAAAATGTGCCATTCTACTTAAAAACTGTTGGTAAAGATTTTATTATTCTTTAGAAGTTAACGTTTTTAAAACTAATTTTTTGCTTTAGATTAGAAGCTGCACGCAACAAATAAAACATGAATACCTAGAGCAAATTATAAGAAATGAGCTATTAACATGCTTAGGTTAAACTTTCATGCTGTTTACTCAAAAGAATTGTTTTTGCTAAAAAGATTAAATTTTTGGCATAAACATGGGTAAAAAATGAAAAGCATATACATAGACCAAAACATTAACAAAGATTTGTTTTTTAGTTGTCTTGTAGACTTTGTGGTGTGGTTTGATGCTGTTTCTGTATCGCATATATATTGAAACCTTTTAATTTCCAGGACAGAACATCCGTAAGATGATCAAGGATGGTCTGGTGATCAAGAAACCTGTGGCCGTCCACTCGCGCGCTCGTGTGCGCAAGAACACAGAGGCGCGCCGTAAAGGTCGTCACTGTGGCTTCGGTAAAAGAAGAGGTACTGCTAATGCTCGTATGCCACAGAAGGTGAGTTTCATTCTAATAATGTATATCATTGGGTTGCTTGCAACAAAGTCTGCAGTCAAATCTTTTTGTTAAATGAAAATTCATCATCCTATTTAAGAGCCAGGCTCTTGCCCATGTAGCCATATTCCACTGTTCACTCTTGAACTCCTTGTAAATGAAAATTGGAGGTTGAAATCAGCTGTGTTACTCCTTTGAAATAAAAAATTTATATAATACACTTCTGGACACAAAACTTGAGCAACCTTGCATTTTCAATAATAAATCTCCTATAGGATATGAAACTATTTTTCCGGATTTAAATCGCGTATATTTGTTTTTTCAAACAAACCAACGTTTCGGTATAAAATAATAATAATGTTCGGTAATAAAATGATAATATACTATTCTTCATCGAAATTATGTCTAAGGAGCAACGAGAAAATTTGACTGCCTCCGTGGCCGAACGGTTACCATGCCGGACTGCCACGCAGAGGTCTCAGGTTCGATTCCCGGGCCGAGAGAAATAATTGTATGGCCTACAATTATTTCTCTCGTGAGTTTGGGTGTAATTTGTGGTTGTCTATGTGTGTGTCCATGGCACCCGCGACACAGGGTTTCCCTAGTGCGGGGCTATGTTGAGTGTGTGCCTTATTTATTTAAAAAAAAAAAAAAAATAAAAAATTACTACTTATATAATAGGTAGTAAGTATAATTAATAGTTGAAAAGGAAGCTAATTAATTACATGGATACTGAGTAAAATTTTGCAATACTTATCTACTAAGTACTACCTATTTCCTAGGTTGTTATTTACTTTCGTATTTCTCATGTATGAACGTCCGAACATAAAAAGTTGAAATATGAAGTTTTTTAAAGCATCCAATGCTCTTATGATTTCGGGAAGTAACCAGACAGGTCCCATGGTCACAGTTGAATGAGGTGGTACAGTCATCAACCAGTTATGTCTAATATCAATGCAAACCACCCTATTTTTTCACTATAGTTACAAAAGTTATTAATTAAATACCTTATTTTTAATTTTACAAAGCAACATTCCAATTCACACTACATTGTTTTACATATTATTTTATTGTAACAATATGAATTTTTATTAAGCTACATTTATTATTCATTGATAATGGAAATTAGAATAAATTAAAACATATTAATTAATACTGCAGTCTTATGTCTGTTTGGGATTTTTCATCAGAGGAAATACTGGATCCCAAACTGGTGGTACGGAGAAACCATCTTCCCTGTTGAAATTAGGATGTTTTTTAATTTCAATGGCTGCTCGCAGTATCCTGGGTAGATAACGGAATTCTTTTGCAAGGACCTGGGATTTGTCAAACTTATTAAATGTGTAGGTGTACCCATGACATGCTTGTAGACTGCAGACTTGTTTACGCGACGAAAAAACAAATATACTCGATTGAAATCCGGAAAAATACTTTCATTTCCAATGTTTAACAATCGCGAAAACCTAAGAACTCAATAATAAACATCCTATTCTTAAACAATGTTTGATTGATCAAAAACTAACATCACTTCCAAATTCAAATTATCAACAATAAATAAATATTAGACAACATCAGACATGTTGCTCTGAAGTAAGTAACTAAGGCACATGTTATGGAAATCGGAAACATCAACGGTAATAATAAACAACGGAACAAACGGAAATAATAAAGACCAAATACAATAAAAAAGTTTTTCTACATTGACCCAGGCGGGGATCGAATCTCAGAAATGGCGACACCATGAAAACTGGTACGTAATCCACTTGTCCATGGAGATGTCAAGAACATAACTTTATTGTTAATTTGAATTTTCAAAATAATGCATGCTTCAATTATGTGTCCAGGAGTGTACTTATTTCAATTTTGATATTAAATTATTTTGAGAAACCTGCGACGCGATCGGATGAAGCATTTTACAATGCCATAGATAGTTTGTTGTTGTAGAAGTTACCAAACTTCTATAAACCATTTACACATGAAAAATTTAAGACAATAAAAATTTAAAATTAATCTTCAATTTGTTTACAAAAACAATAATAATAAACGCCTTTTTTATTTTTGCATTGCTAAAAACAGTTTTTTATTTTCAGGAACTATGGGTGCAAAGGCAGAGAGTACTTCGTAAGCTGCTGCTCAAGTACAGAACAGCCAAGAAAATTGACAGACATCTATACCATTCCCTGTACATGAAGGCGAAGGGTAATGTGTTTAAGAACAAGCGTGTGCTCATGGAGTACATCCACAGGAAGAAGGCTGAGAAGGCTAGGACTAAGATGCTTAGGTAAGAAAATAGGAAATAAATACTACCCTTCTTCTCATAACTAACGCCTTAGAATTTTAGTAATTTTCAAAATATTGGCACCTAGACATTTTTTCCTATGAAAAATGTTAGTACATTAAAACCGAAACTAAAAACAGAATGAAAAATAACGATTAGAGGGGGTTGTAGATCTCGTTACGCTGATTCCTGATATGGTATAGTCTGTCCAATCCATTGTACCAGAAAAGTAAACTAACAGATTATTGACCAGACCATGGACAGTTTAGTGATGGCCAACTGTGCTGCCAACTACAAATCAATTAATTAATTGAATGAATTGATTTGGTTAATTGAATCAGTTGGCATAACTGGGTTTTATATAATAAAATGGGTTTTGCGTCTTTCGTCACTCATGGTTCAACCTTAGTCCTTCGCTTGCTCAGGTTTTACTACAAGCACTTGTGTCAAACAACAACTTAGCAGCCTTGCATAGTAAATATCTATTACCATTGAGTGATTTTTAGTGTAGGTCAATGATTCCAAAGCAATGTTAATAAAAACATTTAAATTCCAAAATATGGATTTAAGGTTCTTTACTTCTCACCTACAGATAATAATGTGCGTTTTTCAATAAAAATAAAATGTTTGGAGACATAGACATATTTATTTTCGTCCATAGCGACCAGGCCGAAGCCCGTCGTAACAAAGTGAAGGAAGCCCGCAAACGGCGTGAGGAGCGCATCGCCGCTAAGAAGGAAGAGCTGTTGCAGACCTTTGCACGCGAAGATGAGGCCGCCGTCACCGCGAAGAAGTGACCATCTTAGCATTTATTATGTAAATAACAAAAAAACGATTCAATAAATGCTTTGAGTCGTATTTGCAAGTTTCATTTTAAACGTCGTCGATCCTGCTTTTACTTAAGAAAATTATTTCAAATCTCCAGAAACTGTCAAAATCAAATTCATAATTATCTTTATTTCATTAGCAAGAATTACACTTTAACAATAACGTGTTAAACCACATGATCATAGTTTTGCGAAAATGGGATACCTAAAGATCTTTTTCGTCGCTTTTGATAGTTTATTCGAAAAAAGTACTTTAAAAAAAATTAAAGCTTTTACTGTTGTCACATCAGGAATGATGAACAACAAGCACAGCAGCAAAAGTTTCCCAAAAATCAACATATGTATTCGTTTTGCTGAAGTCGCCTAATACTTCATTTGTCCTTTTTGCAAATGGATAATTTCTAAACTGGACATGGCAGCTGTACACTCTAAAGGGTTAATAATAAACCGCTCAAGTTCTTATAGAACTCTACATAATATAGTAAGCTCAACAGAAAATCTCACACATACGATTGCCATTAACAGACTTAACTAATGTTGCTTGGTAATACAAATAATATCAATAATAATATGGAATGGTTTAGGCTCAATTTAGCTTAATAAAATAATTTATGCGGCGGAACGGAATGGAAACGAATTTTTGTAACAATATTGTATGTACATAGCGTGATGAACTTTATGGTCAATTGTGTAATTTACAAACTAAATATGAGCCAAAAATCAAGTCGCGCGCCTTCCGCGGAATTCTCGCGCATGCACCGGAATGCTCGTGCATTCGCTAGAATTACGTTAGCTGTCAGAATTCTCGCGAATGAAACACTACAGCCTCAAGGTCACGATAAAACTGGCGAATGCTCGAGTATTCCCGCGAATGCCTTGCTTCTCTGTTCTTTTTGTGAATTGTTCATCCTTATCTAAACTTCAAATTGGAATATTTTAAAATGATTTTAAGTAACATGGCATGGTGCCATCATGAGAATATGCAGTTTTATTGTATGATATCAAGGGACGGGAGGAACAAGCAGTGCCATTCAAAGCGCAACCGCAAGATCGGAGGATCGCTGCCGATGAGTCCGAACACAAAATTGACAAATCTCATGTGCCTGTGGTTTCCACCAGCACGCTCTTCAAAACAGGGGGTCTATTCCCGTTCTCTGTCCGACATCCGTTCAAAACAATTACTGTGAAATAAGTAATATTATTTATTTATTCAAGAATATTTTGTCAGTGTATCCAGTTAGTATTAACATTAACATATGGGGCCGATATCTGGGTGCTAACAAGAGACATAATAATTCACAAATTACAAATAGCCCAGAGAGCGTTAAAAACTAGTAGGAATTACACTCAAAGATCACGAAACAAACATGTGGCTGGGTAATTTTCGGGCAAGTTTTTTGTACTCAATTTTGGTGACAATTTCTTTTTATTTAAATATTTATACAATCATGAAGTACTATTTCATATTTGAGTGTGGTAACGTGAAATATTCATCATAATATTTCACGATGATATATTCGAGTAATTAAATAAATAAAATTGTCAAAATTTAGTACGAAAATCTTACCTGAAAATTACTGGGCTCTGACAGGAAAGCAGAGTCGCAATGTTACCAAATGTGTAACGAACCTTAAGTGCTTGTAAGCATGGCTCCTGGTGTAAAGCGGTCATCGAATGGCGATCTTGGAGTGAATAACGCCCCAGAGGGAGACCGCAGATGCGTTGGAAGGATGACATAAAGAAAGTGGCGCGGTTGAATAGGATACAGGTGGCACAGAACCGAGATAAGAGTCCGAAACTGGAGGAGGCCTACACCGATACGGTTGAGAACGGCTAGAAGGAAGTAATACTCCAAGCTTTACAACAAGTCAAAATCGTTTCACAAATTTCATTAATACGGATTAATCGCGTAATATACATAAAAAAAAAGAAATACTGTCGAATTGAAAACTCCTCCTTTTTTGAAGTCGGTTAAAAATAGGTGCCGTTGCTGTTAGAAAGGTCATACGGTTTACTTAAATGTAACTATGATTACAATGAATACGTACGACTTTCTAAATTCAAACAACATTTCAATAGATCTAATTAAAAAAAAAACAATTACGATGACACTGGAATAGTTCACGTTATGGGACATCTGAAATTTAAATGTAGATCTTTGACCTAGCTTTCTTGTAGGTATTGGGTAGTATAGTCGATTTTTATAGGAACAGAAAACTCGTTTACCGGGATTTATTTATTATAGTAACACTTTGTTTCAAGCTGTCTTCTGAGTCGGAGTGCATTTTGTTTCATTACACGGAACAACAAACTTATTTGTTTCGTGGTTTCTATATCGTGCTAGATAAAAAATAAAAAAGATTAAATATGGTAAAAGTGAATGAAGATCTTCAAAAGGAAAGGGACGAATGTACTTTTGATGTGCAAGAAATGGTTACGTTTGTAGACGGAGGGAAAGAGCGAACTTTGGAGCGCAAACAGAGAGGTAAAAAGTTTTGACTAAACTGGTTGTTGCCGTTGATATGCTTTTTTATAAAGATTTATGGCCCGGTTAAAGTACTTGATTCAACCATTATGTGTACAGAAACCTCTTGAACAATAACCTTGAAAGCGCAGAATTTATCATTTTTGGCCTCTGGTGGTGGGATTAGATGTGTGTCGATCGTGTTCGATCGAATCAAAGTGATTCGAACAGCACCTGTGACCCGATAACCTGGTTACTATCTTCTAAATAACACGATCATTTTAGAGTTTCATGGGTCATGCGCGCAATATTCGACTTTATCTCTATAATTTTAGAGATTATTCAACAATTCACAATATTATTGTTGTCTCGTTCACTCTCACGTAAAGTCCCCACTCATGACACGGTTCGCCTTCTCTCTCTTCGTTTGGGTCGAATATTTGTTCGATAGAGCATTCGTTCGATAGAACCTTCGTTCGATCGAACCAAAAAGTCAAGCAATCGATCAACGAGTCAACGGGTCAACGGCTTAACGGGTCAATGTATTTATCAATCATTCATCCTAATTGCTCCGTGGCGTAGTGTCCATTACATGGTAATTTTGTAAGTGCACCAGGTAATATTAAAATATTAATGAACAATAAATTAGTAATTTTGAATGCTCATAAGTTTTTTGTTATGTATTTTTGTTTTGTAGCGCCGTTACTTTCCCTAGAAGGAACACATTACTCACCAGCAGGAGAGAACTAAGTATCGTGAGGGACGGGTAAGCCGCTGAAATATGAAACGTAATGATCGAATCATTTGACCCGATCACATTACGGATCCATGATCGAACCGGGTTATCAAAAATGATCGACGGGCACACATCTAGGTGGGGTGCGGGCCTACCGTATCGAGCGCGCGATTGGTAGATCGTTGACCCTTGCCTCCTGCACTGCCCTTCGCTAACTAAAATATCTATATATATGCTAAAACGCGGCTAAGTGGCAAAATATATTTTTGAGATATCATAAATAACCATAACCCAGTTTCAGAATATTTAAATTGTTTATTGATATTTCAGCTATGCTTAGTTAAGAGTAAGTTCCGATAAGTCGAACATGTTAACTAAATTTAACTGTTTTTAAAAGAGAGTTTTGTGCTCTATTTTTTTGAGTGCTATTTAAAACCGTTATTTAACCATTTGTCATTAAGCCAACTTTTTAGTGGACGGCAGCACACCTACCGCTGACATTCGGATACAGTTGGGCGCATTATGCTATACTTTTTATATATTCCCAGAAGACAACAAAAAAATAAAAATATGATAATTATTTGGCACATAAGTGTACGTGCCCCACTACACCTTTTTGCTCTAGATGTTTGGTGGTTTCTGGAGGCTACTCTCGATCTCCGTCCGACATCCGTCCGAAACAATTACTGCCAAGTAAGCAATACTTGACTAAATGAAACGACGCGTGATGCGAATGAAGCTTCATACTTGATACTTGTCTTTTAATTTTGTCGAATATTACTTATTTGACAGTAATTGTTTCGGAGATCGATAGTAGCCCCCAAGCACCGGTCGTGCGACTGTATGTTGACACATAACAATATAGAGTACTAAAGAAACCGATCTCAAAAGTCGTTCATCCGCAAGTTTGCCACCCTTAGAGGTGGAATATTTTCTTCAAATTTAAATGGTACCACATCTGAGGTATCCTCTTTCCAACAAAAAAAAGAATAATTAAAAACGGTTCACAAATTTATCAGACATAGTTATCGCGTAACATACATACAAAAAAAAAAAACAGTCGAATTGAGAACGTCCTCTTTTTCTTGAAGTTGGTTAAAAATAATCAAAAAGCTTAATAATATGAAACGTAGTTACTCCACATTGTACTAAAGTAAACTGTTGAATATTACAGAAAGCATAATGTTAAGCAATAAGGAGTTTTTTGAAGGCACGCCAGATGAATATTTGAGCCATAAAGAGAAGTACGAGAATGCTGTTAAGAAGTCTGTACAGATTTTCGGTCTAGTTCGAAAACTTCAAGAGGAGGGCAAGATGGTGTTGAATAATTACAGGTAGGGTTCCGTTATGTACAAAAGACATCAACGGCATTACATTGGAGTGTACAATGCATTTAACAAACATGAAGTGTAGCATGGATAATGTAACGTCTTGTGGGTAATTTTGCCGAAGTCGGAGGGCATGATGCAAAATTAAAATAGATAATAGACAGTGATTTTATAGTTCTATTATTTATTGAGTACTGGCTAAGAAGCCTTCAGCTTAAAAAAATAACAAATAGGAAATGAAACTATTTTTCCGGATTTAATTATAATATTTGTTTTTTCAAACAAACCAACGTTTCGGGTCGTTTACAGGTCCCACGGTCACGGTTGACTGATCAGTGCCCGAAACGTTGGTTTGTTTGAAAAAACATATATACGCGATTTAAATCCGGAAAAATAGTTTCATCTCCTATGGGTAACAATAGCGAAAACCTAAGAACTCGATAAGGTTACAAATAATTAAAAAACTCATAACTACAGAAACCTAAATAAATAGACAATATTTAGATTTCTGTGGTTATAAGTATAACATATTTGATCTAAAAAATAATTAGTAACATCCGTCATTTTTTTCTTTTTTTAACTCGTTGGATGTAATACAGTGGGTATCATGTCAATTTTATAAATATAAATTTTTATTGCACAATGAAAAAGCATTAAGAAAACATGTACAGAGGATATATTCAAAGGTCAGTTTATCTCTTAAAGAGATCTCTTCCAGCCAACCTTAGTCGTGGTGAAGAGAGTCTGCGGGACTATATTGTGAAATAAATTGAAAAAAAAAAATGTAAATATAACAAGAATATAATTATAAAAATAGAAGCCGTGATAACATTACGTTATGGGTTGATCTACCGTCTCACAAGCAGTGACCGTAGGTTCGAATTCGCGTCCCTCCCGAAACCTCTGAGTTTTTTAATTTTTATTTATTTTCACGGGATAACGAACATATATATATACATGTATATGGTATAATTACATTTGTTGTGAGGTTAAGTGACATAAGTACACGTACAATCAACAACATCATCCACATGTTACTATTAAAGTTGAAATTGAAATTGCCGTGTGTGATGGGTAAGGCAAAACTGAAACAAGTAAAACATTGACTTACAAATTTGTAAGTCAATGAAGTAAAAAGTAAACAAAGAAATTAGCTCAGGGCTTTAATAGTAGCTTTTTTAAATTTAGAAGCTGGTAAATAAAATATGTCAATAACACTAAACAAATCATTGTATTGAGAAACAATACGACCTTGCTTGCCAGCATTTGTTCGGCAGCGCGCCGTTTTAAATAGCGGGTAGGAGCGCGTCGTCGATGAACTCTCTTGGGTACATTGTATTTAATATTTGCGAGTTTTTCGGAATTTGTATGCGAAATTTGAATTAAAATGTACCACGAGCCTTTCGGACGAGCTTTTTTGCACGTCAAAGAGGTTCACAACCCTCAGAATAAGTGTTGAAGTCCCCGAACCGCATTGGCCCAGCGTGGCGGACGGCTAACGTGACCTACGACCCGCTTTGAGCGGGATCAGTCCCGCTTTTAAACTTCGAGTCTCGCTGTCCCCAAAATACTTAAAAATGTCCCGCTTTGACAAAACGGGGCACACGTGACATTAAATGAAAAGAAATGGCGCGATAGCGAAATATATATAACGCCAGCCCGTCATGATCAGACTAGACAAGGTTAGTTCCTTAGAATAATAACGCATAGAAACCTAGCCCGCACACGCTAAGTGAGGCAAGTTAGAGGGTTCCAAACGCGCACCCAGGAGCGCGCGGGCTGTTAGTGCTCAAGGTCATATTGCACCGCGAACAGCTCCAAAATTTTTTGCTAAAAATGACGAAATATGCGGTAAATGGGTGTAAAAATACAACAGACAAACATAAAATAGACACTAACATCGCATTCCACAAGTAAGTAATGCGTTTCAACTCATATTTTTATGTAAATATTCACTAAAACAGAAAAATAATTTCGCGGCAACAAGATACGAAAGTGTTGCAAAGTAACGAATTTTTTTTCTCCCCATTTTGCTATTCTGTTTCAAAATAATTATATTACGTAAATTTTAGTGGTGCCTGTAATTTCGATTTATTTGCGCATCTTGAACTAATATTTACTTGAATAAACATTGAATGTTTTCGTTAACTCCTGTAAGTGATTGGGACACTTAATTATTTTATAATACTTTTAACGGCTCTGCGTTCATGCTTTATTGAATAATTATTTATTTTAATTTTATTTGAATTGGAGCACATATTGCAACAAATTTACAGTATATATTTGTTTCTACTATAGTGTTGGCACCACCAGTACAACTTTGACAGCTTATTATAATGTCTTTCTTTTCGTAACTCAAGCTAAATATTTTATATTGAAATATTTTATTTTCTTAAAAGGGGAGCATTCTTAAGCGATTTTTTAATCTATTTTAACAGTTATTTTCTTTAATGTTTGCTTATGGCATTTTCCGTTTTAGGTTTCGAATATGGCACTTATTTCTAAATCCAAGATGGCGGGCGCGATTTTTCGAATAATGGCTAGTTGGGTATCGTTTTCGAGATGTTTGGGAATGTTCAATACAAATATGGCACTCATTTCTAAATCCAAGATGGCAAACACGACAGTTCAAACAAAAGCAATATTCGTAATGAGCACCCCCAAATACCTCGAAAACGATACCCAACTTGCCATTATTTGAAAAATCGTGCCCGCCATCTTGGATTTACAAATAGTGCCATATTCACATTGAGCATCCCCAAATACCTCGAAAATGATACCCACATAGCATTTTTTTTTTAAATCGTGCCCACCATCTTGGATTTAGAAATGAGTGCCATATTCGTAATGAGCACCCCCAAGTACCTCGAAAATGATACCCATATTGCATTTATTTGAAAACTCGTGTCCGCCATCTTGGATTTAGAAATGAGTGCCATATTCGTAATGAGCATCCCCAAATACCTCGAAAAGGATACCCATATAGCATATATTGAAAAATCGTGTCCGCCATCTTGGATTTACAAATAAGTGCTATATTCGTTTTTCATCGACAAAACCGAGCATATCTGTAGGCACCTGATCGACATTGTCGATCGACAGTAACGATCGACAAAATCGAGCACATCTGTAGGCACCTGATCGACAATGTCGGGCAAATCTGTAGGCACCTTTAACTTAATGATGAGTTAAGCAAGATACAATTTCCCCACTTTTGAGGGAAATGTTATTCCATGGCATCATTATTTGTATATTTGTGTGCGTGCCGACGAGCGTAGTTACAAGTTGCTTACGCCTACATGAATTTGGTTTTTGCCTCACTTGTGACAGTTCGTTTGATATGAAACTATCATTCTATGCGTTATTATTCTAAGGTTAGTTCTTTTAATTATTAATACAAAGATCGAACACTTAGAAAAAAATCCTTCGGTCCGGCCGGATTCAAACCGACGTTTTCTAGCAAACCGTGCCAGACGCTATGCCAACTAAGCAACGGAACGAACCAGCGAACCTCACGAATTTTTCTATGTGCTTGTTCTGTCGGATCTTTTGTATATGATTCTCAACTTAGCCGTAGCGTCATCTATGAGAAATCTACGAAAGTATTTCGTCACTCAGTTAGGTAACTTTACAGCTACCAGCCGTGGCTAGCGATGGCGCTACAAATGTAGTTAAATTTGTATTGAATTGATATTCAATTATTTTTTGTGAAATTACTCCACAAGTTTGTTATAATTATTAATACAAAAATCGTACACTTAGAAAAAATTCCTTCGATCCCATTGACTTGTAAGTCAATGTTCGATCCGGCCGGATTCGAACCGATGCTATGCCAACAAGCTTCTCAACAACTAAGCGTCTTTGTATTAATAATTGCAACAAACTAGTGGAGTAATTTCACAAAAAATAATTGAATATCCATTCAATACAAATTTAATTACATCTTTTTTAAAATTTTTGATAATTTTTAGACCTTTTTTATTTTTTTTAATAATGAAATATTTCTTAACTATCGTTAACTTGTGTTTTCTTTTTGAAACAATAATACTAATCGTCCCGCCTTGACGGAAAAAATAATTATCACATTAACTATGGCCTAAACCGTCGTCTGAGACGAGACCCGTGCACGGCAGTGGGACGTATTAATGGGTTAGATAGATAGATATACACTTTATTGCTCACACACAAGAACGGTGAATATTGAATATAAATATGTATAAATGAAGGTAGGTAATATAGATAATAACCGATATATACATTTACATAAACTCTGTATACTTACATAATACACACTATATTGTATTACAATCTAAACAAATTAAACTACAATTTAGCAAATTTTGATTTTTTTTTATAATATCAAGTGACGGGACGAACAAGTCGTGCGCCTGATGGTAAGCAACACGCCTGTCCATAACAGTTGCAGTGCCACTCAGAACTTTAAATCGCAAAGATCAGAGGAGCACTACCACTGCGCCCGTCACTCTGAGACATAAGTTGATAAGCCCCACGTGACTGTAATTTCACCAGCACCCTTACCCTTCAAATCCGGAACACAGTAATGCTGACATTACTGTCTGGCGGCAGAAATAGGTAAGGTGCCAGTACTTCCCTGAACAAACTCTTTCTTCTATGTTTTTTATATTTCAGGGACCTCTTAGGGGGACTGCTCGGTGCAGCTGCAACTCGTGACGGATCGCCTTTAGGGCTACATTACATCATGTTCATGCCAGCCATTCTTAGCCAGGGCGATGACGACCAGAAGGCCTATTGGATTAGCAGAGCATGGAATTGCAGTATTATTGGTAGTTATGCTCAAGTATGTTGATTTTTATGTTACACGATTCTTGAGGTACTGATTATTTTGCTTATAACGTGATTTCTGGTAATGGGTTCACATTGATAATGAAACTATTCTTTTGGGTCCAAATCACGTATATTTATTTTTTCAAACAAACCTTTGACGATTTCGGCGGCCCAACTGTGGGCGCGATAGATGTTCTGCGCTGAAGCGCACCAGAAGGAATTGAGTTGCTCTGGTATGCATAGTACAGGGAATCCCTAGTTCGTGACCGAGCAACTGGTGTGGTTGTTTGGCACATTAGACCAATATTTCCGACCTTTTACGTGTCACATGTCAGTCTGCCGCGCCGTGGCAGGGACCCTATAAATTCACGTCCTGACCTCAGAGCAGCTCGTGGACTGACCTGGTGTCAGGACTCCCTTTCCCTTCTACATAAGACCTTTAGGGTATACAAGAAGGGCACTATGACCTGCGCTAGCAGTGGAGCAGGCTAATCGAAAGTTTGGTACCTACAAACTTGTGAATGTTATAGACGGAGTTGGGTCACGGCACGTTCATCCGTGGGCTGGAGACGACTGCCACTTACGACCCTTCTACCAAAGAGTTCGTGCTGCACAGCCCCACGCTCACCTCTTACAAGTGGTGGCCAGGCGGATGTAAGTTCTTATTATGATACCAAGCGAGCAGTTGCAGTGCCGCACAGAGCTTTAAATCGCAAGATCTGATGGGCACTGCCGCTGTGCCCGTCACCCTGAGGCATAAGTTCACAAGTCCCATGAGCATGTAATTTCACGAGGACCCATACCCTCTAAAACCGGAACGCCGTAATGCTCACATGACTGCTTGGCGGCAGAAATATAAAGGTGGCAGAACTTCACTAGACATCATCTTTCACAAGGAGCTCTACTGCTACCAGTACTTAACTATCGCTATTAGAATAATATTATTGTCTAGATTTAGAAAAGCTTTTCGTCGTCTTACTTTCTCAAACTCTTATCTTAAAGCTCCAAGTTACTGAAATGAAAAACTGGATTGTATACATACATTTTGCAGACTGATTTCACAACACATTTCCTTTATATTCACACACTGGTTTTCACCTATTCTTCAAGTAATGCATCCAAATTAACACCCTTGATAAGAAATTGCAAATAAATGGAAAGTTTTGCCATCTTCTGAATAATGACTAATAAAATTTGAGTTTGAGAAAGTAAGGCATCGTTTTGTTATATTGTCACTTTTGTATTCAATTCCAGTGGGCCATACAGCAAACTATTGCATTGTAATCGCTCAACTGTACACAAAAGGCCAATGCCACGGTATTCACCACTTTATAATCCAAGTCAGAGATGATGAAACACACGAGCCCCTGCCAGGAATTAAAGTCGGCGAGATCGGAGCAAAGTTAGGTCTGAATGCTGTCAATAATGGTTTTTTAGGATTTGATCATGTAAGGATACCAAGGAACCAGATGTTGATGAGACACGCTCAAGTTTTGGAGGTAAAACAAACGTTTATTGGCATTTGCCAATTTGGATTTCCAAAGGCAGTTATTGTAGAAAGCAATATACTTTGCACTTCTTAATTTTCAGGACGGTACTTACGTAAAATCTCAGCATAATAAGCTAAACTATGGAGCTATGGTATTTGTGCGTGTGGTTATAGTGTTCGATATGGTGAATTACCTGTCTAAAGCTGTCACGATTGCTACAAGATACTCTGCTGTAAGAAGACAGGCCTCAATTAAAGAAGGGTGAGCTCGAACCGATCGCTTTATCTACGTAGGTAATTTCTGTACGTTAGACTGAGCATTAAGCCAGCTCAGAGTCTTTTTTCTGGACACGAATTGCCATGGCGGACAGGGAAGTCTTTAAATAGGTTTAAGTAGGTCGGTTTCAAGTTGCCCGGGGTAAAGACAATTTGCTCAAATGGGGATTTTCGGATGCTTGGATTGTTTGTACTTGCGGTGCGATTTAAACGATGGCCCACCTCACATCGTGCCCAGCGACCCCTTTTTTTGATGACCTAGAGTTACCTATTTAATGTTTAATTTCAGTAAACCAGAGTGCCAAATTCTGGATTACGTAACGCAGCAGCACAAACTGTTTATCGGTATCGCAGCTTGCCACGCGTTGAGGATAACAGGAATAAAACTGTGGGACACATTCAACGATATCCAAGAGCAACTCATCAGTGGAAACTTGGAAAGACTTCCGGAGGTAACAACCTCCTCACTCTTGTTTACAGAAAGTTATCGCTAAGAAAGAGACTTAAAAGCTTATTTTTTTAAGCAGCTGCTAAATCGTATTCGTATATGTTCGGTTTGTAAAGATTATTATTTTTATACAAAAAACTACCATGAGACCCCTTTTTTCTATGAGAGTCAGGCATTTTAACTAAACTAGGATAACTCGTGTATTTAAATCGATTTTTTGCTCGACGTGTTTCGAATCAGTCCGTGGTCCTTAGGTAATCATGAGCTTCGACGAAAACCTCTGCCAAAAGTCAATGCCGCGGAAGCTCATGGTCGCTCAAATATGTCGAGCAAAAGTTCGTGAGTTATCCGAGAGTTTGAAGTTTAGACGAGAAAAGTTTCAAAAAGGTGGAACAGAAAAAGACCTATTGGCACCACCGCCCCGACTGGCACTAATCGTCTGCTGCGTCTAGCGGTACCGACGACGTTACATTTGTATCGCGTCTTCATTACCTCACCAAGTATGCGGATATAGGGGAGCATGTGCGAGTGAAAAGCAATGTTACCCTGAGCGTCGAGCAGTTTGGGTGAATTTTATTAATTTGTGGTGAGAGTATCAACTGTACACCTGTCGACATTCATGAAGGAGTTTTGACCGAAGGATATCATGTACCGACGTTTCCGAGGCCGTTTTTAATATGTTCTGTTTATTAGTCTATAAGATATGTTTACGGGATATATATAATAAATAAGTTAATTATTAATACAAAGGTCGAACACTTAGAAAGAAATTCTTCAATCCGGCTGGATTTGAACTATTTTGAACCACAGATTTGTCACAGATTGCGCTACGACAAAAAATGCGTAGTTAAAAAACCAAATAAAGACCTACAACATGCATACAGAAAATTTCGTAAGGTCTGTTAGTTCGTTCCGTGGTTTAGTTGACACGGTTTGCTAGAAGACGTTTATTTTTAACTTTCGATATAGACCCGCACTAGGTTTCCCTGGGTCGCGGGTGCCATGGACACACACATAGACAACCACAAATTACACTCAAACTCACGAGAGAAATAAACGTAGGCCATACAAATATTTCTCCCGGCCTGGGAATCGAACCTGGGACCTCTGCGTGGCAGTCCGGCATGGTAACCGTTCGGCCACTGAGGCAGAATGGCAGTGGCTGGAATATAGCCGGATCAAAAGTTTTTTTCTAAGTGTTCGATCTTTGTATTAATTATTAACCAACTTCAAAAAAAGAAGGTGGTTCTCAATTCGACTGTATGTTTTTTTGTATGTATGTTACACGATAACTCCGATATTTGTGAACGGATTTTCATGATTATTTTTTTGTTGGAAAGAGGGTACCTCCATAGTGGTCCCATTTCATTTTGAAGAAAATCATCCACGTCTAAAGGTGGCTGTTCACGCATGAAGATTCATTTTTATAAATAGCGCCTAAATTTTATTGTTAGGGGCAATTATTTTAATGGTTGATTTTGCTATTCTCCAATTCAAGGCGTTTATCTCTCTCAATATACTTTGAGTAGAACCGATTTTTATTATCTCCTGTGTAAAGTCCCTTATAGTGGCGAACTAGGGGATAAATCCGGGTTTTGTTAGCTTTCCGGTAACCGATTTCAATAAAACTTGGTAATTATATGTAATTCCACGTACTTTTGAGGTCGGTTTTTTAGTACTCTGAACTGAGATTATTTTAACAAACTGGTGGAGTAATTTCACAAAAAAAAACAATTGAATATCATGGTAGTGAAATATCCCGACATACAATATCCTTAATTACAAAAATATATTTGTTTATCTTTTACAGCTACACGCTCTAGCCTGCTGCCTCAAAGCTGTAAGCACATCAGATACAGCAGCCAATGTGGAACGGTGTAGACTCGCATGTGGTGGCCACGGCTACATGCAGTCCTCTCACCTGCCTCTTACTTATGGCATTGTCACTGCCGCTTGTACTTATGAGGGAGACAACACTGTATTACTGCTGCAGACGGCCAGGTAAGCTACAAATGTCAAAAACCTGTGGCGTCTCTTTTTCGATACGAGAAATATATTGGCCATGTGTTGCAGTTGTACATACGCAACTCCGGTGAAACAGTGACTTAATTTACGGAAAATGAATTAAAGTTTTGTATTTAGGGCCACTGACCACATTTGAAGAGCTCTTAAATGTTATACTATTTCAATAAATTAGTAGCAGTAGAGCTCCTTGTAAAAGAGTTCGTGGAGCGAAGTACTGCCACCTTACCTGTTTCTGCCGCCATGCAGTAATATGAGCATAACTGAGTTCCGGTTTGAAGGCTTAAGGGTGCGGGTGAAATTACAGGCACATGGGACTTGTCAATCTTACGTCTCAGGGCGACGCAGTCGCAATGCCCCCTGGGATCTTTGCGATTTAAAGCTCTTTCGTGGTACTGCAACTGCTATGTATCGGCGTGTAGCTTTTACATCAGGCGCACGACTTGTCCGTCCCATCATTTCAAATTATAAAAAACGCATTACGCCATCTATAGAGAAATTAAGGAATGCAAAATGCGTCTTTGTTTTACCATGGTTTTTCCGTTTATATTGCATTTTAAAAATGGTTTGAGATCATTATTTTTTGCAGTTAAGTCTGTGTTTGCCCAAGGTGCGATTAAAGATTAAAGAACGGCATTAGTGGATTAGGTTTATTTAATTTATTTTAAGAAGACATCGGCAAGTCATAAAATTTCCTTAATGGCGGCCACTAGGCTTGGGCCGGTGTCACTCGTGTCGCGTCGTGTGTTGATGTATGTTGTCTTTATTCTGTCTTGCAACCCAGTCGTAGGCGCCGCGCAACACGACGGAGCCCGAGTATGGAAAAAAATAACCATAGTGAAAAGACGGAGCCATATCCACATAATACTTGACTTCTCTTTGTTTCTTTTTTTTAAATTTATTGAGACTTTAACTAAGCCATCAGCCTATACGTGTTGTCTTTGTTTCAATGACAACTGTACAGTCACGAGCACGTCAAGGTTGACACTTTGTACTTTGGACCGTTCTTATCATAAGCAGCATAGAGTTGGATTTAAATCTTAAGTGTCAAGCTTGACGTGCTCTTGACCCTACACAGCCACAAAAATCTAAATAATTTAGATTTCTGTGTACACAGCTTAGACAATTTAAACAGCATTACATTTTTTTGACATAGGGGCATACAGCTTATTCTTCGTTTTCTTTTCTACGTTTTGGTTTCAGTTTTCATTTAGGTTTTCATCTTCATATGACAAGTAGAAATCTATAATCTTTTACGTTTTCTAGTAGAGATGGCAGGAGGCGCGGAATGTCTTTATCTTCTTAAGTCTTCATTAGGTCATCTACTAGCAACAAACTTTCCGTGTTGAAGGGAAGACAATGGAGAATAAGATGATTCAAATTTCAGAAACAATGTGATATATAAAAAATTAAGTAAATATATAATGTTGAAATTGGTGAAAAGTAAATGAGAGTTTTTGAATGCTATCATGAAATTTATCTTTGTTGCAGCAAATTTGTTTTTATAAATCTATTTACCTAAATAGGACCGAAGGAATATTTTCTTAGTGTTCGATAATTATAACAAACTACCACTAGTAATTTCATAAAAATAGTTGAACATCATGGTGGTCAAACATCGTGATATTCATTAAAATTAAAAATTACCTATATAAATGTTAGGCTCAATTAATGCAAACGCTCATTGAGTGAAAAAAAAGTCTAAAACGTGTTTTGGTGTCTTTACAATATTCATAACACGTTATTCGTGTTATGAATATTGCAATAAGCACTTACTAAAGCAGCCCGAACAAAAATACAAATTTGGTTATATACACAACTTTGCTAGCTCAAACAGTGAACTCCAATTTCTCGGTTATTTCAGATTTTTAGTAAAAACGTGGCAACATGTAGACTCTGCCAAACTAACACCGACTGTGGCATATTTAAAAACTGCTGCATCAAAATGTGGTGACAATTGGGAGAATTCTGTTGAGGGCATCATTAAGGGATTCGAAATTGTTGCGATGAGGTAAGAATATCATACATTAGCATTAGACGCAATATAATGTTGTTTAAACAAAATTTTTACAATGATTTTAACAAGACAACCTCGGTGGCCCAATTATTTGTACTGTAGATGAGGAGGTCCTGGGTTCGATTTCCAATAGGACTAATTAGAGAAATCAATTATTTTAATTGGTTCTTATCTGAATATGACTGTGAGCTGGCAATCAGTGACAATTTTACAGGATAAAGAAAAAAATTGTTTGTGTCATTTATATAGCATCTGGTTTATTAAATAAAAATACGTACTTTTTAAATATTTTTATTACACATGTATGTATATACACTACGTATTTTTATTTAATGAACCAGATGCTATATGAATGATTTTGAAAGTTGTCAAAATTGAGATAGTACCGGTTGCCAGTTCACAGTCGATATGCTGGGTAACGCCCGGTGTGAATACCGTTGCCCTGGTATACATAGTATAGGAACATTTAGTATTTAGTAGCAGTAGAGTTCCTTGTGAAAGAGTTCGTCCAGGAAAGTACTGTCACCTTACCTATTTCTGCCGCCAAGCAGTAATGTGAGCATTACCGCATTCCGGTTTTCAATCGTAAGGGTGCTGGTGAAATTACAGGCACACGGGACTTGTCTATTTATGTCTCAGGGTAGCCACTCAGATCTTTGTGATTTAAAGCTACAATTAGCACTGCAACTGTTATGGACAGGCGCACGATTTGTTCATCCCGTAACTTAGTATTATAAAAAAAAGGTAATGTGTGTAACTGCCGACATTATTTATTTTGATTTATTTTTATTTATATTATGATTTTGTTGTTCGATTACTATTTATCTTTTATTATTATTATAAATCTGTTCCTTTAAGGAAAATCTCATCTTGTGTGGCAAACATGCAGAATAGGGTAGCAAGCGGTATGTGCTATGAAGATGCATGGAATATTACATCTGTGCAACTCGCGGCTGCGGCAGAGGTAAGTATCTATGCAACGTAAGCATCATTACTTAGCGTCGTAATATAATTTGAGATCGATATAAGCTGTATATATCTTAAACTTCAAGTAATACACAGTCCCGGAGTGATTATAAAATGTCGAGATGGAAAAAGTTGCTTATAAATTTTAAACGTTAAAACGTTGTATTTTTTTAATAAGCGTGCTTATAAAAGCACTTTTCAAACTCTTGTTAGTTTGAACCAGTGATCACTTTTTTTATATGTAGGTAAGATCATTGGTTTGAAGCGTACAAAATCGTCTAGAAAAACGTCTAAGCCCTTTCTGTAGATCAATAATTAAGTTCATTTGTAAAAATTTGGTTTCATTTTTATTTATAACTTTATTATTCACATTAACGAGTGATCTTTGACGAATTGATTTAGGAAACATAAATGGGGGACTTGCAACTTAGGCACGTTGTAAAAAATGAAATCGGTGGGTATTGAACTAAACAACGCTTACAACTTAAAATTATAAGCGTGCTTGTGCTTATGCTAAAAAGCAAAGTTTTGAAGTGCTTTTCGTTTAAACGTCATTTCTAATAAAAAGGCAAATGATCAAAGTATAATAGTAAGTAACTTTTATAACTGTAAGTAAAAATACATTTTTACCACGGAAGAAATTTTATTTACACTTTTGTAATTGTAAGTAAAAATATATTTTTACCTTCCATCCTCTAAGATTTTTACTTATAAAAGTGGATATTGCTGTGTACGCTATCTATATCACTACAAAATAAAATAGAGAACCATTATAATGGCTAGGAAATAGTAGACAGTACATAAAAAATCTATTGGTTATCGCCCTTACCAGGATGGATGCACATCGCGTCCAATCGGCTAGTCTGGCAGTCTTTGGGGGAGGTCATGTTCAGCAGTGGACGTCTTCCGGCTGATATGATGATGATGATGATGATGATGACATAAAAATATTGCGATTTTGGTTGTTCAAATCTTCACTTTTGTTATTTTGCATTAAAAGAAATGTGTACTTTTTAATCGACTTCAAAAAAGGAGGAGGTTCTCAATTCGACTGTATGTTCTTTTTTTTGTGTGTATGTTACGCGATAACTCCGGTATTTGTGAACCGATTTCATGATTCTTTTTTGTTGGAAATCATCCACCTCGAAGGGTGGCTGCTCACGCACAAAGATTAATTTTTATACAGAGCGCCTAACTTTAATTTAGGAGCAATTACTTTAATGGTTGATTTTGCTATTTCTCCAATTCAAGGCGTTTTTCTCTGTATACTTTGAGTAGTGAGAACCGATTTTTATTATCTCCAGTGTCAAGCCCTGTATAGTGGCGAACTAGGGAATATTTCAATAAAACTTAGCAAATAGACGTAATTCCACGTACTTTTGAGGTCGGTTTTTTTAGTACTATGTACTGATCATTATTTATATGCATATTGTAAAGTGCGCGCTACGCCTCTCAGCGCCGCAACATCTTCCTTTTCATTATTTATTTAAGGAAATGTAATCTTGTCCTGAAAAGGGTAAAATTTATGTTACACTGCTCGTTTTAATGAGGCGACCCTTATTGTCACCAGCTTGTGCGTCGACCAAAAATGTCAATTTTTTCTTCAAATATTTTATATTTCAGACCCATTGTCGAGTGATAATAATCTCAACGTTCTACGAGGAGGCAAGTAAAGCTGCGGCCTCGATGTCGCCAGCACTTAGAACTGTCGTCACACAATTGGTAGAGCTCTATGCTGTCTATTGGGCTCTGGAGAAACTTAATGATTTGCTTCGGGTAATTTCATCGTTATTTCAACGTCATTAAGATTCAGGCAGATGCAATTTTCAGAAAAGAAATTTGACAGTTTGTATAAGTATTTAAACAATTGTTAAAACCTAAAACATGCTCTCCTGAAAAAAAATCGAAATGCCGCTTTCGCTTATTATTTGTTTTTTGTTGTATAGTATTTTAGTTACTTAGTTTTGTTATTATTTTTATGTCTTTCATGTGATAAAAGCACTTTTGTCATAATATGATCACATGTGGCTTTATTATCAAGATATGAAATAACAATACGCATCAAAGATATCGTTGTGCTATGTCAATCGTGTATAATCAAGTTAAAGGTCATATCCGTAAAGAGAGTTTGTTTTTTAATCAATCAATTCAAAGACTGCTCTAAAGACAGCTTCGTCTTCGTCTTATTTTCTTGTTTTTTATGCATGTGAAAGATCGTTTACAGTTGTCCTGGAATTTTTTATTTTTACTCATTGCAGTACACAGCATTAACAAAGGCAAACGTGGATACACTTCAGCTATGGTATGAGGAACTACTTACAAAACTTCGCCCAAACGCTGTCGGGTTGGTAGACGCTTTTGATATACCAGATGAGGTAAGTAGATAGGTATTGATTGAATTATAGTCTGTCTTTTTTGAAAATGGAGCAAAATGACATTTGTAGGGTTGCCAGTTTTCGTAAATATATGTATAAATAGTCATGTAATTGTTGTCGACAGTTTTATGGATAGGTCGTTGAAAGTAGGTAGAATTTTGTCAAAAATCTCTGAATTATGAATGTTACGACGTTCTAATGATTACTAATTACATTATTGCATTCTTTATTCTTATTTTAACAGATGGTTTATTAGTGTCTAAATCAATTTTTAGTCATACACATTTCAATGACCACAGACGGATTTGATTGTGTATCTTAAATTCAAATGAAAAACATTAAAATATGTCTCCTATTTATATTTTTCAAACACACATTGCTAAATGAATTTGTATGGATTTTCGAAAATTGACAATTGAAATGAACCTGGGCGCAGAAGTTGGACGAATAAAGGGTCGATGATAATTCAAATGAAATAAGTTCTGCTATTTATTGCATATGCATGACCAATATTCCATCGATGGGCGATAGAATATTTATCGACTGCAATCCTCAGCTGCCTGCAAGCGGGCAACACTTCATTTTAAGCTTGATTCACAATACACAAATTCTGGCAATATAGGGTCGTATTCCAGAAATCTACTCAATGCTCAAGTCAGGATTTGAATAGGGTTAAAGCACTCGAAATCATACTCAAGTAGCAGGCCATTATGGTCGTATTTCCAGTGCTTGTGTTTCCAGTGCAATCCTGACTAGAGCATTGAGTAGAGTTCTAGAATACGACCCATAGTGACTTTGAATTCTGGCAATATA